ATATATGCATAAAAACAATTTTTTTTATATATTTCAGTGTTTCTTATCATGTTTCTTCTGTATAATTAACAATTTATATATTATTTACACAAAAATTTATTAGATCTAACCACACCTATTTTTCACATTTTATTTATATTGAACATTTTGTTTCTATAATAAATATAAAATTTAAACACAAGTTAATGATATAATTTGTTTTATATTAATATCTTCACACAAAAAGCAGTTGAGCATCATTTCATGACCTTGTATGTAAGAGTTTTCTTGTGTAATTATATTTAAATTATGATAAACTATGATATTAGATAATCCTTTATTCTCAATAAATATAATATACAAATTAATTTTGAATTCAATTTTATATAAATAATTATATAGTGATAATGGCACCAAGACGAGTTGAAGAAATACCTGTTAAAAGAGTAGCAGCTTTAGGTTGCAAACTACCAGATCAATTGCCAGCTGGAGTAATATTAACAGATATTACTCAAAACAAATGGAAGTTAGGACCTGCAATAGGATATGGTGGATTTGGTGATATATACTTAGGTACTGTTTTTTATTCAAATTCTGTTTTATTGAAATTAGCACTATTCATAGTCAAATAAACAGAAATGTATTTTATGTATTTTTAATAAATTACTTGAATGTTGTCTTGTAGTTTGATATTTGTTTCTATTAACATTAAATTTAAGAATTTTACATTACAGCATCAAATGACATTAATGCTCCAATCGAGCAAGATGCAAAGTATGTGATAAAAATCGAACCACATAACAATGGTCCATTATTTGTTGAAATGAATTTTTATATCAGAGCAGCTCGTAAACATATGAGTAAATAATTTAATTGTACATGTTTTATATACACATATTTTATATTTGCATGCGTATTATATCTGGATTATTATTATAAATTTTAGTTGATAGCTGGTGCAAATCACAAGGAAAAAGACGAATAGGTGTTCCAACATATGAGGGATCTGGTTCTCACATGTACCAAGGTCAAAAATATAGATTTTTAGTAATTCCAAGATATGGCATTGATATTGGAAAATTGTTTATATCAAGTGGGAGAAAATTACCAGTCAAACTTGTTAACAGGCTAGCTGTTCAAATGGTAATTTATTATAAAAATAATAAATTTAAAAAATTTTAGTTAACAATTTTGTAATTTTATTATTTTTTCCCATACATATAGTTGGATGCACTTGAATATATTCACAGTCAAGGATATGCTCATGCAGATGTTAAAGGATCAAATATTTTATTGTCTTTAAGTACAGAAGATATAACAACAAGAAAATTTCAAGCTTATTTGGTTGATTATGGATTGGCTTATCGTTTCCGTACAAGTGCAGGTGTACATAAACCATTTGTTCATGATGAAAGAAGAGCTCATGAAGGAACATTAGAATTTACATCAAGAGATGCACATCATGGAAGTGAGTATCATACAATTTGATACATATATTTGGTAATTATTGTTTTAGAGCTCAATGATTTATTTTTTTATACTAAGTTACACTTTATTTTATTACAAATTGATATTACTATAGCACACTCAAGAAGAGGAGATTTAGAAACATTAGGGTACAATATATTGCAATGGTTGTGTGGTAAATTACCTTGGGAAAAAGAAGATGATAATATAACATCAACCATGGATCCAGAAGAAGTCCATGCACAAAAAGAAATTTTACTTTCTAATTTATCATCATTTATGCATAAATGTTTTCCTTATAAAAAAGAACCACCTGGTAAGTTATTATATTTCATTTATCAAAATGACAAATTTAATTTTATTCGAATGCAAAAGATAATATACAAATATATTCTATTTTCATTAAATAAGCTATTACTTTAAAAATATTAATGATTGATGTGTTAGACAATTATTCCTAAAAATTAAATATTAATATTTAATATTTTCTATTAGCTGCCATTATGGAATACATGAAATACATTACTGAACTGGGATTTGAAACTAAACCTAACTATTCCTATCTACGTAGTTTATTTCAATCTGGTTCTAGGCAAAAAAACGATGTTCCTACATGTTTACATCCTTTAAGAGAATCTAATGAAAATATTTCTTATCCCATTTCTTTCAAACGACCATATTTACGAGAAAGAAAACCTTGTAGACCTGTTAATGGCGAGGTATATTTCATTCATTATTAATGAATTAATATTAAATTTTACTTCATAATAAAATAATGTGTATTATTTTTAGATTCGTATAACGCGAAACACACAACCTAAATACCCAGTCGAACGAAAAGAGTTTTGTTGGGAAGCAGTATTAGCACTTCACCCTGATAAATTAGCAAAAATTAGTCTACAGACTCCACCTTCGCCACTTACACCACCTCCATCTCCACCTCCTCCATCCTTACCTACTTATGCCATGTTAAGTGTAATTCAAAGAATGAAAGAGAAACAATCAGGCGCATTTCGAAATAAAGCTTTACCAAAATCATTAGAGTAAGTACATTTAATTTGTCATATTATGTACAATAACACTGTTAATAATTTTTTTTAAACAGAGATCTTAAAACAAAATGGATGACACCAGCCATGGAACAAATAGCGCAATTAAAAAAGAAAACTTTGACAACGCTTTCTCTAGCGAAAACTTCTCCACGTGTGACACGATCCCGAGGGGTTAAATTAAAACGTAAGATATTTTTCAAACTTTTCTTATGTATATGTTTGTATTTTTATCTATATTCGCTATATTTGTATTTATGTCTATATTTTTTAATTATTCATGTATAATCTATTAGGACTTGGGAACAAAAAATCTTATAAACAGATACAAAGCAGTAGAAGAAGAAAAGCTCCATCTACATAAGTATGATAAATCTTACTGAATATTATATATTTTCATTCCTCAAATGGAATTACCAACGATTTATCTAAATAATGGATGTATAATTAAGTATTATTTCCTATTAGTTCATTTAGATTTTGTAAGAATATACTCTTGATTAAACTCCTGTTTAAAGGACAAAATTTCATTTATTAGGAACGCCTCAGGTGTCTTTAGAACACCAATTTTTGTAAGACTGTTTTACTATCACAATTTATCATTTAACAAATTGTATAATTAATATAAGATTTATTTTATAAATTGAACACATAATTATAAATAGTTCAGTTAACAGTTAATTACATTGCTTCCTTTTAAAAACATAATTTCAATGCAACTGAAAAGAGACTTACTAATAGATACAGTAATAAAAAATTACTACTTTTGCATACATAAAGAATACGTAATTATGTCATAATAAACAAATGATCTGAATATTAAATCCAAGATAGGTTTCGTGAACTTTTAAAAATTGTTTATTTATTTTATAAAATGACTTAAAAGCACAATATGCTAAATAGACAATATTTTACTAAATTACATTATTTATTAAAATGAAGTATAGTTTTTAAAGTGTTTAATTTGTTTTTATCGTTATAAATGAATAAAATCGAGTAAAATGTTGTATTCAAACATTAATAATGAAATGTTTTGATGTAATTATTTTATAACTAAAAATTATAAAAATCGATTTATTAGTAAAAATTATGTAAATGATTTTTTTTTTAAGTATCAGGACATGTATTTAAATCCTAAATATGTCTATTATATAAACAAAAGTATAGTATACTTTGAAATAATTAAAAGTAGCGAGATGTAATTAAAAATAATACACCTGTAAACTGTTATTACTTCTCACGAGATCAGTATTAAGCCATTAAGTGCTTACATATGATTAAAATATAACAGTTTATTTTTGTTATTATAGTTACAGTATACCAACAAGAATGCGTGTGTAGCATAAATAAAATGACTAATATTTTAATTCAATTTTAAATTTTATATATAACATGTAACTAAAAAATACACATTTTATGCTTCTAATATATTGCAATACATCATATAATATTATCTTATGTCCCTTTAGTATAATTTAATCTAATTTGTATTAAATTTAATGTCTACATAATTGTTACGTGAAACATAATCGATCATTGTATATATTTAGATATCATAAGAGCCATGTATAGATGGAAGCGGCAATTTATTTACAGTAAATTTGTGATAACTAATTTGTATTTTTTTAAGTTACATGTACCTGTGCCAGATAAGCAGTGTTGTTAAAGACTTAAAAGTGTATTGTAATTAAATAAATACATGTGCATTTGTAATCTTTTTTTATAATGCTAGTATTTCATCATACTTTGACTTATCATATTTCATTAATATAAGATACCTAATATGAGCTTTATTTCCATGAATTTTCTTTTAATTTAATTATAGAATATATGATTGAATATTATATTAAGCAAACAATACATGTATATTTATTAACAGCACTGCACAAGATTCTTGAAGTATTGTGAACAAAATTATTAGAAACAAAATATAAAAAAATTTAATTATTAATTTGTATTACATTCTAATCAGATTATTAATATTATAAATGAATAATAAATAAATGGTGAAAATAATGCATATGTACCAGGTATAGGATATACTTATATGTATATGTTATCGTACATTTTATATATTATTGTATATTGTATTTGAAGAAATATAAAACGAAGTATATAAAATATATTATTTGATTAAATTTATTTACTCATCTCTTACTCGCAGTTGCATATTCAGTAGTTAACAATATTACTTATAAAGTAACATATTATAAAGGAAAATATTAAGTAATTTTTTGGTTTGATATAATTAATTATATTAATAGAAATATCTATCACTACAAAATTTATGAATATTTTTATAAAATTATATCCAATTGTTTTATTTTAAAAGATATAAGATATAAGATTATAAAATAGGCATTAGAGTAAAATAAAGAAAATATGTGCAAATATTTTTTGCAAAAAATAAGTATAATAATTGCGGAAAATGTAATAAAAATTTAACACAATACACATCTGGAACTAGTATGTATGTTATTATTCCATTTTAAATAAAATGCATGCTAGCGCCACAAGTGACTGAACATTAATCATAGTAATAACTATAGGTAGTAAATAGATGCTACCACACCCGTGAAATAGTATAAAATTCAATATAAAAAGTCCTGTAAATTGTCAATAATCATAAAAATGATAAAGAGTCAAAGGCAATATTGTTTTATAATCGAAAAGAACAAAGATTAGTGCATAATTAACCCCATTTCTTCGTTTTGAATATGATGTCACCATTCATTTATTGATTCAGATATAAACTATTCTGAAAGAATGTTACATTAATATACGGTTGTAATTAATGATATAAATAAAAATTGAATTATAAAGATTGTCTTTATAGTACATTATATATAATGATAATATTATTTCTACTTCTTCATTTCTGTGATCATGTACTTAGTCAAAAATACGAGGGTTGCTTTCAAAGTTCCGCGTCGGATCCTGATTTATCAGTCCTGATATTAAATCATGCTAATGCACCAGTAGAATGTATTAAAGAATGTCGTTCACGTTACTACATGTAAGTTATTGTAATATTTGTTACAAAGATTAGTATTCATTATCTTTAAATTAAGATTTAATATTCATTTATATTAAAATTAATAGGTTTGCCGGATTAATGAATGGTCAACAATGCTTTTGTGGCAGTAGTTATGGTAGAAAAGGTGTGTCTAACTCTTGCACTTTCCATTGTATTACTGATCAAAACAGCTATTGTGGTAGCCAAGATGCAATAAGTATTTATTCAACTGGACAAACAGGTATATTTTTACAAAAATATGTATCCACAGTCTACTTTTAATAATAGATTTAAAAACAATAAGAATATTATGTATTTAGGTCCTAGTCCACCAAGAAGTGTACAAATAATTCACAGTGGATTTAATAATTTTCAAATTACATGGGAACCACCTGATATTAGCAATGGAAACATTACATCTTATACTTTAAAAGCAGTCGTTGTTAAAACATTTGCTTCAAATCTATTACCAGCCATAGAAAGTCAGATCCAAGGAGGAGCTTCAAATAATACTATATTACAAGGCTTACAACCTGGCACAAAGTATAATGTATCAATCATTGCTACAAATACTCATGCAGAGAGTGAACCTACATATGTTTCGGGATGGACTTTGATAGGGCCACCTAATAAGCCAATAATGCCAAAAGTAATAGAACAAACACATACCACAGTGACTGTTTTATTATTAGAGGGAAGTAGTGAATATGGTCCTGTTAGTGCCTATCAAATATTTGTTTCTCAATCTGGTATAATACCACCATCAGGTCCTAACGTAAGTTACTACAATTATGAAACATCAATGCAACAAGGTCTGGGATATTATATTACTGGAGAGTTTGAATCTTCAGAATTTTACAAATATATGAAATTTACAGTAGGTGATGGAAAAATGATTGGTGCATATTATAATGCACCATTAAATACTCAAATAATGCCACAAATAGGTCTAACAGTAATTTCTAAATTTCAACGACAAGTTCAGTATGCTTACTCAGATCTAATCAACAAGCTAACAAATTATAATGAAAATAGGAATGAAAATGTGAATTCAATGACAATCATACTTTGTGTTGCAATTGGTCTTTTAGGAACATTACTTGTAGCTTCAATAGTACTTTATTTTATATTGCGACAACGCCATAAAAAATTTCGGATGAGGAAACTTCCAGAGCAACAAGAACTTACTTTACAAGGTCCATTGTATGAAGTTGATAATTTAGCGTACATTCCAGAGGATGTACCTGAAAGGATAAATCATTATCAAGAACTGAAAAAAAAGGTGTGGATTATACCACAAAGTTCATTGACAATCAATGATACTATAATACGCAGAGGAAGATTTGGTACAGTACACACAGGTGTTATTCAAAAAAATGATAAACCTTGTGCTGTAACTATTCATAGCATAGCTGACAAATTATTGAAAATATCTGACAAAAGACATATGTTACGAGAATTAGATATTTGTATTAAAGCATCACCTATGAAATATCTTGCAGATCTTGTAGGAACATGTGAAACTCATGATACATTATACGTTGTACTTGAATTGCCACCTCAGACATTAAAAAATTGTTTATTAGCTGCCAGATCTGGAAATATATTTCCTGTTGAACAAATTCTGCCTATAGGATCTATGATAGCATCTGCTTTGCAACATCTTGAAAATTATAAAATTGTTCATGAATATCTCTGTGCACGTAGTGTAGGTATTTCAACTGAATGGACACCTAAATTGATGGGTCATGGAATATCCAAATATGCTTTAGAGGATATAAAATATATTCGATGGACATCTATTGAGTGTCTTGGTAACAAAAGGAAACACCAACCAGCAGTTGTTTGGGCTTTTGGTGTATTTTTGTGGGAAATGCTTAGTATGGGTGGTACACCATATTCTAATCTTTCACTTGATAGTGAAGTGGAAGAAGCAATTGAACAAGGAGTTAGATTACCACAATTACCAGATACTCCTGATCCATTATATGAAGTTATGCTATCTTGTTGGAATGTAGAAAGTCAGGAGAGACCAACATTTGCAGAATTGATAAGATTGGTAAGAATTATGCTTTATGTAATTTTAAATATATAAAAATAAAATATTTCTTATTTTTTGAACTAACTATTCTATTTTTCATTTTCAGGAAACCTTAAGTATTTGTCCAGTCACTGCAATCACAGAACCATATATTCCAGAATTAGAATTAAATTAATATCATTACTAAACGAGTGTTCATATTCTTGCATTTACGTGATATTATGTATTGTATATAATAATCTGTTAAATATCTTTAAAAATCTATTTTTATGTACTCTGCAGTTACCGTTACACATAATTTACATATGCAAGACTTTATATTTTTTTTATAATGTTTTTTACACTATTATAGGTTTATATTTTATATTTTTATATATTTTTTTTTTTTCATAAAACAAAGTATTGTACAAGTATTATTAATAACTGTTTCCGTCCACTAAAATAAAGTTGACAATATAAATTTCTCTATTTAAAGTACAATAAAATATTTCTACTTTAAAGAATAAATAATAATGAAACATTATATGTCAATTGGAAAAATATTTTTCAGTATAATAATTTAAATTTTATAGTATTATAAAATAATTATATTGCAGAGAAACTTTTTAAGAATATTTCTTATACATATACATTTCGACAACACCATTAAATGTAATTGATAATTTTTTAATACAAATTTATATCTGAAAAATTGTTAGAAGATATTTGCAAATGATAAAATAATGATCTCAGTGTATTTACGGTGTATTTACTATTGATATTCATTATAAATTAAGATTTTATTTTGTATTTAAATATACGAATATTTTAAATCGTACAATGGTTTTACTTTTTATTTATATTATATCCTTCACAATTACGTTTTATATAAGTAATATTAACATAGTTTTTTATTGTATGTTATTAGTACTTTGTAATTTCTATAATAAAAGTAAAAATGTATAATATAATGTATTTTTTAATAAAATATATATATATAATATGTATTTAATAAAATATATATAATATGTATTTTTTAATAAAAATATATATAATATAATTATAAATTTTTTAAATTAAAAAGTTATTTGAAAAAAGTAACTCTAATATTCTATAATACCTATATGATATATATATAACTATAATACCTAATATGATATCGTGAAATATATATATATGTGAAACGTCTATTCGTCAATAACACATTAATAAAAAATAATCGTATATATACGTGATTTATAAAATGTAAAATAAAAAAAAAATACCACATTGTTATTAAATTTATATATTTATAAAGTATATAATAATAATTTGTTTAAAAAATCAATTGTAATCACTAACCAATAAAAATGACTGTGTTGATGTTTATACGTTTTACAAATATACGAAATTTAATAAATATCGATAATTTTGGTACTGTTAGAAGTGTATTAAATATTATACAACGTTCGGTAAATTAAAAATTCATTCAAATATTAATTCATTAATTCATTCCTGCATAACCTTACAAGTAACAGTAACTACATAATATAGATTTTAAGTAATATAGAATTTATGATTTCAGGATGTTATTTCTAAATCATATTCTACAGATGCCATTCAGCAAATTATTTCTGATAAGCCCGACAAATTTTCTGACAGAAAAATTAATAAAGCTATGAAAGTATATTTAGAACGATCCAAAGAATACAGTAAGTTATAAATATATTATAACATAAGTAATCCAGTAAGGTTCAAATGATTATTGGTTTTAGAAAAATTTATGGAAAAACAAATAGCTGAATATAATATTGGGAAACGACATTTAGCTAAAATCGTAGGCGAAGATCCTGATAACTTCACAGAAGCAGATATTGATGTAAGTTACACATTTATTATTATAATAATTAAAATGTTTCTCATAAATTATAGATATTATTAAAATTAAATATTTATACATTTTCTAATTAATGAAAATTAAACATATCAGATTATATTACAACATATACTATAAATAAGAAAAGATAATATTGATGTATTTTTAAATTTATTTATTTTTACATACTAATATTTCAATTTGTATAAGAATTATTACTTTTAATAGAGAGCAATAACTTACTTATTTCCATCTGGCTTATATGATAAACAAGCTAAACCTATGATGATTGACCCTATTAAAATGTATGAAACTAGGAAGGAAGCAGTATTTGATGAAGCTGGTAGACCACATCATTTTTTGTTTTACACTCTTAATCCTAAGTATTATGAAGTACTTCACGTAAGCATTCTTTTAATCTCTTGCTATATTGTACACAGGCATTGTGTTCTTTACTAAAAACCTATTTTTATATGTAGGAAATTGTAGGATCATTGAACCGTTTAGATAAAATAGAGGATCAAATGTTGGCAAAAAAAATCCAACCATCATCCCAGGATAAATTGTAAGTTGCAGCTATTTTGTATTTATATTTGTAATTCATTCTATATTAATAACTAATATTCATTCTTTTTCCTATTACTTTAGAGATATAGTTGAGTCACAATGGATGGGAAAATCAGAATTGGAAAAGATATTGTCTGAAAAAATTAAAGACAAAGATGTAATAAATAATATATAAATTTATATTATAATTTAATTTTATAAACATAATATTTTTTTAAATTCATTTAATTCATTAACTTGTTTCAGTATGAGTATTTTATAAAAAGTATGGATAGATTAATTCAGCATCCTGTATCAAAGCATGCAGAATCGTTTATCATGAAGTTTAGAAAAAAATTATTATTCATTAATCAGCACCTAATTTTTCCGAAAGTATGTATATTTTTTATATATCATATATCTTTTTTTTTCTCTTTTATTGAAAATTATAAATTTTATTTTTTATATATTTATAGCCTGAATATGACAATGATAATAGGCCTTTTATACTTGTCGAAAGTAAGTATAAAAAAACTTATTACTATTATTTTTGTTTTATAATTCTAATTATGTAGTTTAAAAATAATATTTCATTATTAGAATTATAGAAAAGTTATCTGCAAGCAGATTTTTTATTAATATTGAATTTATTGTTATATCTTTTGTTACTTTAATATATAACTTATTAAATTATGTCTTTTATAGAGTGTGCAAGAAAAAATGCAAGAGGTCAGGTTAAAGTAATAGGCAATGGATCTGGAAAAATTACTATTAATGGAAAAGATATCACATTATTTGATGACATACAATGTCGTGAACAGGTAAGTAATGATTTAAATAATTCCATTTTAAATTTCAAAATATTATTGTCAAAATTATATTATACGATTGCGATATTATACGATATCATTGAAATATTTTAAGATAAGAATATTGATAAAAAGAATTGCAATACATTATACGACTTGAATCAATTCGTATATAAAAATAGGTAAGTATTCTAAATAATTAATATAAATTAATATTGTTATATATATTTTGTATATATATAATCGGAGTAGATATTATATTGAAAAATATTAGACAAACTGATCAATTTATAATTTATTCAATTAATTTGTCTAAAATGACAATAATTATTTGACGCAAAAATATTTAACATAAGTTATTTTCTTAAAAAAAAATTATTGTCAATTTAATATCATTTTAAAAATAAAAATTGTAAAAATTATTTATTAAAGTTAGTTTAAATTTGATCTTGAAGTTATATTGAAAATTATGTTATAATTTATTATAAATAAAAGATAGTTCTTAAAACGGAATTAAAATAACTATTTCAAGAACAAATGACTTTTTAATGATCTTGAAATAATATATAGAACTTTCTTTCATTTATTGTTATTTCTAACATTTTATTTAAATTTAGATCAAAAGTTATGAGTTATTTAAGATACTTCAATTTACTTTTTAAATTTGAGTTTAAAAAAATAATTATTATTATATTATTTAATTTAGAAAGCATTAAGTAATTGTAGTTAAGCTTAAAAAAAATGATAAATTATTCTTAGGAATTTAAAAAAAAAGTATTGAGATGATGCATAATAACACTTCATTTAAGGCAAAAGTGTTATCAATTAAAAGGACTTATCGAAGAATAAGAAGAAATAAAATTCTTTTTTCTAATTTACTTTTCGAGATTATTTCAGAAAACTGCATTTGAAATGGTTTAAGAGTACGTACAAAGAAAAACTTGAGATTAAAAATACCAAATTTTCCGTTTTTCACAAGGTGAAGAATGTGTTCTTTCCCTTTCTTTTAAAAGAAATCTGCTTACATATCTGAGATTAAATTTTTTATTAAAATTGAAATACTCATCATTATATATAATAAACAAGATGAGAAAGTCTGTGAATGGAAATGAAACAAGGTCGTGCGAGGTGCTAATATCTTTTTGATCTACACTCCTGTCCATAAGTCACCAGACACTTGCTTATTTTGATCTAAACAGTTACTAGGATATACTTTTCCAAGATAAATTTTATTATACAATCTTGTTGTATGTACTCTATTTTATAATACTTGAAGACAAAACTGATATTTAACGTATATAGTCTGAATAATTTCAAAGTATATCAAAAGTGTGTATATATTTAAAAAATCGAATCGATGTATTTTGGGATGAATTAGACACAAGCCTTCAGTAATGTGTCCAAAATCAAAAGAAAGACTTATGGAAGAAATTAAAAGAAGCGTGGAAAGAAATTCATTCCGAAATATTGTTAAAATTAAACGGAAGTATGACACAGTTATTTCTGGCCTTCGTTTTGCACAAAGATATAAGATACTTTATATACAATTTGGTAAGATTTTTGACATATAAACAGTTTGACATGTAGAATATGACATGAATATAGAATTTGACATATGTCAAAAATTTTATCAAATTGTATATAAAGTATCTTATATCTTTGTGCAAATACGAAGGCCAGAAATAACTGTGTCATACTTCCGTTTAATTTTAACAATATTTCGGAATGAATTTCTTTCCACGCTTCTTTTAATTTCTTCCATAAGTCTTTCTTTTGATTTTGGACACATTACTGAAGGCTTGTGTCCAATTCATCCCAAAATACATCGATTTTTTAAATATATACACACTTTTGATATACTTTGAAATATTTATTCAGACTATATACGTTAAATATCAGTTTTGTCTTCAAGTATTATTAGAAAATAGTGTACATACAAGATTGTATAATAAAATTTATCTTGGAAAAGTATATCTGTGTTCTAGTAACTGTTTAGATCAAAATAAGCAAGTGTCCGGTGACTTATGGACGGGAGCGTATGTGATTTATCGCGGTCTCTCCGATTTCAGAGTAGACAATGCGTATAAGAAGCTCGATTCGAGTTCAGTATTAATCGAGTCGTCAGATAGAACGACAGGCTTATAATGTTGTAACTATAACACTGACACGTTGAATAGTACGAGTTGGCAGTTTGAAGAAATCAATTGCATTCACACGTGGAAAACATTGGTGATCAGTTTCCTCTTCGATGTTATTAAACTATCGGTAAAGAAATGAAATTGTTAATCATCATGTACCTTGCATCGAACATCGAAACGCGTTTGTGATGAAGACTCGGAGAATATTCTTTTTTTTTTTTTTTCTTAACATAAAAAGAAGTCATCCTATGAATTTTGAAAAAACAGTGAAATAGTTATATCTGAAACATTATATGTTGAAAGTGTACCGATTCAATTTCGAATGATGAACGTTGATAACGAAAAGTGTAAACGTTTAGAACATATGTATGTACAAGCAGGATTTAATTTTGAATATGTAACGAAATCTTTTTAATAACTTAATGACGAAATAAAATTACATTTAGTTATTAAAATTTGGTTTTGTCAGCATCTTTTGTTAAAAATATGATCGCTAAATTAAAAACAAATTTCTGAAGTTTTAAAGTTAAAAGTTCAAATTAATTTAGAATACGTCGAAAATTTATAATTAGACCATTCCCATAAACAATATAATGTTTGTAGAAAATTTGCAAAATTTTTATTTAGTTGTATTTAATTGTTAGAAGCACATCCTGGAGTCTAATGACGTAAGAGATAAAAAACGCGAAATATGTATGTGTAAACGTCATCCACATAGTTTTATCGTGCTTTCGAAATTCAATAAATATGTTGGGAATGTTCTTGTCTTCGATACTTGAAGGACTCGAACTGTATATAAATAATATCAGTTTAAAAGTAACGGTATGGCACTTCGCAGTCCTCAATCTATGTGCCCGATTTTCCAATTGACATTCGCGCCTCGCGTGATGCACAGTCAGACGTCATCAAAGATCATCTTGTACTTTGTTGGTAGTATTATTAAAATCAAATTTCGAAAAATATTTAGAAATTACACAAACTTTATCCATTAAACGGTTCCATTCGATTATGAAATTAATGAATTATTAATAACTTCTCCCGCTTGTACCTTGTTTGCATTTATAAGATTTTTGTGCATCTTTAAGTGCTGTAAGTTGCTTGATAACGTAATTGAAACAAATTGGGTTCGAAATCATGATATTAACTTTTGCTGCATGACACTCTACTTAAATTGAGTTCCCGGCGCATGTCCAGGAATATTAGTGAAAATATTTTTATAAAATAATAAAATAATGTCGTAAAAATTTACATAACGTTATTCGCGTTCCATAAACGAGATAAATCAATTTCCTTTTACATTAAACTAGGATATGCTGATCGATAAAATCAAAGGATGACTTTTAAATGTGATAAAATGCTGTTAAATCTACGAAATTCATATAGTTTACTAGAAATTTTAACAATAAAAAAGAAAACATAATATCACAAACGCTCCGAACCTCACACTCATTAAAAAGATCGAACTTCCCTTCTTTCAAGGATCCTCGGACGATCCGAATTGATGAATGACAATTTCCCAAATACATGTAAATTATGCGTTTGACAAATGAGGGCAAAATCAATCGATTGAGCAAAACTGCTTCGCATAATTTTCTACTCAACGCACGTTCACAAATCCCCATCGAGTTCATTCATGAATCAATACCTCACAGGTTCTTTTGCTACTCACGACAATGCTCTTTGTAGATCGATGATGTAAGCGTTAATATACGTAAAACGCTAACAGAGAAAAACGAAGATGAACCATTCGCAGACATCGAGCTCGCTACCGGCAAAAAAGAAAGTGCAAATGGAAAGGGTCGTCGATATGAAGGACGTGACTGTGTCAATTCCAAATACTTCGAAGCGTGTAACTATGACCTCTTTGCTCTTAACGCGATGGTTGACGTCGAAGAGCAGTCCACCTCGTGCGGAAACAGAGATAGATTGGTCCTCCGATGATCGGAGTTTGGAATACGGAACTCCGCCTCCCATTGAAGAGCCACACTGCTACTCTATGTGCGCTAGCGAAAGCTCATGCACGGAACTCTTTAATTGCATTAATTGCACCTTACAAGTGAACAAAGATATAATCAGGAATCTGCTAGTGGAGCACATGAGATACGTCGGCGGTCGATTGCAACTTCTCAGTGATCTGGAAGAGAATAAAATGGATCTGAAGAATCCCAAGTATTTAGCAAAGTACCTAAAGCAACACGAAATAAACGCCTTGCTACTTCACGCTAGTTTCCTTGGTCAAGTAGATACGATCACCGAATTGCACAAGTGCGGAGCAGATTTGAATCATTCGGAACAAGGAAAAGGCCTAACTCCGTTACATTTGTGCGCGTTCAGCAACTCGTTAGAGGGCGTACAATATTTACTCGCTAACGGGGCCAACATCCATTTGGAACGAATTCACACGCCTTTTCATTACGCTGCTTTTGGAAATGCTTTTAAAGTAGCACAATATTTCCTCCAGTTGGACGTGAGCCAGAAATCTCCTTGCGGAGAAGAGACAGTGTTGCACACCGCGGCCAAGTCGAAGGCTTACAACGTGTTGAAATTGCTGGCGCCTCATAATCATACTTTGGATAATTTAGACTGCAATGGATATGCCGCTATACACCACATAGCGGACAAAGGAGACTCGGCTTGCTTGATGGTGCTACTAGATGCAGGTTGCAAGCTGGATCTGATGACCAAGAAGGGTGATACCGCTCTTCATCTCGCGGCGGAAGCTAGTTGCGTGGAAAATGTCGATTTGTTGGTAGAACGAGGTGCAAACGTTCATTTGAAGAATCACAGAGATCAGACAGCCTTGCATATAGCTTCTCGTTCGCATTCTTTCGAATGCGTTGAAATATTGCTAAAGAAAGGTGGCTGCGATCCTAATATCGAAGACAGCGACGGAAGAACGCCTCTGCATCTCGCATTAGGTAGATCCCTGCTAGCTTACGATGTGACGGAATTGTTGATCACGTGGAAAACGAATATTAATAAGACCGATAAATACGGCTATACACCGCTTCATATTGCCGCGCTGAACGAATTATCTCAGTGTGTGGATGTCCTGATCCAGCACGGAGCGGATCTCAGCGCCAGAACGAAAGGTGGGACCAGCGCATTGTCCATTATCTTACGTAAAACACCGACTTCTTTGAACGTTTTCAAACAGAGACTAGATGCCTCGATAATGCTTCATCAGCACGACTTAGCCACCGGGGAGGTGGAGCTTCGTCTCGATTTTCATCCTTTGCTGACGCACCAGCAACAAGGTGAAATAAGATATCTCGGGACGTTCGTAAAGGAAGGATACAAAGAGATTCTGGAACATCCGCTCTGCCAGGCGTTCCTTCATCTAAAATGGCAGAAGATCCGAAAGTATTACGTAGGCAGGCTTGTCTTCTATCTGTTTTACGTTCTCATACTTACAGGATGGGTAATGACTGCGTTGGCGCATAACTGTTACAACGAATCGCACGGTCAATTAGACAACACTCAGCCACCATTATGTGCAAATACCACCGGTATCAATGGTTTTCTTTACAGACATCCAGCCTTGCTCGAGATGGAATGGTACGCATTGATGGTGCTGACGATTCTCGAAGCATTTCGCAAATTGACCAGCATCCCAACGTATCCCTCGGTCCGCCAATTCTTCACGCAGACCGAAAACATAGTCGAGTGGTGCGTGATCCTGAGCGTGTTCGCTACTTCCTTCATATACACAGGCAGAACATATACGTGGCAAAGTCACGTAGGTGCGTTCGCCGTTCTCTGCGGCTGGAGCAATCTTATGCTAATGATAGGACAATTACCAATATTCGGAGCGTACGTCGCGATGTTTACCAGCGTCCAAGCACAAGTATTCAAGCTTTTATTAGCGTACGCTTGCCTCTTGGTAGGCTTCACCGCAAGTTTCTGCGTGATCTTCCCACGCTCGAAATCGTTCAGCAGCCCTCACATCGGCCTGATTAAAGTCCTGGTCATGATGACCGGAGAGTTAAACTTCGAAGATTTGTTCTTCCCGCGAGAGGAGGATGGGAAATCGATCGACTCGACTTCTTGGATCCTGCTACAAGTTTCCGCACAATTGTCGTTCGTGTTGTTCCTTCTATTCGTCACCATCGTGTTGATGAATCTGTTGATAGGGATCGCGGTTCATGATATAAAGGGGCTGCAAAAAACGGCGGGGCTCGCAAAACTCGTCCGCCAGACGAAGCTCATCTGCGACGTCGAGACGGCTCTTTTCCTCGGCTTGATGCCAAAACGACTAACAAAGTTTTTACGATGGACCGCGTTGCTGTTACCATCGCCCTTGAGAGCGGTTTTAACCGTTCGTCCCTTAAATCCGAGAGAGAGCAGGCTACCCCGCGATTTATTAACCGCCGCGCATAAAATCGCGAAGGACAGGAAGAATATATGTGGAACATTGTACAGCAGAAAGAGCAACGCTACCACGTACACGTATCTGAAAAGCGAGCCGTACTCGACTTTTCGTCGACTTTCACCGGACGAGAACGTTTCTGTCAATGATTATTCGATCAAAGAGGAATTGTCAGAGTTAAAGAAGATCTGCGAGAGGAACCATCAGCTCCTTCGAGATGTCATGATGGTGTTGGTGAACGACAAACGCGTCGTTAACGAGGAAGAGGATGAGAATAATTAAGTTCTTACGCTGAGAATTCTTGCAATCTTAATGGCAAAGATAGTATATCGTGCGAATGATCTAAAGAAGTTCGGACCAGTGAATCGACCGTAGAGATTCTGATATACGAATGCAAGAGAATTTTAAGCGCAGCCTTCGTGCCATTTTATAATATACAGAAGTTTTTTTTTTCAGTCTTGAGAATTCGATTATGAAAGATGACAATTAACGTGATTTTTAATAATCCCATCAATCTGTATCGTCAGTCGAGGCGTCTTTAGGATATTATAAAGTGTGATGTAATCTAACAAAGAGAAAAAAATATGACATGGAAAATCCGAACGATTAAAACGAACGTGTATAATTTGCCTTGAGGATCGTTGATCAAACATATGTTTGAAATGTTTTTAAAGCAATATTCTACGATATATTGCTACTACTTTTATTTCTATGTTTCCTCTTCTTTTTTTTTTTTTACTGAATTTTTATAATTCTCGTAATTAGTGATTTTCAATTTTTCGTGCATCAGGAATGCAACGAATGTCTTTAAGAATTTGTGACAAAAGTTACAAAAAAAGCTTGACACGAAATATTTAAATAAAGATTTGATAACAATATTTTGATGTACAGGTTTGTACTCAATATTTATAAAATATTGTATTACAATATATTAAGGCATCAAATTCCGTCTATGGTATGAATAAGATTATATAGAAAGACGTAGAAATAAGTAGAAATGTAAATAAGCAGAATACAACGAGATATTTTAATATTTAACGAATATTCTAATTGTATAGAAAAGTTGTAAATACTATGTAACATATATTTTAACTTTTATGAGATCTTAATTTGTTACTTAATTGTTAACATATAAATAAACTAATTTTGAGATATGTACATTTTTCCAACGTAAGGAGAAATCTTTTTACAATAATATCCAGGAAAGAAATTTAAGAAATCTGTGCGATAAATAATTAGGAATTATTTATGCCTTAATATGCATTTGAAAGGAATAAATAAAAATATTTTCCAGAAGATACTATTTATGCATCAGTAGAAGTGACATTTCAAATAGTTTTTTATTAATCTTTTTTTTTTTTGTAAAATCAGTACTTTAAAAATCTATGTACTTTTTTTTAAATTACTTTTAATATTTGAGAAAAGCTTTATCAACAATATTGTATTTAATTTTGTCCATCATATATAATAGAATGATATAGACATTATGATATTATAATGACAATTATAATAGTGATTTAAAGTATATTCTTTTTGATGTGAATCATAGTGTCTTATATCATATTTCAATCTATCAGTTTACGACTTTGGACATAAATATAATTGCTTGCCAATGTTTGGAATTTGTAATAGCATTCAGTTGTGATAATGAGTGAGTCACTACAAAAAGTAGCAATTGATTATTGAGATTTAAATTTTTAATTTTATTCGTTTACATATTATAATTAATAATAACTATTTAAAATACTTCTACTATATTAAAAAAATATCTTCTTTGTAATAATATCATAATCGTACTGATCAATTGAAGAATGAAATATTATATTTCCTTTAATGAATAAATAAATAAATATTTTTACTTTTGAAGACAAAATATTGTAATCCTATTTTGTCTATCGAGCAGTTTTCAAAAAATACATTGTTGCCCAATATTTCGCAAAATGTGCAAGTATCAGACAAGAGAAAATTTTCAAACAAAGATAGAATGTAAATTGTATTTTTATTTCATGTATTATATTTATCCCAAGATGATCCTTATGATATTTTAATCATATCATTCGCATAATGATTTCTTTTAATGGAATTTTTTTACGATGAAAACAATTGTCATACCTTCTTCTGTCGGTGCTTTCAACGTGACAATGATATTCAACATTTTTAATTTAGCTGTTTGGTAATACTGTTGGAAGCAATATCTCAACTTTCAACTCTTTATTTTCATTCTGAAACAGAGAAGAAAAAAATTAAAAAAATTGTGTTTGTTTAATCAATAGTGGGAAGTGCTTTTTTGAAATGACCATTAACCACTTTACCTGTGAAAACATTTAACAATCGTTTCTAGGAATTTCACTGGCAATTAATCTTTCAGCGATTCTAAGTGTGCTTCTTACAAAGTTCTTGCAATTATCTTTCCGATATATTAGCTTCATCAAACGTAATTAATTTTAAATGTGATGTAGAATATTCACATTAACTGAAAAAAAAATTTTCATACAAAGCAATAATTCTAAAATTTTCCAATATACTGTTAATGCTTAGTCATGTAAAATTTATAAAATATTCGATAACACGAGAACACTTACTTAACTGATAATGAGCATTCCAAAAATGTAAGCATTAATTATTCCTTTTATATTGGCTTTCCACTTGATCGATCGATAAATTTATAACTAGAAAACAGCATCTTTGCATAAGAACTATAAATCATATATCTTATTTTGTTTTTTTTTTTTTTTTCTTTTTGTCTATGTATTAAATTACACACTTTTTTTTTTGCTGCAGGCGATAAACCTACTTTGATCTTTTTGGTTTATTCAAATTTATCCATTGATATTCATGTGATGTTCAAGAACTGCTTGAAAAAACCGGTTTCAATTTGTTTCCATTCGAAATTCAGAATGTAAACGACTGATATATACAATCCATGATAGAATACTATTGTTGGTCACGATGAGATCGAACAAGGACGCTGAGTTTCACGTCCGTGAGTGTATCTAGATTTTACGGGAACATCTTAAAGAACGACGAATCTGTGAAAAGACTCACAGACTCGCGTGGACTTCTGCAACGTTTAGTTTCAGCTTTGGAGATCGGTAGGCAAGATCGCGTTCAAGGATTTACAACACCGGCTTTCTCCTTATTAATTGCGAAAGTGTTCGAATAGATTACCGATGAAATTTAATACTTTTTTTTTCCGATCGTTCGAAAATGAAATCCCGAGATTATCGTCTAAAAAATTCTTGCCACAGTGTGTTTCAGTGAATTTTTTTTTTTTTTTTTTGTTGTGAATGATTCTATATCTACAAAAAAAATGGAAGAACGAGAAGTTGCAAAATTAAATAAAAATTAAATGAACTATTACAAAATACAAAATACGAAGCTAGAAGATTTTGTAAACTAAAAACAATGAGACAACAGTATTGATGTAATGAGAACGTCTAATTAAATTGAAAGAGCTACATTGAAGAACGTCTAATTAAATTGAAAGAACCACATTGAAGAACGTCTAATTAAATTGAAAGAACTACATTGATGATATGATGAGAAATACAATGACAAGTGAAATGCAAAAGAAAAAAAAAAAAGACACGACAGAAGAAGAAGATGTAACGAAATCGTGAAGAAAGATACAAAATTAAATCTAACGATATTCGTAATTAAAATATCTGAAAATATTTAACGAAATTCGAAGGAAAGAAAAAAGAAGAAAGAAAGTTGTTTATCGCAAGTTGTTAATCTAGTTCGATGTGACCCCTATCCCGTTTAGTTTTTAAGTTCAAGGTCTCTATTCGAAGAAGTACCAGCTACTCCTCCGACGGAAGCATGTCTTTTCCTCTGAACTTATATATAGAATGAATCCATACGAGTCGACTAATATAAGTCACTCGGGCGAGTGACACCGGTAGTCGCGTGTGCTCCAATGACGAGAGCATTCTCTTAAAGTGATCTAAATGACTTTGGGACGTGACGTGATAAACGAAGAAAAGAGTGAGGCCGAGGTATGACGATTGGAACGTTCTTTCGAGGTGATCCACGATAGTAGAGAGTGCCTTGTGTTACGTCGCAGTTTCTTCATCATCCTGTTCACGGGCGAAAAAAGGTTCCTTCTCGGGCGGATAATGGACGATAAACAGATGCACGAGAGCACCAGCGACATACCGAAGATTGATGTGCAACGTGCGACGATTACAGTTAGCAAGGAAAGACCACGGCGTTACTCGTTAACCAGTTTAAAAGATCGTCGTCTCTCGATTGATGAAAACGATCACCGGAGAACGGAGGAAACTGAGGCACACGAAAATGTCGACAAAGCGAGCCGCTGGAAAATGAAACCGTTGGCTAATCACGAAAGAAGCACCAGGCATTACTCTTTGACCAAATTGAAAAGTCGTCGTTCTTGTTTGAATTTCAACGAGGAGAGGAACAATCTGACGAAGACGGATATTAACGAAACTGCTAACGACAAAACGACTCAAACGTTAAGAGTTCCGTTACCTCGCCAAGGGAAAACGATACATTGTTCCTTGTCGAATTTGAACGACCCATCGAACGATCTCCTATCTACTAGATTGACTTCCTTTCGGTCCGTCAGGCATCGGCAATCGAGCACCTCGGAGAAAGCCGTGATCGATGACATTCCGAGGATTGAGTCCGCCAACGATCACGTGGAAATCGATGCCGGTACACCTCCGCCAGCGGATGAATCTCTCTTCTACGATAATCTCGACGTATTCAAGCAAGCACAGATCAACAGCAACGATCTTAGATCGATCATGTGGTCGATCTTCACCGCTGCCGAAATGAAGATACTGTACGAGCTAGAAAAATGCAATACGTTACCAGCGGTACCGCTAGGGGAGCGAATAAAGAATATAGCGTACATGTGGTCCTGTTACCGAGGTCTGGTGCATCTGTTATCGAAACTGGAACAATTAGACGCGAAACTCGATTACGTGGAGCCTTGTACAGGCATGAACGCCATTCTGGCTGCTTCGTTAAGCGGTAACGTAGCTTGTGTCGAGCATCTGATAAAGAGAGGCGTTGATATCAATTACAGGAATCCGATCAATCATTATACGCCTCTTCACTTCGCCGTCCTCGGAAATTCACCGGACGTGGCGCGAATACTTCTCGACAACGGTGCAAAGCCGAATGTGTATCTTTACCAAGAGACGGTCGAGCCAGTTTTGCATTGCGCAATCAGAGCAGGAGCTGTAGAAATAGTGAAATTATTGTTAGAACGAGGAGCGAGTGTAGTCGAGAAGAACCACATGGGCGAGACACCGCTCCACGTAGCTTGTTTCGTTCAGACGATAAAATGCGTGGAATTGCTTCTAGATTCAGCAGGTACGAACATAAATGCGGTGGACCGGGCTCACCGGACTCCTCTTCATTTCGCTGTAATGACCACTTATTCCTCGGCGAAGCTCGTTGAACTTCTGTTGAAGCATGGTGCCCTGGTGAATGCCGCGGACAAGACAGGTTTCACTCCTCTTCACGTGGCTGCCTTGAACGAACAATCTCACTGCGTCGACGTGCTGATTTGGGCCGGTGCAGACGTTAGCGCGACCACCAGTGCAGGGCTTTCCGCCTTGAACATTATACTTAGAAAAATACCAGAATCTCTTCAAGTCTTTCGACAGCGATTAGATGCCTCGATAACGCTTAGAAGGCCCGTTCCTCATAACAGAGAGTTCGAGATGAGGTTGCACTTCGATCTACTCTTCCCCAGCGGTAACCAATGCGAGACCAGCTTCATAAACACGTTTGTCCAGGAACGCCGTAAAGATCTCCTGTCGCATCCATTGGTAATGGCTTTTCTGCACTTGAAATGGGAGAAGATCAGAAAGTTTTATCTACTCAGGATTCTAGTTTACGCGATGACCGTCATCTGTATGACCACTTACGTGCTCACGGCGTTAGCTTACAAGTGCTACAACCACGACGAGGCGAGCAGCTCCAAGATTTGCAGCAACAAACGTATCTCTGGATTTCTGTTCAGACGACCGGTGATCGAAATCCAATGGTACCTCTTACTAATCTTCACTTGCATCTCCATTCCCAGGAAGATATTCGGTTTCATGGTGTACACGTCCGCGAAGCAGTACTTTTCCAACATCGATAACGTGCTGGATGGCATCGTGATAATCAGCGTTTTTGTCACGTCGTTCGTGTACACGGGACGTACGTACGATTGGCAAAATTACGTCGGAGCGTTCGCGATATTGTGCGCCTGGACAAATTTGATGCTGATGGTTGGCCAACTTCCAGCATTTGGCACGTACGTGGCGATGTTTACCCACATACAATTCGAATTTGCCAAGCTGTTGCTCGCTTATTCTGGGCTACTGATAGGATTCACTATCAGCTTCTGCGTGATTTTCGTCGGTGAACCATCCTTTGGCAATCCGTTCACGGGGCTCATTAAAGTATTGGCGATGATGGCCGGAGAATTGGACTTCGAGGGGTTGATCACGCAAATCGACGAAGGCCTAGACGGAAACCCCGAAGGGCCATTTGTTATTTATCATCCATTATCAGTGTGCTCTCAAATCCTCTTCACGCTGTTCATCGTATTCGTCACGGTGATCCTGATGAACTTGCTGGTTGGAATCGCTGTTCATGATATTCAAGGATTGAGGAACCATGCTGGTCTCACGAAGCTCGTACGCCAGACAAAATTGATCCTGTTCACGGAGATGGTGTTGCATAACAGCTCGATTCCGTACGCTTTCCGGAAATGGATGTCCGATCACAAGATCAACGTGGAAAACAGGAAAAGGGTCTTAGTGGTGAAACCGTTGAATCCTTTGGAAAAGAGGCTACCGAAGGACATTTTGAAGGCTGCTTACGAAATAGCACAGAAGAATATACCATTCATGGACGACGATAACATTAATCTGAGCGATCACGTGTTGAGGATGAGACAGCAGAGCGAAGAATACTTTGACTCGAATTTACAGCTAGTTATGGAGAATATGGTCAATAAGTTGGAGTCCTACGAGGACACTATCAAGTCGCTAAAGGAACAGCTGTCAGATAGTAATAAAATGCTGGAGAGTGTTGTGCAAAATCTGACGAAGCAAAAGAATAATTGAGATCAGCTAGGTACTGACTGAATTGAAATTACCGAAATGTAGTTTAATCTTTAAGAACTTGAGGACACACTCTAACTGCAATTAGTTAGTAAGTGACACGATTGTTGTGGGACGATTGCAAATGAAATGTATCTTTCAATTTCAACATAAATTTTCAATATAAATGATATAAGTTTAAATATCGCAACGAGTGACTTGTAGGGACACAAAACCGAAAGTGAAAAATGGAAATAGACAGAGGAAATGAGAATTTAGTAGACGAGACATTAATCGTATTAACTTCTGTTCTTTTTTTCGTACTTCTTAAAGAAATATTTATATCTATATTTTTGTAATTATCATCGTTGTAAGTCCGATGTCTATATTTTACAAGTATTTGATCTAATAAGAAAATCTAGCGACATTGTTCAAACCATGATATTTGTTCAAACATGTATGACATCCATCATGATTGTTCATAACATTTATTTTAAGGGAAAATTGTCAAGAATCAATTCTTTTTGCTAACGGACACATTTCACTGTAAGAAATTTTGAATTAATTAGGTAATTGAATTAGTATATTTTTTACATTCTAAGTTGTCTTGTAAAGCAAAACTTTCTATACAACCATAAAAAATCTTAAATTTGTACATTGTACAATTGTATATACAGCTATTGTATAATATTCAAGATGCTTGTTCTTACCTGGATAGAGAAATTTATAATATCAAGGTGATGTGAATTATTTTTAATTGAACTTATTTTGAATTACAGATTTTATTTCCATTAATTTTTACGGATATGTGTGATAAAGTTGATATTGAAGCTGAAGTTTTTGGTGGAGGGCCTACTGGACAAGCTGGCGCTATTCGATGGGGTATTGCACAGGGACTTCGAAGCTTTGTCGATCAAAAAATGATAGAAAAAATGAGAATTGGTAAGGAAAATCCAGTTTTATAATTATAATTTCTAAATATAAATTTATGTTATAAGAATATTATACATTATCGTGGATGTAAATTTCCCAAAGTACATATTCAATAATGCATAAATTCTGATCTTAGTCTATACTAACTTCTACATTTCGAAAAATGTGAATTATAGTGTAATTTTATTTTATTTACTTTAAATCGTAAGTAAAATAAAATTTATATTATTTATTTTAAATTTTCTTTACTTGCTTCTACTTTTAAGCAAACAAGTGAAGAGAAAAAAAGTTGCAATTTGTTTCTCAAAAGTATAATAGAAACTGCTTTGTAATTATAACTGCCTTCTATTAGAGTAATAGTGCATGTAATTTATAGTGACAACGAGGTCAGTCATTAAATTCGTTTAGCTATGATTATTTAATCAAACTCGAAAACATGTAGTTAATGCTTATAGGATATATATATAAACGTAATATTTACTATAATTATAAAACTTCTTTTTCGTTATTATACAATTGTAAGAAATATATCACATAAATCATAAAATTTCTAAATTATAAAATATGATAATGAAATTTCATGTACCTGCTTGTAATATACACTTTTATATCTTCTACAAATGACGGCAGAATGATACATTTTTAAATAAAATTAAACTTTTGCAGATAACACATTCAGCTCAACTTATCGCGTACAAAGAATGTAACTGAAAATTAATCGAATTCATATAACTGTGAATTCAATTATTTGATGTTTCGATAATCGAGACATCGATTGTTGGATGAAATGTCTCAAAACTGTTGGCGATTCTAAAATTAAATAAAAATTTATCTAATTCTATTATTCAGTTATCACTATCTATTTGTGTAATATATTATCTATTTTTATAGAACAACAAAAATATAATCCCTAAAAAATTACTTTTGTTAGCTGGTCTTCTAACACGTGACTGGAGAAAACGTGAAAGGAAGAAGTGGGGCCAAGAGGGAGCTCGCAGAAAATTTACATGGAAGAAACGTTAATTTCTTTTTTCATTTCTCCTACACTGCAATTAAATTTGAATAAATTTTTGTAAAATATCCATTAAACATTTCAAAATAGAATGCATGTTATTATAAAGTGGATATTCTGTAGAAAAAAATACCGCAAAGAGTAATTGATCAATAAAATTATTAATTAAAATTTTTCCTGAAAATTTATTATCTATAATATTTGAATATTATATAATGTACTCACACGTATACATGATATTTAAATATTATTATAACATATTACATTTTTATTTAGTATAAAATTTCTTTTTTTTTTCTTACATTTTTTCAAGAGGTGTTAAACCAAGTAATTTCATACCTTGAGCAAGAATAATTTTTGCTGTATGAAATAATAGTAGTCTTTGGTTCCCTAAATCCTTTGGTTCATTTTTTATAGTCAATTTATGCCAGGCCATATTGATAGCTTTACTAAAAAAATATGTATATAGGAAATAAATATCTAGAAAGGACTATATAAAGTTTAAAATTAAAAATTTGAACACATTCATTTAATATAATCATATATTATACTAACCATAAACGAAAAAGATAAATTGTTAATATACATGGTTCTAGTTCTTCATAAGATTTAAGCACAACTTCATCAAATTGGCTAATTAATAAAATTAACTGATCAACTTCTGGTTCTTTTAAAAGAGCTGAATCACATTCTGTTACTAATGTAGCATCAGATAATTCTTCCAAACTGCATAAACGACAATGTGCATATTGTAATTTTATCCCAGAATCACCTTTCATCTGGTATTAAAATATATTCTATCATTAAATATTTTTGAAATATTTCTTAAGAAAAATTAATTTATCTAAATAACTTACATTAAGCATTAAATCCCAATCAAACTTGTAATTGTTCATTCTATTTTGTTTTAAATCTTGAATAATTACACCAGAAACACCCAAAACATCAGATGATTCATCTAATTTATCTAATGGAATTTTAGTTGCTAAAATGATTTAAAATATAGATATGCTTTGTTTTCAATTATGTTCTATTTATAATTGCAGATAATACAAACTTACTCTTTGCTTCTAATTGTCTTTCTTTCATAATTTCTTTTGCTTTATTCAAAATATCTTCCAAAAATACTGCTGTACCTTTTCTTGTGCTCATACCATGTACTCTTCCAAATTTAACATGTTTTAATCTATCTGCCCAAGATAAATTCAATTTATGTAAAATTTGAATTAAATTATTAAAATGATCAGTTTGACCATTTTCTACAATATAATACATAGCATCAAATTTGTGTCTTTCAAATCTATCAATAGCAGCAGCAATATCTCGACTTATATACAGACTTGTACCATCACTTTTCATTATTGGAACATTTTTTTCTTCACTCACAGCTATTACTTTCCTATTGTTATTATCTAATTTTAATAACTGCATTTCTTCCATTTTGTTAATTATTTTATTTACTTTTTTAGCAGTATACATGGATTCCCACTCATATTGATCAAATATTACACTTAATCTTTTGTAAGTTTTTTCCAATTCCACGACAGTGAATTGCTTAATTTTTTCCCAATTCTTGTAAACTTCATTATCTTCAAATTCTAATTGCCGAAATATTTCTTTAGCATGTTCATGTATGTTTGGATTACTTTCAGCTAATTTATTAGCATCAACATAAGATGTATACAATGTTTTAATGGAATCTGTATGCATTTCTATATTATCAATATTTTTCATTTTCATTCCTATATAAATGTAACCAAACTGTGTACCCCAATCACCTAAATAATTTATCTTTGTAACTTGATTTTGTAAAAAACTATTTAGATTAGCAATACAATTTCCTATAATAGTAGAACGGAGATGTCCTATATGAAAAGGTTTAGCAATATTTGGTGAACTAAATTCCACTATAATATTCTTATTATTATTTATAAGTGGTGGTCTAACACCAAACAGATTATTTTCTAAAATCTGTTTTATATAGTTATCTCTTAACACATTAAAATACATGATGTTATTTTTAATTGCAACATTATCAAAATTACTCCTTAAATCATTTATGTTTTTAATTTTATTTGTCAAATCATAATGTTTTGATTTTAAAGGAAGTACAAAAGTATATGTATCAATCTCCTTTCTAAATGTGATATACAAATTAGACATAATTTTATGATGACATACATTGTCTATATGTAGTGGTTTTATAACCTAAAAGAAAATGAATTACATTTATTTTAATAATTTATTTTATATGTAGAAAATTTTTGAACATAATTTGTACAATATAAAATTTATAATAAATTTATAATAAATAAATGTATTATTATGTACTAGTTATGTTTAATTCGAAATTCAAATAACCGGCATATAAAAAAATAATTATTTAACCTACATATATAACATGTTACTAATTATTTAATTTAAAATAAATATAGTCAATATTACAAAATTTAAATTAGTTTTAAACTGTATGTATTCTCAAATTTCTTAGAATATTAAACATAACTATTAAAGGTGGTAACATTAAAATATTAAATATTACCTTTTTAAATATTACAGTTCTTATAAAATTACTCATATTTTTGTAGGATAGATTATTCAATCCATAAAGTTAACGTTTATTAAGATTAATACAAATATAATTTTCAAAAACTGCTTTAAAATATTCTGTGGAAAACCTTGTTCAGGTGTACAACATATATATTTAGATTGCTGTGATTCTATTCTTTTACACAAACATTTATGTATTGTTTAATTAAATTAAAATTTCTGTGAAACTATTTATATCCACTATTATTCAGTACGTTATAAGAATTACACAAATAATGGTATATGTCACATAATAATGAAATTATAACCTCTGTATGAAATTTGGACTGAATGAATCCTTTAAAAGATTCAAAGATTTTCAAAGTTTGTTTTTATGAATGCTTACATACATTCAATTATAGTAATCGGCTAAATAAATCGTTTATATATATTATTTTTACAGAAAAAAATTAAAAAAGGTAAAAAAATTTCATTTTTAGGATGTAATACAATGTGTTTAATCTGTATCATTTAAACAAAAACATTAAACCAAATTTTGTAAATGTAATTATTATTATTATTGTTATTATTATTTATATTTGTATTAAATTATTCTTCAAAAATCTATCCTACAAAAATGTATGATTTTAGTATTTTTATTTATTTATTATTGAATATAACTGTATTGAATGTAAATAAATTTATAGAATAAAAAAGTATGGAAAATCAAATTCACTCTGAATTAATTGTAAAAGAAGAAGAAGAAGAAGAAGAAGAAGAAGAAGAAGATGAAGAAGAGAAAGAACAAAAATGTGATACCTCTATTAATGAAACCAAAAGTATTGTACGTGATGGGGAATCAACAATTGGTATCAGACCAAGACCATTAATTTGTAAACCTGAAAATGTAAATATTGGGTGTAAGTCTGAACCCATAGAAACTAAATGGCATTGGGCTCCAGGAGCATGGCAAGATGCTACAAGAACCAGTGCTTTTCAACCATACAAGGTATATATAAGGTTTATACATATTTAAGACATATTATAAATACTTCTTTAACCCAATACTTTTTTTAGCCTCCTACTTTACTTACTAATTTACAAAGAGGTAATACACAAACAGAAATATCTCAACTTTATGGTGGAAGTGATATTACATTTCATACATTAGCTGGTCAAGGTGAACTTACACCTGAGCACATACATCCAAGTATGTTATTTTGAAAAAAAAAAGATAATACATATTGCAATTAATAATTATTAATAAATTATAATAAGATACTGTAGATACACCTGATGAAAAAAGTTTAACTGGTCTTATGTGGGCTGCAAGATATGGACAATTAGGCAGTGCAAGACAATTACTTAAAGCTGGTGCTAACAAAAATTACCGTGGCCTTAATGGAGAGACTGCTTTACATTTAGCAGCTGCTTATGGACATCATGACCTTGTAAAATTGTTATTAAACCATGGTGCAGATTCCAATGCAAGTGATGAGGTATATGTTATATATGATAGTTTTGTTAAATAAAAATTTAAAAATATTATTTTTAATAATAAAGGAAGGAAATACACCTTTGATGTATGGGGCACATGGAGATCATCCACATGTATGCTATGAATTATTATCCAAAGGTGCAGATATTACGCGTCGTAATATGCATAATATAAGTGCTTATCATATAGCAGTATTAAATAATTCATTAACTGGTAAGTAAAAATATTTCAAATACAGTATATGAAATATTTTAAAAATTATTAATTTTTTTCAGCTAAAGCAGTTATTGAAAATTATTTGATACAACAAGTGGTGAACATACCATCAGATATATTGCAATAAAATAATACCATATAAACAACGTAAATATATCTTAAAATTTTTATAGATTTTAAAAGTTTGTACAAATTAAACAGTAATATTTATATCCGAATACTTCAACAAATACTTTTTATTTTTAATTCTATTTATATAGTAAATGTTTCCTAGAAAATGCATATGAATGAAATTTGTATTCTGATACAAACGAAAACTCTTACAGAGAACTTGATTTATACTTATTTAATAAATATAGATTACATGAGAAATAAGCTTTTTGTTATTTATAAAAGTCCAAATTCAAATAAAAGTCTTTTAAAACCATATATGCGTATACAAATATTTATTTTCTCTTTTTGATTCGTAAAAATCTATTATTTTCTATTAAATATCTATTCCTGAAAATAAGAAAATATTTTTGCATTTTCAAGAATAAAAAAAATATCAAGACATTAGATGCCTCTAATAATATTATTAAAAAGAAAATAACAAAGATAAATGAATGCAAGTATAATAGTAAATTAATATTTTGTTAAAAACCTATAGATTATGTTTGTATTATTTCTTTGTAATTATAATGTCTACGTGTTTATGTGTATATTTGTCTTTACGAAAAAACACATTTATATATCTTGCATTTAGTAAATAAATTCCTGTTTTACTAAAAATTTTTGCAACTATACAAATTTTGTAAAGAAATAATTTGAAAATTTTAAATAAAACTAATATAATATAATTCTTGTACGTTAATAGTAAGTGTTCATAAAACTTTAGTAGTCTTTCTTTACTAATTATAAAACATCTGTATACATTTTTCTTCAATAGTTTAACATTATACATATACTAGATTGAACAAATTGTTCAATAAGTGTGTGTAAATTTCTTGAAATATATTCAAGCATCCATTGGTAAAAATAATGTGTAACAATAAAATTGTAACTTGAATGACAAATAAGTTGAAAATCTTTATCTTCAAAATTCCAATGGACAGTGCTAATTCTGTATTTTTGTACAAACTTAGCACAAGTAATCATCTTATTTTTCAATACTTTTATACTTTTATACCACTTCGTAATTATCAGTAAAGAAAACTGTTTCCACTGAATATTTAACTGGACTTTCATCTTCCACAAGTAAAACTTCAGTTACCTATAAAAATATAAAATTGTTTAATTTTTTGTGAACATATATTGAAATTTTGTTTTTTTTATCATACAACATATATACAATATAAATAAAAAATAGCGTACTTTGATATCAACATAAGATGTTTTAGACGAGAATGAAACAAGAAGAGGGAAGAAGTCTGCAGGAGTAGATGAAGGTGCTGAGAATTCCATTGAACCTGATTTGGTTGTTGCATCAACCACTGGTAAAGACCAGACAAGCGTATTTCGTCGTGCTTCATGGGTATACTGACCATCGCATTCACTTACTATGGGATTACATCCTATAGGTAATGGAATGTTTATTTGAACATCATTTAATTCCAAATTAAATTGTTCTAATTCATATTCTATGTTCACGTCACATCCACCTTCTCCGTTTTCAGATGGCCAACAATTAACTGTTTTAAACAACAAGAAAGATTATTTCTTTGTTACATAATAATAGATAATAAATCTAAAATTATATATAATTTGTATTTAATAAATTATTCCTACTTGAAATAGGTAATGCTGTCTCATCTTGAGCTTGCAATCGCCATTTTAATACTCCAACATCGGTATTTAATGGAAACGGTTTTGTAGGAATTTTTAAACCTATTTGGCCACGTGTTCTGAATAATTCTTTATCTACATTTGGATGCGTTTGCAATTGAATTCCTCTCGAATCTCTGTTTTCTAATTGTACACGGATTCGACCCCATTTTTCATCCGAAATATGTAATGTTACTAAACCATGCAGTTCAAAGTGTTGTAAACCACCGTCACGACCAATTCTTACATTAAGACGTTCTTCCTGTCGCAGATGAACTCTTAACATAAAAAAAATCAGTTATTTAATCAATAATATGTATGTGTATATAAGTTAAATAAATTAATATCTTACGGTTCAGTGTTAATTATCTGTGGTGTAAGTGATGTTGGTTTTGCTCCTGTTGTAGGTAAAGGTGTTGTTACAACATTTTCTCCTTCTTCCTTTAACTGATCTACAAATGAATCAACATCACGAGATTTTCCCCCTAATTTCATCGCTCCTGGACCAGCATTAACAGGCTTTCTGTATACACATAAAATATAAATATTTTTATAATATACTTTTTAATAAAATTACATATATATATACATATATATTATTTCTTACTGTGTCGGTGTATATGAAGGTCTAACTGTTTCTGGTACAAAATTAGTAGTATCTCTCACACTAAGTGTTGGTGTAAAGTTACCACTGCTATAAGAATTACCAAATCCAGGACTTTTAAGACCAGTTTTTTTAACTGCTTCCATTCTTTGTCTTTGTAATTCCTTTGCTTTCTCACGCATTTTATTTCTGGCTTCTCTTTCTTGAGTCATTCTTACAGCTTGATAAACTTTTTCTTCGTGTGAATCCATCTCTACAAATGTTCTAATCTGTGCTAAATTAACACTTTCTCTATATCCTAATGCAACTATTTCATCAAATGCAAATATCAAATTGAATGCATTTTCAGCTATTTCAAGTTCATCCATTGAATTGCAATATTCTGGTATCTATAAAAATTGAAATCATTTATCAAGTAAATTTATTAGCCAAATTATTAAATATTAGTTGAGAATCAAACATATTTATTAATTTTATATTTATAACTTACAACTCTCGCAAAAAGCCTCAATGTTTCTAAATCTTCTAATATATTACTAGCTTTTGTTGTGATTAGTAGCATATATACTTTTTCCAATGGTTGATAAACATATCTCACAGATTCTGTCTCTACAAATGTATGTTGTTTGCCAGAGCTCATTAACTTTGGAAATGCGGCAAGTAAACCTTCTATTCTGGCCTTTGTCATTTCAACAAATTGACGAGAAATAATAGCTAAAATTTATAAAGATTATTAAATTTTATTTGTTAATTACAATCGGCATTTAAAAATGACATTCATTCAAAAGAAAATAGAATATATATTTTATCTTAAAATCATACAATAATAGTCAATTAATCGCTTAATTTTCCCGAGTCGATATCAAAATAGCTACATTTGCAATGAGTAATTATTTTCATAAGATAACGACATATGTCATCATGTTCGTAGTGCATTTTATGGTGAGGAGATATATCATCATGCCTATACGTCGTTATGACGAACTATATCGTATTATGACGATAATATATAAAAACAATACAGTGATTTTCTTGACATGACGAAATATTTCGTCATACGCGGTTAAGGAATTAACGTCCAACCCGGCGTGGACCACGGATGGTTCACATATATGTTTCCAATTATGTATATTTTTTAAAAACATAATTTAAATTGGAAAATGAATCTAAATATAAAGTTATGGGAGGACGCTACATAATATCTACTAATTTTCAAAAATGTGTTGTTCTTGGTATCTTATTACTCATTATACGTTATTCTATCATGCAGAATATGGAAAAGCGCGCGGATTGAACGCATTAATAAATGAAATATACAACGAAGTTATATAAAATAATTAAAGAATTATTAAATTTTATAGTTTTTAAATATCTATTTATACATTTATATATAGAGTGATTCTTTTGTCAATCAACTTAATGGGAATGTCGATGTAATGATAATGTCGGCATGTGTGATTTATCATCAAACACTGACACTATCGCTGTATTAGAGTAGAGTTATATGTGTATATACATGTAACCTAAAAACGAAAGTGTGTAGTTGGCGACACTGTCCTTTGAGTCAATTAGCAAGAGAACCACTCTGTATATCATATTAGATAGCTAATTCATAGCACAATTTATAAACGTTACAATTAAAAACTTAAAAATATAACCATATATATAAGATAAAACAAACAGTTAAATATATTAAACAAATAAAATCGTAATTTCTTGAAAATTAAAAATGTAATGTTTGATATCAATACATGAATAATACACACATACAAGCATGCACAGGTGCGGTCCTGAAGAAATAAGCATTACTTACTTTTGCCTGCTTTTGTGCAGACTGCTGCAGCAATAAGTACCTAAAATAGTAAAAAATAATTTAATGATGCGATACATTTTAATTCTTTGCATGTTTTGTGTGAACCACGAGCGGTGGTTGACATCTGTGGCAACTGTTGGCCACACGGTCTTGTCATAAACATCTTTTATAATTTACATATATTGTCAATAACTCTAAATTAATGATAAACAAGTGCTTACCATTTTGCTGAATTATTCTGATACGTTATGTGATGTACGATTAACCTAATACAATTTTTACATAAGCCAATCCTCCATCCACATTATATATACAAATATAAGATCGCAAGCAGAGGGCGCACTATGCTGACGTGTGGCATGACGAAAGATATAAACCATGAATTAAATGATATTAAAGAATGGGTGATGTTTTGAAATATCGTATCATACACGTATAAATTAATGTTAAATACCAATATACATATTTCAATCGTATTATTATTCTAATTAATTAAGTAATAAATAAATTATATATATTTACATAGATTCATATAAATCACATTTCTCTGCATTAGTAATTTGTCGTATCGTGACATTGAGATAAAATTTGAGTTTGAATTGTAATAAACTTAGCCTAAATCTTCCTAAATTTCAAAAATATAATACATATATATAGAAAACTGTGACCTTGGTAATATATACCAAGATCATTGAAATTTTGATACTTTCTAAATTTAAATGTTTAAATAATTACACTGAATATTCAATAAAAATCATTTAATAAAGAATATTTAGTAAAGTTTAAAAAAATATATTTTAATTAATATTAACTTTCTGAATTAATTTAATATATAATATTGTACGTATTAACGTTAAAGAAAGTGGCAGCATTGACATAATGATATAGACCGTATTTGAAAGATTCTCTGTTGTTGATTTGAATATTATGTACTTTTAATATTATTCTCTTGTAATATAAAACTCTTCAATAATAATTATTTATTATTTTAAATATTATTTAAATATTATTTTAAATATTATTTATTATTTTAAAATATTAAGAAACTAATCAATAACATCTATGTAACCAGCAAAAGATACTTGATCTGAATTAAGCTTAATAGATCGAATTTTTCACCTTATATAATTTGAATCTGTCCTTATTAACACTTATAAATGATGATAAAATCACAAAAATCTCGTGATCGAGAATCACCATACAAATTACATCAACAAGATAATTGTTTTGGATTAACAGAAAATGCAGTTTTACCAAAAGATGTAAGTTCTTTTTTTTTACTATTATTATTAACATTAGTAACAGATACATATTTTATATTATGTTGGTTTTGCAAAAATTTAGAAGGATAAGGAAAATTATAAACCAAGGACATTAATTGATCAAACCTTGGAATTAATAGATCCAACACCTAATATTTATACATTGTTTGTACAATTTAACGAACGTTTTTTCTGGAATGTTTTACTTCCTGTGGAAGTTAAGTGGAGCCCCAGAATGACAAGGTATTTGAAGTTTATTCAAAGAATATTAAATAATATAAAGTTTACTGATAGTACTAAATTATTAATAATTACATTTGTGCATACAGTTGTGCTGGTATATGTAGTTATCATCCTAGAAATAAACAATGTGTAATATCACTTAGTCTACCATTATTAAAACTTAGACCAAGGAAAGATCTAGTTGAAACTTTACTGGTAAGAATTCTGTAGTATAATTATTTTTGGTCAACAATTAAATAACAATATATTAGAAGTACATATTATTAATAATTGCTAACTCTTATCATATAAATATATATTCTAGCATGAAATGATTCATGGGTATTTGTTCCTTACAAATAATAATCGTGATAGGAATGGACATGGTCCAGAGTTTTGTAAACATATGGATAGAATAAATAAAGCAGCTGGCACAAAAATAACTGTACGTATCTGTAATAAAATTAATATGATTGAACAATTTTGAATATTTTTTAAAATGTTTATATAGATATATCACAGTTTTCACGATGAAGTTAGATTATATCAACAGCATTGGTGGAGATGTAATGGTCCTTGTCAAAAAAGAGCACCATATTTTGGGACAGTACGCAGAGCCATGAATCGTGCACCAGGCCCATGTGATTTTTGGTGGAAGGAACATCAACAAACTTGCGGTGGCCAATTCGTTAAAATCAAAGAACCAGAGAACTTTAAAGCAAAATCTTCAAAGATTAAAGAGAAAGTAAAACCTTCTTCGAAAAATGATGATAATCAACCAAACAGTATGATGAATTGGCTTACAAAAAATAGTCCATCTATCACAGAATCAAAGATTATGTTTACTCCTAAAAGTACTAAATCAGCTGTAAATAATCAGAATTCTTTAAATGGATTTAAAAAGCTTGGGAATAATAATAACAATGTTTATGGTTGGGGTACAGGAAAAGCAAACAATTCAATTAATTTACAAAAATATGATAGTCCTAGTAGTACTATTAAAATTTCTACACCTAAATTTTCATCTTCTGGAATTGTTGGTGGCTCTAATATAGGTCGTAGTAATTTATTGGACAAATTATATAGTGATAATCATAGTCAGGCTTCAAACAAAAATACTATATTATCAAGAAAAAGAAATTCATTAACTAATGCTACAGAATTGAGGAATTCAATTGTTAAAGATAGTAAATCATTAAATGAAGTACAAATAAAACTTGTAGAATGTCCAATATGCAGTAATTTTGTGCCAAATAATGAGATAAATAAACATATAGATTTTTGTTTAAGACCAAATAGTGATAAAATAGACAAAAATAAAGAACAAGTTAGCATAAAAAATTCTAATAATAATAATTTTGTAAAATCAGAAACAAAACGGAATAATCCTTTATTTGCTCAAAAAAGAAAAAGTGAATCAAATACAATTTCGATTAAGCAGCCAAAAATAGATCAAATGGAAAATTATAAAAAAGCAAATTGTCCTATTTGTAACAAAAGTATTGATTTTATAGATATTAATGAGCATATTGATAGATGCCTTCTAGAAACAGATGATAATTTTATTATTAAATTGGATAATGCAAATGATAATAATATGAACAATTTAAGTACAATTATTATTAACAGCTCTTCTAGTGATGATTCATTTAATCTTTCAGTTACTGAAAATTCGGAAAATGTTAATCAAAATGCAAAAATTAAAAAAAATAGTGTATTGAATACTGTTTCACATAATTGTTTAGTCTGTAACGAATTTATTCCTTCTGGAGTGTCGTTAAATGATCATTTGGAAGATTGTATTGGGAATGTTTTTAATGACGATTTATCTTCCTTGACTCATTGTGATAATAATGAAATATTAAATACAGTTCCTGAAATATTGAATACAGCTACTGAAGTATCAATTGAAGAGAATAATAAATATCCTTGTCCTGTTTGTATGCAACTAGTAACAGAATCTCAAATGAATCAGCATTTAGATATATGTCTCACAAATACTTGAGTATATAGTAATAAAGTTTATAACATTCCTCTATGATTTATATTAATTAATAAGTTAAGTTTACAGATTATGTTAAATTTTATACCTTAGAAAAATAAATCACAATAAAAAAGTAATTGTAGATTAATATATAAAAGAAATATATTTGTAAATAACAATATTAAAATTTTGTATAATTTTCGTAATAAATTTTATAATTTGCTTTATATATTTATTCCTTATATATCTTATATATTTATTAAAATAATTTTTAAAATATTATCTTGAATATTGATGGATCAACATGAATTATAAAGTAAATGTTAAATCACATTAAGTAATTTTTTATATTAAATCAATTTTTATAAATAAAATAGTTTCTCATATAAATTATTAGTATCAAAGGTGTCTAATGCACATATACCACAGCTAAATTCTAATAGATACGTTGGAAAGAATAGAAGGATTTGTTCTTGTGTCCAATGCATGTATAAATAAAGATTAGGAATTATAATATCAATAGTATTACTGTCCAATCTTACTCTGAAACATAATATTTTATTTTTAATAATATATATTTAATATAGTTAAAAAACTATTTGTTTAGTATAACTTTTTTAATTACCTCTTTGAACCTAATGAATGAAACATAAAACTTTGTGGTAATGGAATATGTATTGTATTATTGTATACTGCTCCTCCAGTTTGATTAGGTACAATTTGTACTGTATCTATTTCATCATATATCTTGATACTAACACCATGTAAATCATTTCGTGCTGTGAATGCATATTTTGGATTTTCACTATAACACTGACCAAGCAACAGAACTTCAGGTTTATTGTGAAAAGGATAAGTAACATTGTGAATTGATCTTATATTATCTGGTGTTACAACACATGTGCCTAAATTTGGAAGTGATTAAGACAGGTAAGGTACTGTAATCAAATAGAATGAATTCTGCAGGTGCAAATAATAAACTATTTCTCTAAAATATTATGAATCATGGAAGAAAACTTACCAAAAAAAGCCTTAAATATTGATAGATCCATGTATTTATGAATTCTGGTTCGAGTTAAAAAGTAATCTATGATATCATAATTATATTCAATCGCTATTTTGTCATTATTAAGTGATAATTCACCAATATCTAATTCTTTTGGAAATGTTGCTGTCACAATAAATTTCTTAGAACTAGAATCTGAACTACTATTTCCACCAATTAGATCATAGAAGGCTCGAAATTTCCAAGCTAAATTTATCAAGTTTTGTGGCATCTAATTACATAATTAAGATTAATATAAATTAACATCTTGATGATTATTAGCAATATAATATTAAATTTACATTTTCATGTTGTGCAACAATTTGATATCTTCTCAAGGTCGATAATTCTCTTGAAGCTTCATAACAGGCATCAGAGAATGGGGTAAAACGTTTTCCTTTAGATTGTTTTCGACATTCTTCATAAGGCCATTGTGATTCTTTTGCATTTTTTAATTGATCTTTACTAATTTCACCAAGTAAATCTAATGTAACTGAAGATCCACTACATTTGCCTTTTGCTGTATCAGAATATCCCCAAACAACATTTAATGCAATTCTAGCAGAATCACTTGGCTTAGTACTCAAAAAATTCCATTCCCAAGGTACTTCTTTTTCTGCTTCTAGACAAAACTAAATAGTAGAAAATTGTATATTATTTTGTTTTATTTTTCTTTTAATTATAATTCTATGTATAAAGTACCTTTAAAATCTTTCGACCTGGTATAATTTTAGTTGCTTTAATTTTAATCATATCAGACATCCAACTGGTAATCTCGTAAAGTGCAGCTATGTTCCACTGCTGAAGAATTTGTGATGACTCTGTATTGAGATGTGTTAAAGACAGCACATGATGACTTGGAGTTTTAATATATTCAAATTTTACCTAATAAAACATATTCAATGTAAAGTTAATTACTTTATTCACTATTAAAATATAAAAAATCTTAATACTAACTTGAGTACGTTGGGCATCAATTGTACTAATATATGCAGCTAAACCACAACTACCTTTTGGTGGCACATATGTGCAGTAATCTAAGAAATGAAGAGCTGTTAAAGCAAACTCCAGAAATGGCCAAATACTAAAACAATCCAGAATAAAAATATAATAAGTAGATATCTATCATTTAATAATTGTTATAACAAAAAATGTACATGTATACTCTGTATTTAACTCACGGATAGTTAGCTCGATGTGAAGAAAACACATCTCGAATTAATTTTTCTCGTGGTATTACATTTTCACAGTCAAAAAGTTTTACGTATATTTGACCACCCAATTCTGATAATTCAATTTGAAATAGATCTACAGTCTATAAGAAAAAAAATAATTAATATTTTGATAAATATTTTTTTGGATAGAAAAAAATTTTTAATTATTACCTACTTTTGGTTTGTATGTTGGTGATTTTGTAACTAAATATAATTGAGAACAAGTAGGACAAATTTGATGTAATTTTGCTTTAATATTTAATCCTTTTATATTAGTGGATGTTCTGGCATGAGCTGTGATGCCTATTTTAAGATGTTCTAAAAAATTATAATATACAGCGTTTATAATATAATTCTTAATAAATTCTAGATTTAAGTAATATTAACATTATACCTCCAGGAGTGTTATACGAAATGAATGGACGATCTTTAAATCCAACTGTAATATTAATTGGAAGATATCCATGAATAGAATGTGCCCTTTCTGCACTATGCCATGTATCAATTAAAGGATTATAACTTTCTATTATTTCCGACTTATGAATAGATGTTCTAAAAATATCAATTGCATAATATAAAACATTGCCACAAAAATGCGAAGTTGTGAATTATTCTATTATACCGTAATATAACGTGATTATTACGACCAACTGAAATATATGTAAAATTCCCTCTCATAGAAAATAATGATGTTGTAATAACTGCAAGTCTAACATTTGCTCCTAGATCTGTAACTTGGATTGATTCCATTGTTAATGGAACATTAATACGTTGTTGATTAACATGAAACTCCATATTTTGATATATATGATATATATTATCAGATAAGGAAGACAAATCTAAAAAAAAATATAGATATAAAAGCAATATTTAGATATATTCAATTCAATTCCAGCAATTGTATTTATATTGAGATATAAAAGCAATGTTTAGATATATTCAAAATTTTTAGAAATGATCATTTATAAACTCACATTTAAATCCTTTAATAATGTTTGTTTCATTAAGATGAAGACATAAAACTGTTTTTTCTTGAATACGTGCAATTACTTCTAAATGTACAGGTCCATTTTGCTTTTGATCTAACTTAAATTGTTTTAATATATCCTTTACTTGTGTTGGACCATCTAGATGTGTTGATAATGAATGTAGAAGACCTTCAGCTTTAATATATAACTACATATACATAATGTTTAAAATATTAAAAAATGTCACCTTATAATAATTAAATAATTTTAAATCAAATACTTACAGATACATGATTCATATTGATTCCATTTCCATAAGTATTTATAGTTACGTATAAAACTTCAGGTATGTTTGTTAAAGGATTAGCAATAACAATACCATGTATCATAGCACCAAATTTTCTATATGTATCCTGATAGTCAAATAAATAGTTACCAGTAATTAAATATGGATTTGTAGTTGGACGAAGTACTCGTGTAAATTGTGCAGCTATCGTACCTCTGTAGATTAGAGTCACATACAAAAATGATATTTCATTATTATAAAAATTACATTATATAAATTTATAGTAGTTCTACATACATATGAATGTAACAAGGATGAGTAGTACGTTGTATAGATTTCAAAATAGTATAAAAATAATTATATAAATGTTGACTGGATTCACTTTGCATGTACCAATATAATGATATTAATCTGCTTGGTGTAGGACTAGAAACAATAAGTAGTGTCAATGCTGCTACCCTCATTTCTAAATGCTCAGTCCTATTTATTAAAATTGGATAATAGACACGATATATCTGTGATACAAAATAAAATAAAAATAATATTTAATAATTTTTTATATTTATACAGAGATTTAATAATTTTTTATATTTATATCTATATTTATGAAACTACTTACAACATCAGGCCTTAAAGGAGCAGTTGAAAGTGATGCCCATGCAGCAAGAACACGAAAATGACGTGATTCTGCATTATTACCACTTGCAATAGGTTCTAAAAATTCAACTACTCTTCCTAGCTGTATATTTGCTAATCCTTCTAGCCAAATCATTTTTTTTTCATATTCCCTATTCTCTATGAATTATATTATTATAATAATACAATAATAAAAGCATATATATAAAATTTGTTTAACATACATATATTTATTACATACCTGTAAATTTATCAAGATACAAGCGTACGTAATCATCTAACATCTCATATGGACAATATAATAAACAAGTCTTATAAATCAAGGTGCCGTATGTAAGAATAGCGGTGTTTTGAACTTCAACAGAAACCTTTTCTGGCAAATTTAGAAACGTTTGTAAATTTATTAATAATTGAATGTCAGGTTTTCGTATATGAAATGGCAACTGAGTGAGAAGTTGAATTGCGGACATATCCGAAACTTTTTTATCTTGGATTAATTCTAATATAAACAATGCAGCTTCTTTAGTACCAACTTGTGGGAGAGCTTCAAGAAACATATTTCTACAATAACATAAAAAATATGTTTTATAAATAACATACAATACAATAACATAAAAAAATATATAATATATTTTATAAATTATTAAAATTATAAATAATTATCAAAAATTTTAAGCACCGTACTGTTTCTTCTTTATAACTTGTTCCTGAGATTTTTGTGTATGCATTGCGTAAGTCAATAACATCTAACATTCCAAGATAGTAGAGTAATACAGTTATTGTTGTATTATGTAAATTATTTGTCTCTATATCCAAACCAGGATTTTCAAGTCTCAAACTTAATCGATCTAATAAAGTTCCTATCTATAATAAATATTATGTATATATAAAATATAAAATATATAATAGCATTACATATCAGCTACAAATAATAAATTTTTCAAAATCAAACTTACAGAGGTAAAAACAGTATTTTTGTCAAAAATACCTCTGCCTTGAGTGAGATCAACTTCTGGGAGTTCATGTTGTAGAACTTTGAAATATAAATCTTTAATAGATATCTTATCTACTGTTTCTTTCACCGAAATTAATTTAAAAATTTGTCTGTATATCATGAAATTAATGTAAAAAGCACAGAAAAGAATAGTTTTAGTAATATGAAAAGATAATTTCATAAAATAAAATAATTTTTATTTCCTAAACATACCTTGTAAAATGAAAATGTGCTTCTCCAAAATTTTGGAAAGGTTGAATATAAATGCCTCCAGAAGCATTAACAAATAAAATCTCATTTAAAGATCCATTTACTTTAGTTTTGTATAATCTTTCACTGGACTTCAATATTGGATTCTAAGTATATATGAAATTTATTGTATGTAATAAAAAATAATAAAAAAGTTAATAAAATAAATAAAGATATATACAACATACTTGATCTCCATTAGGACATAACATATTGGGAACATTTGACCAAGTGTAATGAGGATGTCCAATACAAGTTCGTGGATCAAAAAATTTTCTAATTAACCACTCATTTTTTTGTTCAGGATTAACAACATATTCAATATTGCATTGACCATAATGATTTTTCTATATATATAATAAAATATATTACTTAAAATAGAAACAAAACCAATACACCTTAAAAACTATATAAAAAATACTTATTAAACATAATGACTTACTTCAGTTGAATGAAATGCTGTTTCCTTCTCTAAGTTAGACAGATCTAATTGTAAAATTCCTGCTATACTTCTTTTTATATTTACAGACCATGGTGATATTGCTTCTGTAGTAAAATTTTCAATAAGACCATTTCTATATATAATTTGAAATGGTTTTAGAAGATCAGTCACATCTTCAGGAATATCTTGATTTTTTCCTTGTTCTTGAATTTTACCATTCCAAATAGTCATTTTTAATGATTCCAACTATTTGTAAATATTAAATATATACACACTTCAATAAAATTGTTAATTTCATTTTTATATTACTGAAGATGACATTTTAAAAGCAAGAAAAAATATAGTTTATTTTTCACATTCTGTTATTTGTCAGTTGTGAAATATACCTGCATTGTAGCAATATCTTGTTCTGCTTGAATTTTAAGTTTCCCATTAAAACCCCATGAAGATGATGCACCAGATGGTAATAAAACACCAGAACTTGAAAGTGCATTGTAAGAATATACATATTCTTTTCCTGATTGAAATATACTATTTGTAACATGACTATTACAAAACAGGAAAAATAGAAATATAATTTCCTTTAATTTATGCATTAGTATTTGTATATAATTAACATCTGTAAATAAACATTTTAAATTAATACATGCATGAAACATCTTTGTTTTATATAATTTAATTTCATAATTTTATATTAAACTATATTGAACTATATTTTATACTAAACTATATTTTAGTGACATAATATTTAAATAAATTCAACAAATTATATTATTCATGATATGTTATAGTTATATAAATTATATCAATTGAATTATGTACATGCTTATATAAATATTATTTATTTATAATAAATATTTTGCAACATTACTCACAATTTAATTAGTATCATTTATAGTTATAAAAAATAAAAATATTTATTCTGTACCTGCGAATTTCATGGTGTACAATAGTGGCTTAACAAAAGTGAACTGAGTTCATAGAAGTCAAGAGATGACCCTTGCTGTCCCTATCTCTGTGACCCATGAACACGTCTTCACTATCTGTGTGAATAAAACTTATCTCCTGTCTAAATTATCTTCAATTATATAAATCAACCTATTACATTTTTCTCTGTGTATTTTATATGATATCCAAATCATACATCATAATTTTCTTTAATCAAATAAATATTAATTTCAAAGAAACATTTCTTTTCTAATAATAATAAGATATAATAATTTAAAATATAAAATGTAAGATATAATTTATTATATACATTTTCTTAATAAATTGTATAATCTTACTTATAGCAAAAAATAGTTTCAAAAATGCAATACAACATGCATACAATAATTACATGAATGTATTAGTTTTAAATGAACACTTAAATTTTATCTAATAAATAAAGTAAAATTTATCTTTTCTACAAAATGAATTATATTAAACGATTTAATAAATAAAATGATACTTATAATAAAAATATTTTTTTTAATTGTAAGAGGAAAACTAAATGCAATTTAATATTTACATATTTATTTTGATATACTTCTATTTTTATTATTTACAATCATTATTGGAAAGTATATTATATAATTAGAATCTTATTTAGTATATTTCTATACAAAATTACATTTTATATATTATATACTAATTGTACTGCAATTCATGTACAAGATTATTTTAGTAGAGTAACTAGCATAATTGTACCAATGATATAATGTCTATAATTTAAACTGATGTAACTTCACAAGAAAAGATCACATAATGATCTATTTGGTCTCTTTTTAAAGTGTAAAGCCTTTAATTTGACAATCGATCATTGAAAGTAGATGACGAAATGTTAAGATCTCTTGAGTTTTTGTCGTTTAACCCTGATACTCAAAATAGAATAAAATTGTAGGAAAAAATCATATAGGAAGTTTTAAGGGTTCATTGTAAAGAAAAAATTTCAATTTTCAAGATTATAGTGGATTTTGTTATGAAAAAAAATTTTTAATGTTTTTCCATGTGATTGAATTTTCGAGAAAAAGTATTTTCACTTTGCCACTTCCTACATGATGTAAAATCGTCTTCGACTGTTAAAGTATAGCCTTCACGTTTTAAAATAATATCAAGTTATATGATCTTTTTTTACGAAGTTATATCAGTTTAATAAATTATTGAGAATTTTTCATTGTTATGCTAGTTACTGTATGTGTATAAAATTATAGGTAGGCATTAATAATGAATATCATAAAATAAAAATACCATGAAACACGATTAAGAAATGCGCATATAATTAATACATTACAAAGGTTTAATTATTTTTAAGATGGACTTCGAATATTCCCAGGCTTCGCTGTAAAAGTGAATAATTAATTTAAAATATATACGAAAATTTAAAATATATACGAAAATTTAAATTTATACTTTACTGATAATTGATATATTTTATACATAAAAATAATTCGCGAAATCAAAACGCGAAATTCGAAATAGCAGACGTATCTAAGATTATTTATTTACTTATTAGAACTATTAGAACTTTGAAAATAAAATGATTTACTTATTTAATAAAGAGTTTACTTACTTATGTGCTGGATTTGCTTGATCTAATTGTTCACTAAGTTGTTGAATAAGTGTAGCAAACATTTTGAGATGCTCTATTGTTTCACCTTGTAACCAAGCACGAGGAAGTGTACTCATTACCTATTATATAAAACCATTTAGATAAGAAAATAGAAAATAAGTGTACAGAAATAAAATGTATGTAAAATTTAAAATAGTCAAAGCAATATAGTTTTTTAATACAGTGTTGCAAAACAGTATTGGAGTGAATGAGAGAAACGAGTGAGAAAAGAGAAAAATATGTACACCAAGCCCACATGGTTCTAATGCGAAATAAAGTTTATTACCACTTATATAAAAACATTTGTAGTATTTCCTAAGGAATGTTTACTTAAAAGTTTAGAAAAATTATTGAAATAAATGTAAATAAACATACCATATTTGCTTTAAATAGTGCATCAGTTGGAACAGATACTCTTAAGCCAGCTAAAAGATATCGATTTAATAGTGAACCAAGAGCTAAATTTTTCAATTGTGTGTCTCCAAGAAGACCCTGCCAGCTTAATAAATTTCTTAAAAGTTTTACAGCCATAGAAAACTGTCTTTGAAAAAATTGGTGTTTGGTATCTAAGACTCTAAAATATAAAATAAAAAATTATTAACATTATAAAAATATTATTAATTACTTTAAATGAAAATAATTATATATTAATTATATACTAACTGTTTTGGAAAAATTGGTATAAAAACGTCATTTTCAACTGCTGATTTAATTTTTTCCAGTATGGCATTAAATAATGTTTCTAATGGTTTACTTGTATCATTTAAATTTGGATAATCCCTAATAAGACGATTTACTGTGCCTACAAGTCGTAATGTTTGCGATGTAGACATTGGATCCCAAATTCTCTCAACTATAGCTATAAATAAAAATAATTTTGTAAATTACTACAAAGTTTCTAATTAGCATTTTAATTATAGTAAATGAAATAACCTTACATGTTAGTTTAGGTATAACAATTTTTTCTACTGTGAATGGTACTAATCTGACATCTGGATCTCTTTTTAGTGACTCCTCTGTTTCCTTATTATTTAATGCATATAGAAGTAAAGTATTATACCATTTTGTTCTCTCTATATCTGCACTTTCCTAAAAATAAAAAAATTTTTATTTATAGTACGTATTTTATTCTGCCAGTATTATATTTATAGTATTATATTTATAGCTAAAATATATGCAAGTTTGATGTAATGAAAGTACCATAATAGGATTCCACGTCAATAATTGTAATCTAATAATCGGAGAAATGATTTTAGGTATACATAAAGACACATAAGCTTCCATATAAGCATCTCTATCAGTTTCTCTCCAAGATTCTAGTTTTGAAAGTATTCCTCTTATTGTACAGTACTCATCCATGACATCAGAAAATATTTCTTTACTTTCACTATCAATTTCATCTGAAAATAAACAAAAAAAGAATTTCATTTCAAAAAATAAAATTAGAACATGTGATCAGCATATTAATTAGATAATAACGGACACTGTAAATTCTACTTCTTCCTAAAATAAATTTGATAAAATACAACCTTTTGTTTGTTTAAACGCGAGATTTTGTTGCTCAGTAACTTCATCATCACTAGACATTCCGTCAATATGTTTCGGTAATGTGGGAGCTAATTCTCTAGCTCTTCTTCGACGAGCTCTTCTTCCTTCTCTTTCTGTAGCTCGACGAATACGAGCTTCAACTTCTGGCCCTTTTCGTATAAGTTGTCCTCCTGTAATTAAAAAATGATTCGTACATAAATTATACTGATAATAATATAGTTCCATTTAAGTATTTTTATATATATTTTTATATTTTTTTCTACAAATATAAATAATCGTGTATAATTAATACTAAAATAACTGACTTGCAGCTGTTGTAATTTCTTCTGCTTGATCCCTTGTATCTTGTCGTCTTCTTTCCATTAGTTCAGTTGCACGTTCACTATAAAGATCTAACCAGCGCTGCTCCAATCCAACAACCAGCGGCAGCTAACAAAAAAGTTACATATTAACATTGACACATTGAATTAACTCAATGACTTTGGGAATTATTTTTGTTTCAGAAAATGTTCATATAAAATTTTAGTAATATTTTTATAAATTTAGTTTAAGTAATTTATAAAAGATAACATAATATATATTTTATACATACTAAATAATACATATTTTGTACAAAATAATATTTTTGTTTAACATTTGCTGGAACTTAATTTGTAATTCCACAGCCATTGGATATCTTTTGATTAAAAAGTTGAAAATAAATATTACGATTTACTTACCACATATATTAATATATCTTTTCAATTTTTATAAATACTTAAAAATAATTTTTACTACACGATAATTTTTTTATACAGAGAAGATACTGACCCCCGGCAATGCAAATGTACATTATATACACACATATATATGTGTATATATGTATATATATATATATATATATATGTGTGTGTGTGTGTGTGTGTTCTAATTTTTTTTCTAAAATTTTAAACTTTACTTTAATATGCATTTTTCTTTTTTTTTTTTAACTTTATGATATAAATACGATAAAATAACATAATAACTAAAGTATACTAATAAAATAATATAAAAGAAATAATAGAAAGGGAACTTCTAATTCAATAATAAATCTTTAAGAGCATATTCTGTTATACCTTCTAATATTTAAATACTTAAATATTTCTAGTATTTAAAATTTTTTGATAATGCATTTAGCAATGATTATTATAATATAATATTATCTAATAAATAATAAATGTATAAGTATTATATAAAATAAATTTAAAAAATATTTAAAAGAAAGCTGTAGTACATTTATTGTCGTTAACATATTTAGTAAGAAAAATGCATTATTTTCTAATATGGCTGAACAATTACACAGCCAAAAATTGCATGGAAAACCCCAGTGCACATAAAAAAACGTGACAGCGTATAAACCCACCTTCTCATCAAGACACTCTACCAAGTCAGTGACATACCCACGCAACTCTTGGTAATATCTGAAGCGCTGCGCAAGCTGCGGTGCACGAATTTCACCATCATCCAGTTCTTTCACAGTTTGTCCTAACTCTTGTTCTAAATGTTCCTGATCTAATTGATGACGTCGATGTACTTCTTTTAAACTGTCCAATCTACAAATTATATTTTTACTTCAATTTTACAGAAATAAAAAAAAACTATTTTTATATTTCAAAATTAAAAAAATTCTAAGATTATATTATATTTTAGATAATTTAGATAGTATTAATCCAGTTTTCATTACCTTGAACGCATTTTATTCACGACTTCTTGAGGAGTAATTGGTACCATTTTTGTAGGATCTGGGGGCTGAATTGCGGGAGGCGGTGGTGGAGCTGGCATCATCATCATTTCCAGAGATATTCCACTTCCCATCATTGAATTTACATTCATACCCATTGAATATTGTTGTTGTATCATGGAATCCTGTTGCGCTGCTGCAATCTAGATATTTTTATATATTATTTACTATAAATCTAATAATGTACATCAGAGAAATTTTTCATACAAATGTTACCTGTGCACCAGTCACACCTTTCCTAATCTGTTGAGCTTCCCATTCTTCTTCTTCGTTTTCATGTTCACTTTCATCATCAGAAACTAAAAAAAAACACAATGTATTTACATTTATTAAATAATAAATAATAAATCATTAATAAATAATAAATCAAAATCTAACGTTTTAATGGAACTTGTGAAGCAAGAAATGCTTCTCTCCTTTTTTCTTTATCACGTGCTTCAGTGTTAACAGTCATATCAATTCTGTCTTGTGAATCATCATCATCACTTCTATCATGATCTTCTTCTCTAATAAGTCTTGATTTACCTTTATCATCACTGGAAATTAACATATTAAACATTTTAAAATTTAATAGCAATTAATCAAATTTTGAAAATTTTATACTATACTAATTATGTCACAAAAAATATTACCTTTGTTCTTCTATAGGGATATAATCAGTTCCTAACTCTCTTGCTTTTTGTCTGCATTTTCTAGCTGCATGTATCATTGCAGCATCTGGTATACAACCACCTTGTAAATATAAAATAATATTCATTACAATATTTTCAAAACATTTCAGAAAATAAATATAAAAAATACAAAATAACAAGCTTTGACTATTATAGATATCAATTAAATATTACATACTTTCAAGAAGAATTTTCATTGTATCAGCTTTATCTGTATTTCTTCTAAATTTATGACTGCGTGGTTCATCTTCTTCTTCATCAGATGTATAATCATCTTTCCCAGCTGCTAATGCAGCTCGTCCATTTAGAATTAAAGGTCCTGCATTTTTTATTTTAACCTAGTGATAAAAATTTTTAACTGAATGAAACAAAACAATTAATTAATTAATAGAAGTATGGCTAATATTAGATTGTATTGAAATATTAGAAAATATTTTTGTATTTAGAAAAGTGAAAATATTAATAAAATGTAATATTACAATCTTTTTGTAAGGAAATTTAATTAATTTTGTAACTACCTGTATGTATGTATTTAGTGTATGGACTTATCTGCATTGCATAATATATATCCATTATATCAATAGAATAATATAAAATATGTTAAAACACGTTTACATTTTAAAACTACATGGTTTATGAAAGAAAAATTCTATCAAAGATATATTTGCACATATTGATAATCTTTGTTATACTTTCAATGGATGTTAAATATAAAATATAATAATGAAATAAATTTCGATTTAAAAATGACAAATGTTTGAACCCTGAGAAATTCTAATAATAATAAACATCATAGAAATAGCTTACTACTAGATCATCTGTCTTTATTTCTAATTCTTTTTCCAGTTTAACAGACATATTTGGTTGTTCAGAGTCCACTTGCATTTTCTCTTCACCTTTCTTTTTTTTCCTTTCGTAATCTAGTTGTTTCATTAATTTTTTGCTCCTAGATGATTTCTTCACTTTAAAGACCTCTCCATCGTCCGCTGTGGAATAATAAATTTTTAGTTTTTTATTATAATAAGTATACTAAATATATTTCGTGAATAAAAATATTTATATTAACTAAAATGTTATTTAACATTATTTAAAAAGTCTATGTATCAAAAATTTAAGTATGTTAATTAATTTTTTCCATTTCATTATGATCTTAATATTAAATATAACGAAATTCGTAATTTTTATGTGGTATACGATTTAACTAAAACCATTATAAACAATATATTTTTATTTTATAATAAATGTGCATCTGCATAAATACGTGTAAGTGCACAAATAATCCTGAAAAAATACCTTCTTCCAGCTCCTCTCCAAAACTAAGGAGCGTCTGCTTTGGCTTATCTTTCTTCTTTGCTTTCGACTTTACAGGCTGGGTATCTTCTACTTCCATTCTATTTTCATTATCCTCATCATCGTCGTTGAACGGTCGACGGCGGATATTTCTTTTCGGTTTATTAAATAATGACATTGTCCTTAACATCAATCAGTCTGTTTAAACTATTCACACATATATACTATCCTTAGGTTAACTACTTAAGTTACTAATGGTAAAAAAAAAATAATTCAAAATTCATAGTATATCAGCTAATATGACAAAATATTTTGGAAAGTGTTCATTTACAACTTCTTATAACGTTAACTAAACTCGTAGATATGCAACATTAATCAAAAAATGCGACACCTTCATGAAATTGTAATATGGATTATCCACTGAATAAGAAACCTTGTAGTTGTAGAATCGGTTCGAAGAAAAGCTCTCAAACTTCATACACATGAATTTGATGCATTTCCTTGTTTGGCTTACTGATTGGTTTGTTGTTTATTTTTGCATTTGCGCGTGTGCGTCTAGTTTTTAAATTAAATATTCATTTTTCTCGTTAATCACTTTTACAATGATAAATTTTATTTGTTTCTATATTAAACTGAATGTTTTATATTAAATATTATAACATTATTATAACATTGTAGTGCAATCTGAAATAAGCGTTATAACATTATTATAACATTATAGTGCAATCTAAAAAAAATACTATAAATGTTATCAGTGCAGACAACACTTACTAAAATTTTAAAATGCACTAGAAACAGTCACAGCTATAGAAACAATGTGTGTTAATTAAATTGTGTAAATTAAACTCTGAAAACTGATTATTTTAAGTTAAACATAAATTATTTAACATGTTACTAATATAATATAGGTATTTATTAAATTATTTCTGTATTAATATTATAAATTTTATTAATATTTCAATGCTTGTAATTTAAATTACAAATAACGTAGCAAATATGAAAAATCATGCTTGTGTAATTACTCGTGGTCATCATACTGATATTGCTTTGAAGATTTATAGGTAATAAAGTAAAGAATATATTAATTTCTATTGTCATAATTTATATTTATTCAAGATAAGAATCATAGATTCAAATTATTTAAGAATCCTTTTTTAAGAATTCCTAACTAGTTTAAAATATTTGTGTTGATATTTGTTTATAGTAATCGCACATTATTAATCATAACACATTTTAAAAAATTTGGATCACTGATTGCGATAAGCCGTGGATCTTTGTTCAATCAATACAATAATAGTATATATTCTGCTAAGTAAGTAATATTACCATCGATAATATATCTATAGTTTTAAATTATGACATAAATAATGACATTGATTTTAGAGTATTGTTTGGGAAAGATGATGTTGAAGTTGTGGCAGCTGCCCGCTATATAGCAGAACAAATTAATGTAGATAAACCATTATTAATTTCAATATCTTTAAAAGATTATGAACCAGACACTTTAAAAGCTATAATTGCAGCTATAAATGATATGAAAGCATGATGTTATAATGTTATAAAATAATAAAGCAAATATGAGTTTAATATTTGGTCAATTAGTTATTGGACCACCTGGAAGTGGAAAAACTACATATTGTCATGCTATGACTAAATTTTTAGAAAAACTTGGAAGAAAAGTAGCTGTTATTAATATTGGTAAAAATTAATATTTCAATGATTAATTGCAACTGAAACTTTACATTTGTGTATCAAAATAAATATATTATTGTTTCGTGATTGTTATATTATTTGCAGATCCTGCAAATGAAAACATGGAATATACACCAGCAGTAGATATATCTGAATTAATTAAACATGAGGAGGTAATGTCACATTATGGACTTGGTCCAAATGGAGCATTAGTGTATTGTATGGAGTTTCTAGAAGCTAATGTAAAATGGTTAATTACAAAAGTTTTAAATTTGAAGGATCATTATCTTATATTTGATTGTCCAGGGCAGGTATATGTTTATATATTTATATAAATATTGCACTATGAAATCATATCTTTTATTTAATATTATTTTAGTTTTATCATTTATTAACAGGTTGAGTTATATACACATCACAATTCAATTAGTATAATTGCTGAAAAATTGGGACAAAATTTAGTAAGATTATGCAGTGTGCATCTTGTTGACTCTCATCATTGCAGTGATGCCGGTAATCTGTATATATAATATATTATAATCCTATGAAGAAACTTTTGTATTAAAAAATATTATTATGTAACCTTTTTTGATTATAGGCAAATACTTATCTTCTCTAATTCTTTGCACAACAACTATGTTAAAATTGGGTTTACCTCACATTAATGTGATGACTAAATTTGATGAAATGAAAAAATTTAGTCACTGCCTAGATTTTAATATAGATTTTTATACAGAAGTGTTGGATTTGAACTATTTACTAGATAAATTGGATGAAGACCCATTTACATCAAAGTAAAATTTTTTACTGAGTTTTGTTATTCTTTAATAAGATTTCTGTAATTCAAAATATAAAATTTTGAATATTTTATATTTACAGATATAAAAAACTAAATGCAAGTTTTGTGTCAATGATACAAGATTATAGTCTTGTTAGTTTTATACCATTAGATATTTCAAATCAAGCATTGTTATTGCAAGTAAAAAATGCAGTGGATAAAGCTAATGGTTATATTTTTGGTGGAAATGAACCTCAAGATGTTCAAACTTTACTTGCTTGTGCTGTAGGAGCAATGAGTGAAACTGAAAAAACGTCAACAATAGATGCATATTTTTAAAGAATTTATTTTATAAAAAAAATCATTTAATTAAGTTCTTCTCTTTTCTATATTCAGATTCCTTGATATATTAATAATAGTCTAATGTATCTATTTAACAAAATATATTACATTAATGAACATAGTTTCACTAATTTATTATCATTTTGACTAGTCCATTTGGCTAACAAATATTTGTGCTAAGTCATCATAATCATATACTCTTTTCAAAAATGTATCTGTTAATTTTAATCCCGAAATTGTCTAAAATACATATAGTAATATTGAATATATATAGGAACAATACTAAATACTTAAAATATTTCTATAAAAATACTCACCACAATACCACTACGTAACGCAATTAAACATAAAGGAATATCTTTCGAAACACCAGGTTTTAATGTTCCTATCATTGTATTAGATATTCCACACCATGCTATAGAATTACTTGATTCCAGACTTAACATTAAATCCATGCTCCTTTCTCTAATGTTAACGGAATAAAAATTTCAATTAGAATATTGATTACAAATTAGAACTATTTTTCTTATATGTGTAGGTAATATAAATTCTTACGACGTATTTATTATATGACAATTAAAATTCATCGATTGTTCAAGATAAACTGTAAGAGGAATATTTTTCATAGTAACTCGTATATCGCCATATTCCGGTGCCTAAAATTAAGTAAACAATTACAAATATAATACAAATTACGAACGAAATAGATTACAAACCATTCTTTGTAATTGACTTGTTTGTAATCTTCCCCTTTCTCCCAAATTACTTCTCCAAACAATATCTAACTTTCCAATGTTTGTTGCATTATGCATCATTTTTGGATCTTTCAATAAACTTAACTGTGGTTTTAAACAATATAAATATTGTCTACTGCAATCAGTGTCTAATATATTAACTGATCCATAAATAGATTCACCTTTTTCATTTGTATTTAATGTTGATACTAAAGGTATGAAAATGATATTGTACGAATTCAAATTTATAACAATATAGGATAAACATTTCAAGTAAACTCACCACTAAATAAATGAGATGATTCAAGTGAAACTTTTTCTAAACAAATTGGTCCAGCTGTAAGATTCTGTATTTGTGCTTCCAGATAAACTTCATCTGACTTCAAAAAAATTATAGAAATTATAATAATTAATTAAATATTGCTTACAAAAAGTATATTATAGGCTTACCTCTGCATTGTAAAATTTTGTTTTAACATCTAATGGTTTTATTACTTGAAATTTAAAATATTTTCTAAATGATTGTGGAGTACTACCTAAATTCACCAGAGTATAAGTTACTTCACACACTAATCTGGAAGATATACATTAATTATTTCTAAATACTTATTGCAATTTTAGTGGCTATGTCTTCTTACATATGGGTGCCTATTTCTTTCACTTCATGATGTATGACATCATCAACTGTATTATCTGGTGCTAAATCTTTCATTTCTCTATTACTACCACAAAGTGATAGCATCTGAGTACTTGTTTGTAAGTCTGCCTATAACATGAAATATACTATTGTTTATAAGTTTTATACAAAATGTTATATACATGTTTATGGAAACTAATTAACGTATTTTTACAATTAACTTACTTTAACAGTAACATTCTTTACTAACTGATTACTACCATTATGTACACAAAGATAACTTGAAAATATTTCTCCCAAATAAATATTCCTGAAAATATAATTTTAATATTAAGTTTCTTTCTGTATTTTGTAATTGTATTTAAGTAAAATAAATATGTACATGTAATTGTTACTATATAATTTATATTTGTATTTAAGTAAAATAAATATGTACATGTAATTGTTACTATATAATTTATATATAAGGTATAAATAGTTGACTATAAATTATAAGTTAAATATAAATCTAAATTTTAATATATATTCATATGTGTACCCAAAACTTTGTGGTAATACCATAAACTGTCCTACTGCAAGAGTTTCCATTCCTTGCAAAGCAGTACAATCATTTTTAAGCTCATTATTTAAAGTATTACCAGGAAGATCTGTTGAATCACAAGTAACAACTATTGGACTTGCAAGCATAGGCCTCGTTAATCTCATCACTAAAAACAGTATAAAATAAAGGATTGGTATTATCTTAATTAATATCTTAGTTAATATTAAAATAAATATGTTCTATCTTCTTTTAATTTAAAGTAACAAAATTATTCTTATTACCTTTTAATTCTAACGGATGTTCACTTTTTGGTTTAGTTTCCATTTAGACTATGAAAGATAAGTAGCAAAGGAGTTTAAAAAAATAAATTCTTATTAATGTCAAATGAGAACAAAGCTGTCATGGAATGTTACTTAGAAAATATAACCTATATAACATACATAACACTCGATTCGATTCGATTTGCCAAATCGATAGTTTGACAAAAAGTAGATTATTCTCAAAAATAATTTAACAACTATTTAACAAGCATTTTGTTAATTTTCTTAGTCTCTTTTTTGCAAATTTAAAAATAATCATAAGTATTATAAATGTAGAAATTTGAGAGAAACATGAGAGGGAAACGGTACGATACAATACTCTCAATTACACAGATTGTTTGTAATAACAAATATATGTAATAAAAATTAATAGAATCTATATCGTTCAACAAGATATTTAAATATCAAATATCGTGTATTTAATGCTATAACAAAGAATGTTATAAGCATGTATAATATTGAAACAGATAAGATTGAAAATTTTATAATACACAACATAAACTTAACAAGAGGGCGTACATGATGCATCTCCTATAATATAACAAACGTATCATAACACGTTTGTAATTCAAAGATTAAATGAATGTTGATTTATTTTCAATTATTTGATTAAATTATAAAAATACGTATATTTTTTCAGTTTCTTTCTGTTTTGTAGATTAGAAATAAAACAATTGTATCGTTTGATAGTACAATAATAACGACTTCATGATAATTACTAGCAAAACTTTTGTTACAAAATGTGTTTACAAACATTGTGTGAGCATGATATTTTCAATTTATTCGTGACTTTATTTAATTATAATATTTAATAAAATGAGGAATGGCTGAATTACATATAATTGGTCGAATTTCGTCGGCAAAAGATTTTAAACAACCACGACTTTTATGCAAGTGGAGTTTTCATGCTGGTAATAGAATTTTTATTGTATAAAATGTTTATTATTATTTACTACATAAAATTCTACTTTCTTTATAGGTAGTGGATGGAAAATTTTAGATGGTTGCGAAGAAGGACAAACTCAAGAAAGTTGCGATTTATATACCAATGAACCAGTTTGGGATCATCCCATAGATTTATACTATACAACACAAACTCTTCAAAATTCACCAAAGCTTTTGTTGCAAATATTTCATAGGGATGCACATGGAAGAATATTATTTGGATCTTATGGTGTCTGTAATATCCCTTTGTCTCCTGGATTACATTTTATAAAGTGTCATACGTGGAAACCAATTGGTAAATTAAATATTTTCCAAGAGAATTTTATTGCAATTTTACGTACATATTTTACATATATTTTATCTTTGATATATAGGTAATTGGAAAGATAGATTAAGAGATAAGTTTTTAGGAATAACTTTACAATTGAAATCACCAAGTGTTTTAGTTAATTCCTTGGATAGATTTGAGTTACTTACAGAAAGTATGGGTACAGTTAAAATTGAATTGCATATACTCGCACGAAATTTTGAAAAATATGGATGTCATATGTGAATACACATTATTGGATTATTAAAAAACATAGAGTAGGAATACTCATCAATTAACACATCTTGACGTGTGAAATATATAGAAACATAATCACTATGTTTTTAATAAAATTTATATTAATATTTTTATATCTCATATCAAATGATTTTATATCTCATGTCAAATCAATATATGCAAAGAAAGTTGAAGAAACATATACATGTGTAAATGAAACAGAATGTGTATATATTTTAGAAGAAACTTCAAGCACTACTGTGGAAAATATTTATAACACAACTAATAGTATTATTAGTAGTTCTACATATCCATCACAAACTCCAAAATTTCAATTAGTACCAACTACACAAGTGCCTCATAAAATTAAGTTTAGTAATGAAGCAAGAAACCAAAGTGTATACAAAATAGATTCTGATATATGTGAATGCGATTTAACAGTAAATTTTTATTTCTTAATATCTGATATTTAATATTAAATGCATAATGTTTTTAATTAATTAAAAATTATTTATTTATATAATAGGTATCGTCTTGTGACATTAATTGCTGTTGTGATAAAAATTGTAACAGCTTTCATTTAACTGTGTTTTCATATTGTGAAAGTCATCAACCAGAATTATTTGATAAACGTTATTGTTATAATAGAAATTTTATACAACGAAATAATACTCCATTTATACTTGAAAAATTGGCAAACAATCTTTTTTGCATTTTATATGATAATCTTCCACCTACTTATGATATGAACTATGAACTGGTAAGATTAAAATGTATTATGAATGTTAAACTACATTTTATTGTGAAACTTTTTATTTTATTCAATTTCATACAGGATATAAAAACTGCAGAAGATTTAAGAAAAGTAATAAATTCAAATAGACCAACATGGAAATGGACAGATCAAATATATATACCTGAATATAATACTTTTAGTCCTTATCAAGATGGTGATGTTATGTGGATAATATATAACAATTATATTCAACCTTTTGGTATATACAATTACATACAATATTATTTTTACCGATATGAAAATTGTTTTTAACTAATATTTTTTTATGAATATTTTTTTAAAATTTAGAAATACTACAATCTGGATTTACTGCATTGTGTTCTTTTAAGAAAACTTTAAAATATCTTCGTAATTGGAAAGATCAGTGTTTGCAAACTGAATTAATTAACACAAATAAGTTCCTATTTCCTACAGCATTTAATAATTTTACAATTATACCATCTCCTCATTTATTAAATGAAACTTATATTTTAGTATCAGATCAGGTATATAAAAAACAGTAACATTTCTTAAAAAGTTGTATATCAAATTTTTAAAAAATAATAACACTAAAATTTATAATTTGCAGGTGTGTCCCAAAAATGTATGTTTAACTTTAACTAATTATTATTGTAAAAATTATTGGAAAACTTGTAGCAATAATACTTTATTGGGATCATGTTCTAATGGAAAGTGTTACAACATTGTAACAGGTGTAAAATATTTAATTATTCACAATGGTTCTATGGGAATTAATCATGTTGATGTGTACTTTAACATAGGTAATGTTTCTCAACATTTTTACCAACAATTTCAAGTAATTTATGAGTGGGTAGAATTGGATAAAGAAAAAAGTTTCTCTTTAAGTGGTAATCCTGGCTATATTATTGGAAAACCATTAATTATTGGCACTTTAAAAGTAAATAAAAGTAATAATATAGAGACTAAATATATCAATTTTAATAGAACTAGTAGTTTTTTGACATTACCTATAGCTACAAAATCTGGTGAATGTAATAAGATCGATAGATATACTCTTGCTTTTGGGGAAGATATTAAGTTAAAGTGTTCTATATTTTTACACACTAATAATTTCGGTACAGTACCTTGTATAGAATTACAAAATCTAACTATGCGTTTTTTAATGCAAGATACTTTATTTAACATTACACAAACAGACCAATACAATATTTATGTTGCTAAGTCAGGTAATTTTTCCAGTAATGATAGTACTGATTGGGCACAAATTTTATTGGATAGAATACCACAAAATGTTATAGTAGGACAGTTTGTTAATGGTCGTTTATATTGTTCAGGACTAATAACATCTATACATTTGAATATTTTATATTCTGCTTTAACAAAACCCGAAACATTAAATAATCATATTATAATAGGAGTCGGTATTACATTTTCTGCAGAATCCAATATATCTTGGTCAAAATGTTTATATGAAAACTGTTCAGATATACTTAAAGTAGATGTCATAAGTTACGTTACATTTCATGATATATCAAAGCCGTCCAAGTATTATTTTGCAGGAGGACCTAACTTGGATATAACTTTGCCATATGACTTTTTTTATCCTTTTTTAAGTAGTTCAATCTGTGTTAAGTCAAATAACTTTTTAATTAGTATAATATGGGGTATGATTTTGTATAATTTATTTTATTGATCTCAATGATTAAAGTACATACTTTATCCTTGTACTTAACATACATATTTATTTAATATAATATTAAGTGTGACTTTGTACAATTTACTGATCTCAATGATTATCCCAATTTGTTGTTAAAATATTATTTTATTAAAATACTTAAGACACATATTACAATATAAATTAAGAGATAAGATAAAAGTGTAGATAAAGGAATAAGAAGTCTCACAAGATATGTAAAATTGCTAATTTATAATATATTTAATTTATTTCACTCGTGAAATAATGTGTGTTTAAAATAAATAAATAGGTGCCTTATAATAGCTCGTTTTATTTTCTTTATAATAAACTGTATATTTAAATTAATTTTATTAATTAATTTACACGTTACAATAAAATATATATTAAATTTAATTTTATTTAACATGTTAATTTAGAAACTTATAATTCTGAATTAAAACTCTGTTTTGTATTTAAATATACTAAATCGTTAAATAAGTTCAGCGAATCGCTCGTAGATGGTGATAGATTACACTAAATTTAAATTTCACGCGGGTTTTCTTTTATTTCTCGAAAACTAACCATTTCCGTTTTTTAAGAAGAAAAGTTTTTGAGTGGCATTATCACACGAGATGAAAAATGGATATATTATAACAAACAATATTGTTTGGATGTAAATACATTTTATTATATACTATTGAAGTTTAATAAAACAATCACAGAATACCATATCAAGTGAGGAATACGAAATTAAAGAAGAAATGTTTCTTAGTAATGTCAGCAATTAAAAGTAATTTTGTGGTATGATAAATTACAGGCTGTTATTATTATAAAGATCAGAATACTTTCAGATAATAATCTATTTTGATTGATACGTAAAACAATTTGAAAGTGCATTACTCCCTTTTAAAAATTGTGACATGATGAGAAATTATTGATAAGTTGTTTGTGTTCAAGAAGTTAACATTTTTCCATTGTGAAAATAAAAAAAGAGGTAATAGAAACTAAGAGATCATTTGAGTTATGAAAAAATATTGCAAATGTAATATTTTAATAAATAACATTTGGTAAGAAATCTACAACGCTTGGTTAACGACTTAATAACATTTATTTATTAGCAGAAATGTAATATTATTATGGTTTTGTAATATTTTAGAATAATATTAAATGATTGGTGCAAAATTGTGTTGCATTTCAAAAGAATCATAATATGGAGAAAAATTCACTAATATAACGTTGACCAATGAAAGTCGTCTGTTTAAATCGTTCACCAATCGGAAGTTGCTCAGTTTTCTCTTTGAAATCTTGCCACTATAAACTTGGTACGAACTCCTGTAGCTGTCGTGATGCACTATGGGACGTTGGGTTGTGCTTCGCTCCAATACAAGATGGCTGACACTTGTTAGTAGTGTATTTTCATTTTATCGAATGTACATTTTATAAAAAAATCAGTGCCTTCGTACTCACGTATGGTGCGTGTATGTTTGTACAAGTAGTATAGAAGTGGTCTTCTTTTTTTTACCACGTAATTTTCTTATCATGTATTATCAGGAGACATCAAAATGTGCCGTGAAAGTGCTAGGGGCAGAATAATTATCCGTCACCAGCCATATTCATATGTGTTCTTTTGTTATGACAATTGTGATATAATTCTTCTGGAATATAGTGCCAAGGTGAAGTGATATCTCGCTTTGTTGCGCTTTTACTCTGTCACTAGTGTTTCGTACAAGATTCGTTCCGCTACGAAATAGATTAAATGAAAGGTATGTATGTATTTACTCTATCTTCGTATGCCTATTCACGAGGCACTCTTGAAACTCTATATCCGTGTATTTTCTCTTTTTTCGATTGTCTTTTTCTTTTCCTCGTGCTTGTAAAGCATGAGAGTCGACTGACCTATTAACCTGTTGTATCAATTAATGTGATGTCATGTATGGTTTCTTAATTTTTCGCTGACATATTCTTTCAATTTTAATTACTGTCATTGTTTCACAGATTCTCAGAATCGAACAATTTCTAACAATCTCTAACGGGCTTCGACAATAAGTTGTAATGAGTGATTAAAGTAAACTCTTGGTTTTTAATATCGGTTTAATGTAATTCTTATCCAGATAAATTCAATTGTTTATGATACTTCAGCGCAAAAAATCTTGTGGTGTCGAGAATAAGCAAACTAAACATGGCAGTAACATTGATAATAAAATTCATAATATATTAGAAAAAAAATACTTTGGTTTAATTTCATTTTTCATAAAACTTCGTTTATTTTACTTTCAACATAATTTTTAAAAGGAGTGAACGCGAAAAAAATTTTTAAACAGTCTTGTAATGATCTATTTTAATTTTAATATTTCATTCATAATATATAGAACGGTATGTTAATATTAAATATTCATGAGATCTTAAAAAATAAAATATTATCAAATTTCTCTAAATATAATAAAAATAATAAAATTTATTATAAATTAGATATCTATTTTATCTATATTTATCAATTATTCGTTGCGAAGAAAGTTGTGTAAGAAATTAATAATCTTGTTATCATTTTAGGTGTATTAAATTTGATCAAAATATTATCAATGCACATGATTCATTCAAAATTTGTCATGAAAGGATTCAACTCACGTCTGGCACAAAATATAAATCACCAATGTGATCCTGAAGTTACCACTGAGATACTACACCAATCTTGCAACAAATTGATATTTCAAAAATTTGGAATAAGAAGTTAAAAATTTTACACTGAATGCTTCTATAAGGTATAAAACGTAAAATAGCTGGTAGCTTTAAACAAAGTAAATTATTTCACTTGTTTCATAGTCATTATTTCACTGTTTCATAGAAACACTTCATCTCATTTATGAAATTAACAAATTATTTTTAACATTTCTGTTGAGAAACATATTTAATTTACAAGGTTTTTACTCCTTGATTTTTATCTTTCGTAGTAATTTTAATCACATGGTGATTTTATAGTGATTTTTTACATAACAAATATATATGTACATGTAATTATTGCAAAAAAAAGTAATTTTCGTTTTTCACGTTATCACAAAAATAACTTATTACAATTATTTTGAAATATTATTTTTTAAATTTATATTCTAAATTAACGAACAAATGAAATTACTTAAAATATCATAAATTTCATTAAATATTTAGAAAAATTTGTAAGCAAAGAAATAAAATCATATTGAAATTTTCTTGCATAGAGTGCATTAACTTCTTCGAACTTCATGCTATATTATAGTATATCATTTATGCAGAATTAATTATCATTTAATTTTCAGTAACTTTTTACCGTTTCATATTTGCACGTTTATAGAAAACCTTCTTTCTTCATTTTAGTTAAATATACTTCAAATATTTTACATTGAATGCCGTTCGTTCATTGATAAAGATCGATATCGTGGAATAAAAATGAAAGATAAAAGACTTCTTCTCAGATTTTCTTACTTTTAACACGCTAATAATATCTATGCTAGAAATTAATTGCAAATATTTTTGTCGCATTAATCGTTAAAAAAATTTAATTTTATAAAAGTTCTGCTTCGTTAATAAAGAAGCAATTATTATTCCAACATTTACGTTCTGTTGAATCAACTTCAGTAGAAGATAATGATAATTGATGTAAAATGGAGCATAACATGAAAATTTATGTTTAACCGTCTTATTAATGAGAACTGATAAATGAATAAATCTTTGAGAAGAATGGTATATACGGTACCACCAAGTGAATTATTTGTTTGTTAGAAGTTAATTAGTTACATGCATTTCCTGTCGAAAGAAACGAAATGATTCCTGCGTACAGAAATTGACAGTATTGTACATAATTTTATTTTGTTTGTGTTTACTGGATAGATTTCAGTGGAATGTGTTCTTAAAATATTTCAGTTAGATAAGGGTTAAATATGCATCTAGTAGGCCAGTCTTGTGCTATTTTAAGAATAATAAGTATAGAACTGAATATCTGTTGATGTGATTATCGATTTTCTATAGAAAAATAGATCAACATTTTATTGAAAAAGGAAAGAGAATATAAATACATCAAATATTGCATGTTAGAGTTTCCAATGTAAGAATATGTGACGTAATAAATGTCTTTAATATAAAGGTTCTCCTTTGAAGATGTGTACAAAACAAATCATTAACCCTTTCTAATTATCTATCGTTTCATATCAATGTTCCGATAAATTTTTACAGTTATACCTAAAGTAAGTTTGAATAAAACATTTGTTTTTTATTTAATCAAATTTCATATATTATCTTTTACGATACTTTTATATATCATAAATATTATAATATAGAAATAGATTATTCTTTATTCTTTCTTATTTAAGTAAAGTAAACATAAAAGATACTTTCTTATAAAAATTTATTGAGCACGTTAATTATTTCTAAAAAGTATTTTAGTATTAAAGAATTAATTGTGATTCAATCTTTTGATTTCATATTGTTCCATTAACAAGATTTTTTAAAAAGTATCATTTAATTTAGGTTTTATTATATAACAATTAATTGAAAATCATACAGCAGTGAATTTCCAGGAAATTAATGGATTATGCGACAATAAATAATAATTAAATATGAACATCATATAAAATATATATGATTATAAGCTTGTGAATGTACGATGCAACGACAGATACAATCCCGTTGATAAGGGGACATGATTATTTATTAGCTTCGTGCGCGGTGAATGATCAAATATCCTGCATTCGTTAAGAAGCAATTATTCTTCAAAACATAACAGTTGTTTTAATAGAGATATGCATCCTTTTGTAAATCATGATCTGATAACTAAATCATATTTATTTGTCACTGTATTTCGAATGATTTTACAGATTTTATTCGACTTGTTTGTAAATCAGTAAGATTCACAAAATTTAATATTATCATATATTTTATCGCCTTGGCATTGAGGTAATATTGCAAGTGAAATAAGATTAAAAGATCATGATCCAACGATTATATAACATCAACAGAAAGAATAAAGTTCAAAGAGTAGATTATCCAACACTGGTTGAATTTTCTAAAATTCATTTCTGTACAATATGTTCCTTTATGTTATCTTCTATTATTTTCGATAATAATGGAATAACAATTATTGTTATTATTTGTTAATATTTTAATTTCATTCATAGAATATTAGTTATAATATATTCACACAGTATTTTCATCATATCATCACTATTATCTAGTCTTTAAATTATTCAAAAAACCTTTTATTATACTTGTAAAATTAATACCCATTAATACCCAAACATTGGTAGTTTTCTAATGGATCAATAAGTCATATTTTCGTAACTTATTCCATATTTTGTTCTATAAAACCCAGCTCTATAATATTACATTGCTTAATTCAAAATTCCACCTTTATAATATTACGTACATATGTGGCTGGACTGCATACGTTTCATCTCTTATTATTAACTAGATATCTTCTTCCATAAAATACTTTTTACAGTTCATATAATAGGTCAAAAAAAAAAAGAACAGTAATATCTTTTACTAAAATGTAGTGAACTTTCAAGAGGTTGAAAAACACGATAAAACTTGTATTCCTATCTCCGTCGTTGTTTAAAAGAGTCTACGAAATCGATGTTTCCCGTTAGCTATATTTTCTCCCTACTTCTTCGCGCAGAAGCTTTATTTTTCTCGTGGTAACTGTTCGAATGAAAGGAAGAAAGATGACAAAAAAAAAAAAAAAAATAATGATTTATCAATCGATGATTTGAGATTGCTTATGTTGCTAATGTTATTTCGTTTTGGTTGCAGGTGATACAGTCGTGCTGCAGCCGGGGCAGAGGTGAGGGGAGGCCAGGCGGAGATCGAAGAAGGGATGAATGGAACGGCGGCGTTGCGACGCAGCGTCGGGGGTGGCGGAGGCGCCGCCGGGGGTGGAACCGTGGAACCAGCACCCGTTGCCACCCTCGTCGTCTACAAGGATGATGCCGGATACGGGATGAAAGTCTCCGGTGATAATCCTGTCTACGTTCAATCTGTGAAAGAAGGTGTGTTACCATGTTATCGAGGTTTTAATATTCGTATACAGTTGGTTATTTTTATATCTTTTAACAAGAAAGTTTAAAGATATGACAAGTTTGAGACGTGATAATACAATAATTTACGGATATGATATTACATTGGTTAAGATAGACTCGGTGACTTGATTTGCGGTATATATATGTATTTTTTTGATAACATATTGGATATTTTTAGTGAATATTTTGAACATTTATATAAGATATGGACCAATTATTATAGTATGTTGAGTTAATATTATTTATTCAAATTCTAGTCAAATACTATTTTGATTTTTATATTCAATGTATGCTATTAATTTTTACTCGTATTGTTTCGTTTATGGTTGTTTTTCCTATGTTCCAAAAATTTTTATTATAAGAAGTGATTGTTATTTCAAACAACGTATTATCATTTTTTTTTAAAACTGTATTTGTTTAATTGTAGCGATAACCTCGCACAATACTAATGTTACAAGTTATTAGTGTGTTAATAGTACAAGTACTACTACTACTTAGTATGATACTAATTGTCCTGAGTAATATAAAGTGATGACATTTCATCGCGTTATATTCAAATATTTAATATGTTAAAATGAATTATATTTTAATAGGTCGTAAAATTTAGGCTATATTTAAACTGATGTTGTAGTCTATTTTTATGATAAAAATTTTGTTTTTCACTTTGAATTTTTTTAAGAATAAAAATTTTATGTAGATTTTTATACAAAAGAATGATAACGTATATTTTAATGTTTGTTTCATACGATCGAATATTTGTTTCTAATGCACAAAGTTTATTTACTAAATTATATTTTTGAAATAAAACTTTTGTTAAATATTTTTAAATCTTAGATAATGAAAAAAGAAAACAAAATAAGTAATTTTATTTTCGGCAATGATCTCAAACTATTGGCATATTTCCTTAATATCTGAATATTTCATAGAAAAAAATTTTTAAATCTAATGATTTATTGTAGGTGGTGCAGCTGCGAGAGCTGGTCTTCACGCGGGCGATAAAATTATCAAGGTGAGTCTATTTCAAATTTGTTATTGCAAATATGTTATTGCAAAGTAATACTAACTAAGGTATTCCCTGGGAAATTATCGATCGAATGTGAATTGTAAATCGTAATAACTATGTTTAAAAATTTAAAAGATCAATACGTTGTATGAGTAGAATTAGTTACGTTTATAAAACGATATATTTTCACTTTTTATAACCATGATTGGTATTTCCAGGTTAACGGCGTGAATGTAATGCAGTCCACGCATACGGATGTTGTACAGCTCATAAAGTGTAAGTTTACATACTTTCTTTCTTTTCTACGACCTCTTTTTTATTCTTTTCTCTTTTATTTCCAAGACATAGATACGTTATTTGGCAACGAAACGGAATAAATGTTCTTCTACAAAGAGACCATCGTAGAATGAGACATTTATGTAAATGTTAAAACGTTTAAAACAATCCTTTCTTTTATTAATAGAGATGAGTGTTAGTTTCAGAGATTAAAAATATTTTAGTGAATGATATTCCATTTTTTTTTAATTTTTATTATATAAGATAATGTTTTTTTAATAATTTTCTGTTCTAATTTTCCATGATAAATATACTCACGAATACAAGAGGGATGCACATTTTTTCTCCATGATAGGATTTTCCCGTCGATTGAGCATTTTTACGTAGTCTACCTAGCTAACTTGCAACATGAACACACATAGGGTGGTTCATACTTTGTAAGGTATTCTTATGTGTCGTTGATAATCACAGGGGATACGTGTAATCCAATCTAGCTTACTATAGGGCATTAACCCGTATTTTATAAAAGTGGATAAAGTAGATATTACATTTTAAGAGAATTACCTTCGAAGTAGTAAATTAATGATGAAGAATAAATTTTTTTTAAATAGTAATTATATTTAAAAAATTAATTAGAATATCAGTTAGAATTAGAATATCATTTTTACTAAATGTACAATTTTTTTTTCTTTTCTGAAAAAGTAAATAATAGATCTATATTTAACATTTCAGATAAATTATCCTTTAAACAAAATTAAACAATAATTTCATTTCATTTAATTACATTACAGCTCATTTATTCTAACTCTGACAAAATTCTCATCAAGTAAAAGCAGGTAAAAGCTTCTTGTTTTGCTACAGTCAAACTGATGCTTGACAAAAATCTGTCGGACTATATTCCATGTTTGGAAAGCTTTTATTGAAAGTGAATCTGTAAAGCTTATCGGACAATGTAATTTAATTTAGAGCTATCACGAATGTTACATAAAAAAAAAAAAGAAAAAAAACGCACAGACTTGCGAAAGAAAGTTTATTCTATTTATTCTAATTAAGGATACTCGACGTTTGAATAAGCGAGATTTCATCGAGCAACCTGTCTCCTTTTCTATAACTTACACCATTTACCTAGAGAAACATATCAAATGACTCATGATCGACGTTTATACATCATAAAAAACCGGAAAGGAAAAAAGAGTTAAAATAGTTTGTCGTATCTGTGAAAAGAGACATTTATAAAGATTGCGAATGATTGTTGGTGACTTTATGTTGAACACACCAACATTAACGAAGCTTCTGTGGCGACGATCCCAGTGATGTAAGCATGTGAGTTTATAGCGGTGACCGTTCATAGAGTCTGTCTTTCTCCTTCTAACAGCTCAGGTACGACATAATGATTGTAAATGCATTTTTTCCATCGTGGTGCTGTAATTCCACAAAATTCTGTTACGTTTCAGGCGTAACACGTGAACGAAACGAGATGAATTGTTTTAGCTTGTGTTAGTCTCTTATTTTGTCACGTTGCAATTAATTTCTAATAGAAGCAAAATGATGAATATCTTTATTTGAGAAGCAAATAATTTTTGTTTGCTAATCAATAATTTAAAAGTAAAATAACTAATTAAAGAGTTGTGCATAATATATGAAAGACTTGGAAACTAGATGTGAAGTGTTATATAATTCAACATTTAAAATATGAGACAGCTTTGATTATCTAAATTTAATAACTTTTCAAAGTACGTTAATTGTCCTACTTGAGCATTTCGTAAGGCAGCAACTTTTACACGTATTCAGATTTCACTAGACTCATGAATATTTAAAATCCATTCTACAACGCGAAGACTTTTCAACAAATTCAATAAAAATCTCATTTCTATACCGAGTCACGATAATATACCGGATTTTCCTTGGTAAAAGGCGCATTTCTAAAGATGTATCGATAAGAATTTGCAAATTATAAACTTGCAGACGCTCAAATACGAGAATAAGCAAGACTAAAAGACAAGCTAATATAAATATTTTAACGAGAATTAATCGTGTTAGAATGTTTTACTTGTTGAAGTAACTTTTGTCTTGCAAAAATAAATAAAGATTTTATGAGGAAAGGCATATGTGTGAGAAGGTTCGCAGCTGACCGTTAAATCACTTCCATTTACAGCTGAGTCAATCTTTCTTTTGGAGTTTCCCAAAGTCACTACTCTAATAAAAAAAAAACGTATAAACACTTAAAGCATTCGGTCATATACGGAAAAAAAAGAAAGAAAATAAGAATTATCCTAATTTTATAGAAAATAAAAATTTAAAAAAAAGAATTTTAATCTTTTAGGACAAAAACTCTCATCTTGTGTCATAAATGTTTCTTTAATTTGAATGAACATTGGATTATACGTATTTTTTATTGTAGAAATAGAGATATTCTGCAAAAGTAATAAAATAACAACGACAATTCTCTGTGACACGAAACGAAGAACGAATTTTGTTGGAAACGAAATAAACAGTTAATTTCCATTGTTAAGATGAGAAAAACATTTGTAGATCCATTTTCTAAGAATTCTTAGTTATCGAAATTTTTACGTTCGAAGAATAAACTACAGTATTAAAATGGAGGTGTGTTGTAGCGTGCAGTCAAATGACGAGACCTGGTCATATATCGGAGATTAGCCGTACAGGCGCGTGTAAACATAAGAATCTCGTCATTCATATTAATACACGCACCTGGGGCCAAGTTTCTCGGTACGAATGTCTTTACTGCTCCACGGATCGCCTCGGTCGTCGCCAATCCATGCCACGCAGTTTCGCAGACGACACGGCTCTCGATGCGTATCCTACCTCTCCGTGAAATTCCAAATTCTCGAATCGTCGTTACCAAAATTTTATCGAAAGAATCATTATCGGTTCGAACGTGTATGTTCTCGTCGACTGTGTATCTATATGAAGACGCGAACCACGTACGACCTCAGGCAAGCTTGGAAAAAAGCTCGTGCGAAAGCGTACTCTGGTATTTTCAGCTTCTTCTAAAACGTTTACGTTTATGCTTCGCAATTATGTAATTTCACCGTTAGGACACCAGTTATTGTTCGTTGGAATTTCACTTATTTCTCGATTCATGTACAACTCATTCGTGACTCTTTCGTATCAAAGGAACTGTATCCGTTACAAATCGCGTAGAATTTCAGGTCTTACGAGTAATATTTATACTCTCCGATTCCATAAAAATGCAAATATTTGGCGAGTTGTGCATATTTTCGGAGCGCATGTTTAGACAACAATTTTTGAGGAAGAGGTACACTCGCGTTTTCGAAATTTAAACTGTCGTTGCAAAGTTGCGTGGTTGGTTCTGCGGTTTCGATTTTGTTAATTAATTTTTTGGCACAGTGGCGCATTTCCAGAATTAGATAAAGAAAATGACGTCATAGATGTCTCAGCTGAGCGTAGGAATGAGTCATTCCTAACGGTGTGAAGGAGAGACTAGATTTGTAATTATCAAACAGTTGCATGTAAACATTATTCTACTCAAATGACAAATATACTTTTATATATTTATTCACGATTGCGATCTAAATCGAATGCATTTTGCAATTATTCTTTTGTTTAATAAGTGGCAAGTGCTTGGGAACTTCCTCTTTAAAGTAGTTTGAGGTCTACCAAGAATTCACTGCGATAAATTTCAACGTTTTAATTTTTTATATACCCATTGAAGAATAGCTATGATCAAGACTATTTTCAACACTATACTTACATGTTTGCTTTATAACGTTTCGTTGTCGCAATAACATATAAGACTTGTACTTTTCGGATTATTTATCAGTAGATAGCGGATGTCTTTTCTATAGATGCCTCTATAGAAAATTTAAAGATATAAAAATGTGTAGAATATAAGTAATATGAAAAAGGGAAATTCAAATGTATCCAAAGTGAAGTACACGTTATGTTTAATAAATGAAACAAATTCCTATTTAAATTTCATTCTTTTATCTGTATTAATAAAAATATTTATTTACATAGGCATCTGCACTTATCAAATATCACTTATTAATCATCGTATGATCGTTCATTAATTATGGTGCTTAAAAATCTTGAAGTAAGAGGAACGCAAGACAAAATCGTGGTATTTAATATGCATGAATTGTGCGTAGAATATATCTAGAACTCGAAAGGAGACTGAATTGTTCAAGCAACTCTCAAAAGAAAAGTAGAGGGTCAAATGCGGGAGAAGAACCGGCAAAGGTATGCGAAAGGTGACTAATCATCGTCCTTGAACTCGTGTTGCAGCTTCGACGCAGGTAGTACTGACGGTACAGCAGAAGCCAGTTGCAACGAGCAGCGCGGCGACAACAGCCACGGGTCTACAAGTTGGTCTGGCGGGTGGACATCAGCGACCAGTTAGTCTATCAGCCGGTACCACGATGGTATCACCCTCGCAGCCGGCAACTTCCTTACACAGGGCATCGACTGCTCCAGCAGCCGGTGCACCGTGTAATGCACGTATTACGGGACCTCAACCTGTTGATGTAAGTCGGTTTTTTCTTTTTTGCATTTTATGTAGCATTTATGAATTAGATTTATAACAGTTGTCCCATGTAATAACAATGTAATATCATATAATTTTTTTTTTCATATATTTTAGCATGAGAAAAAGCGGCAGCTGGAAACCCAGCGCGTTCATACATTCCAGCTTATGTTGGAGAAAGAACAAAGTTATGTTGATAAGCTTCGGAGCGAACTCGCGAAAGCTAGTACTGGCAGTGGTAATGTTAACGTTGTAGCACTACAAACAGAATTAGCGGGCGCCGAAAGGAGAGTACGCACCCTGCAGGAACAGCTAGCTGCAATTACAACCAATGAACAGGTGTGGTTTGTTTAATGATGTGCTTTAATAACATGCTCAAGTTACTTAAAAAATTTCTATTTATTGCACTAATATCCTGCATCAGTTTTACGTAATATAAACTATAGTTGTTCATACATATATATGATATTATAAATATTATGTTATTATTCATAATCTTATTCATAAAGACGTGAGTTTGTCATAACGCTTATATTCATTAACATTTCTTATATCCCTATATATTTTATTGTGTCTTGCATTTATATCAGTGTTTGACAATTCCAGTTTATGCTATTCAGTATTGTATTAAATAGTTGCTCGGCATGATATTATTGGAATGTTTATTTTTATGAATGGAAAGCATAATGACAAGAAAATGAATATAAGTTTTATCATTGATTATTATAGTAGTTCAGTAACTTTTGATGTATGTATCAATAGCGTATAGTTATAATGATAAACAAAGAAAAATGACAAAACCTACATTCTGCTTTTACACATGTACTTTCTGAGCTGTACAGATACAACTATTATATAATGTATTATATTATGTTTGTATTACAATTCAAATTTTCAAATGCAGTCATATAGGGATGTATTTCAGCTTTTGCTAACTTTATCTAACCAGCTTTTGTTGTGTCTTACAGCTTTGCTCGTTGGTAACAAACACCTCGTGTTCCCCGGGTTATTATTCACCCTTGAGTAGTAGCAGTGGTGATGTACCACCACCTCTACCATCTCGTAAATCCTTGTCCATGCAAAGCCTGTCTCCGCCACCATTGCCTCCCAGACCTCCGCCTACTACAAATATGCACCACGTAGCCCAGTTGGAGCTGGAGCGTCATCTGTTGACTCATTTAACGCCCTCAACCACCAGTCATGGCATACCTAACTCTGTAAGTAGTCTAATCGCTAAGTCATTAAATACATAATTTATATCAGTGTATGCATGATAAAAAAACAAGTACCGTGTAATTACAATGTGAATACTTCTAAGAGTAACTCATATTTATATGTAGGACAATTTATATTTTTATATTTTATGATATATTTTATAAATCCCATTCTTATTAAATTTCATTTGTTTCATTTGATACATTTGATCGCAATTTATGATAAATAATGATTAAGTATTTATTTTGTATTAAGAATTATTATGCTTTTTTTGCAAATACTTTTACTTTATGTGTAATCAAAAACTTATGACGAATATTATATTTCAGAAGCTGTGCTTGTTTACTGAAGTGTTGCTTTTATTAAGTAATATATTTTAAATATGTTTGCGATATGTATTAAAATATAGTTCATGTGATTTCACAAAAATTTGTAGTTATGCAGAGTATGTACTTTTAAATGTCATTTCATAAGCATATGTTTTATTTCATTTACTGTGGTTGCTGTGTTTAGCAATTTTTATATTATATATGTAAAATTTAGTGTGTAATGTGTGATAATGCATATAATACATTTTTTATATATGAATTAGTATTTTTGCATATGAATTACACGATGTTTTATTTGATTAATGAATTACTGATATAATAATGTTTTGGTTATTATGTATTATCTAATAAATAAGCATTTAACTTCTTTATAGCTTTCACAAGGTGCAAATTTGGGTTCCTCAAATTCACTTAATAAGCACCAACGAACAAAATCCAGTCCAGAACAACTGGGAACAACAAGTATTTCTCCATCAGAAGCTAGTAGACGTTTAATAGCATCAGAATCAATGAATGATCTTTCTCCTCCAAGGCATGTAAGGCATAGTGACATTGATATAGATGAATTACCTCATATCACTCCTCCAGGAACTCCACCTCCACCATATCCAGTTGCTAGTCCAGGAAATGATACTTCGGGTTCTATTATTAATGATGTAAGCTTTTTATAAAAAAAATTCTCTAAATAATTTGATATTTATTCATGTATTTTTACTTTGTTTCAGACAATATTAAATGAAATCATTCCTGGACTGCCAACATTACAGCAACCAATTATGTCAATGGAAGATGATGATATGAGTGATCAAGAAGTAGTGAGTCTCATAAATTTTCTATTCTTTTTATTTTAAATAAAATAATTTATATAAATTCTTAATTGCTAAATGTGGGAAATCAATTATCATTATAGGGACAATTAGAAGATCATGGTCCATTTAAATCTTTGTCTCGATTATGGGGACATCATGCACACCTTGCTGTATTTATTAATTATGTTTTATCAAACAGTGATCCTTCCAGTCTGGTAAGGATTAGTATACTATGATGTTGTCTCTAAATACTAAATTTTATTTTCTATTATCACTTAAAGTGATTCATATTATTTTAGTTGTTCTATTTAGTAACGGATTTGTACAAAGAAGGCAATGCAAAAGAAATGAGGAAGTGGGCGTATGAAATTCATTCTAGTTTTTTAGTACCTGGTGCAGTAAGTAATCTTTTTGAACATATAGATATACCTTTTTGAACATATAGACATTGTATTTAATTTAAAATTGTTTTATATAGCCTCTTCGTCTGCATAATGTAGACGAAAATGTAGCACATGAAATAGATGACGTTCTTTTGAAAGAATCCGATAAGGAAGAAATTTTACGAAAAGTATGTATTTCACAAAAATATCTATGCAACTATTTGTTCGATATGATTACATAAAATATTATATTTCTATTAGATTTTTTGGAAAGCACGTACACGTGCAAAAGAAGAACTGAATGAGCAACTTGCAGACTTTCAACAAAAGAGAACTGCTGGATTAGGTACATTATTTGGTCCAAGTGACGCTCAATTGGATGAAAGTGCATCTGATAGGACGCGTGAAACAAAAATCATAGAAACGTACCTTTTACCCAAAATGGAGCCTTATTTGTAAGTTTAATAAAAATATAATCTTTATTCTTAACACTTCATGGCATTTAACATTACACTATTATGTATAATGTTCCAGAGAAGATATTGAAAAAGAACATGTAGATTTGCGACAATTCACAACAGCAGCTGGTTTGGCAACAATATTAACAAAAATTTTCCAAGTCCGGCCAGTATCGCTTGACCGAGTACCTACTTTTGTCGCAAAAGATAAGTCAAACCTCAAAGCGCGTTTGCTTACGGGGAAAACAAGAAAAATGACAATCAGGGGTCATCATTTTGTCGCTCATCAGTACTTTACTATTACTTATTGTAATCATTGTCAACTTATCATTGGCGGAATTGGACCTCAAGGGTATTTATGTAGTGGTATGTATAATTTTATTGTTATTAATAAATTAAAAATAGATTTATGGTTATATATGGATATCGTTAGAATTAAACATTAAAACAATCTTTCCATCTTTCTTAACCTGCTTCAGATTGTTCTCTAAGCGTTCATCGCCAATGTGTTCGTGTAGTAGAAGAAAATTGTCCAGGACCATTGGTTAGAAAAGAAAGAGGTAACGATCGTATAAGTAAATTGATGGAACGTATTAGGCCTGAAAGGAAACCACCATCATCACACCATCATCATTCTCAAAATCACATGCTTCATGGTAAGTAATTTAAATGCATATTACATTCTAAATATTTCTAAGTTATAAAATCTACTTTTTTCTTTTTATGTATACATCTATTGTAAATAAAATTTACAAATATGAATGCTTTTTCAATATTATAATATAAAATATTTTATTATTACAGTTGATAAGATTAAAAGGAGCGAAGAAGATACTGGTGCATTGACTGATGGTGAAAATGGTAAGTCTGTTATTTGCATTAAACTATTTAATGAAGTAGTATTAGAAATATACATATTTTAACTGCGACAATCATATAAAACTTTATTACCTACAAAGTTCCGTAACTGTATACTGTTCCAATATATTATTTGCTTGTCGTTCCCATATTTTTATTGCTTTATCTTTAAATATATGCTCAGATTATTTTAAAATTTTTAAATGTTATAATAATGGTCCAGTTTATTAATTCGTGGAAGATAAAAAATATTATTTTTAATATATGTAGAAGATAAGAATATATTCATCTTAATCACTTCATTCGTTATATAGCGCGATAACTCATCAAATGCCATTAAATTTTTATCTACTTCTCAGAACAAAATCTACACGTAACACGTAAACTGTTGTACAAACAGATTCTATATGACTATATCTTCTCCAGATTGACAAAGTATGAACAAATTCAGTTTCTCATTAAAACATACATTTATCATGACAACAATATTTATATCAATTTGCAATTATATATGTTATACTGTAGTCGTAATTGTAACGCATATTTGCATTATGTAAATATAACTCGTGTAAGTATATTTTTTTTCTTTTTTATTAACGTTATCAGTTATCTCGCAGTTTACTGTCTTCATTTCGAATAAAGCGTTCCTTGACGAACGTAGGTCACACGTCAGCCATTATTACGATTGTTTGTCTCGTCTAAAGAATTTAATATTTATTGCAAATTAATAATAACTCGTATTTTCTCTCGTTAAAAAATAATTACAAAGCATACGATCAGTAGTGAAGAAGTATTATAAAAAAGTTGGTTGTACGAATATTTCCATTTCAAATATATTCGTCAGAAACTGTTCGTCACAGCTCTCGGTGGTTCTTTATCGATATCTTTTTCTCTCAGTTTTATAAGTTGAACGTGTATTACTTTGATAAAACGTTTTCATGAGAATGTGCAAGTGTTATATTTCGATCCAATATAAAACTATTGAGGATTATTTCACGTTTGGGAGTAGCTGCATTAAATTAATTAAATTGTGTGACGTCATGACAATTAATAAGAATATTTTCGTGTTGTTTAATATTTATACAATCGTCTAAAACGAAAGATTAAAGAGGACAGTGTCAATGTTGAAATACATAATGGATATTTCATACGTTTAAACTGGAGTGTAGGTAGTTTTTATCAAGTATCGTTGTTACAATAATCACGTTGCCCGATAAGAAAGTTTCGCAAAACGAGTTGTGCTCGTCGTGTAGTGTGCTCTTTTCTACTGAATTTATGAAAGAGAAGAGGAAGGAGGCAGGAACAGAGGAGAGGAAATCACGAAGAGGCCTAAAATCTCAGTCACATAGATTTGTATTCATAATTTGTTATCAAAATTATCGCTTAAAAATACACATAAGAATTTTACATAAATTTTTTAAATTATACAGAGAAATCAATCGAATTATACTCGCGACAGCTCAATTATCATTTCATCAACTTCATTTATTGTTTTCTCATTATCTAACATTAATTTTCAAGAATTAGAGAATCGTATATACAATGTCATCACAGTCAATCTTCTCTTAAATACAAACACATTAATTCATAAAACCAACGAAATACGTATGTAAAACGAGAGAAGAAAGGGTCTCGACAAGCCAGAAAAAATTCCTTGATAATCACTCTACTTATCAGCGTTTCTACGCCCGCTGAAACAACATAGGCAAATAAAACAAGGCGAGATTTTGACAAGTAGTATTTCTCGGTACTGTAAGAGGTGACAGCAGGGGAGAGCTACCCTTTAAGAGCGACTTTAAGTACATCAATATCTCGGAACACGAAGATCGTCCTTGATGCTCCCCGAGGGTTAGGCCGGAGGGCTTTGAAAATCAGAATCACACAGAGAGTGTATACTCGTGTGTAACACGTACACGTGAACGTGGTTGTAGAACGAACAGGGAAGCGGTTTGGTGGGGTCTAACCGGAAACCAACAGCAGTCTCTGCGGAAAAGAAGCGAGAGCGGCTTCGAGGGAAATTAGTGTCAGTTCGGTTGTTGCCGCGAGAGGTAGAGAAACCGCCCCGATTATTACTTTCTCGGTGGTGGAACATCGAGGTGTGCACATGGTCGAGGTGCAACAGTTGCGCGGTCCCTTGGAGGGGGAACCGGACTGCAACCCTTACCCAACAACCACCAATCCCTCACCCCTGATTGCCAGCTTTGCTAGCTTCAGGCTTTCCTCGGAGAGATGCAGGAGCAGATTCAATCGGAAGCTGAAGGGTGACGGTAAAGATCGCGTGAATATCTAATAATCCGCTTGGATCGAAGAGCCTCCTCTAGACGTATTTTATTTCCATGGTTTAATTCTTTTTATGCCTTTTTTTTCTTTTTTTTTTAAATTACGCGATGCTAGTGACTAAATCTTCTGGTTTTCGTTATCGTCGTTTCGATATCGTTGTCGCAACGTTCATGAGGAAAATATGAACAAAATTGAAATAGAATCAAGTTCGTGCTGATACATATATTTTTATATGAATATTATATATATTATTGGTAAAGATCGTAGATTAACTTAGAAATGATTTGAGTAAAAATTAACAGTCGAAGATTTCGTTATTTAATATTTAATCAGAAGAAGTTGCAACTTGCGACTTTTTTATTGTTCGTCTGTGTCTCAGAGCGTGATTCATAGAGATAAAAGATTCTTGTAAAGTATTGCAACAAAATACAATTCCCAGAATTGAGTAGAGTTATTTCTTTGGCACAATTAATCGAATCGTAACGTAAACGTGAACGGGAGATTCTTCGAATGTCAAGCGGATTCTGATCGTTCGAATTCGCGTGAAACGCTAGAAAAATATATCAATCGGATTAGGTTCGTCAGTGGTGCTCGAGAAAGTCAGCAAAGACAAAGTTGCAAAGAAAACGAAGCTGAAAACGATCAAGCAGAGAAGCGTGGTGCCACACATGAGCAAAGGCTCGCTCGCCGGTAAAGTTTGGGAAACTTTCGCTGCTGTGAGAAAGACACGAGAATCGAGCGAAATCATAGAGACAGCTTTGATCGTTGGTTTGGATCGTCTAAATGTATCAACGTGTTGTGGAAACTTGAACGATAGTGCGTTCTACAATGAGACCGATTCTACGAGCAAGCGTGACGACGTCGATACAAAGAAAATTAGTGGCGTAGAGAAGGAGACAGGTTTGTGTTTTATCTTTCGCGTCTGCTAAATGAGTGTGACCGGATGAACGTGAAAGAAATTAGTAACCCAACATTATATGGAATTGTATAAAATCTTTAATTTTTGCATAGAATGACTGTGTAAAATACTCTCGAAATCAGGAAATTTCTTGTAACAAGTGCTACTTGCACAAGTTTGATTTGTAACGTTTTAAAGGGAACTCAATTTATTTTGATAATTCGATCTTCTATAATATCAGATACATTTTAAAAGATTGCCGGTGAACTCATGATTGATCAAATCTTTATTGACAAACATGTTGAAAGTTGCGGAACTTTCGGAGCACCAAATGCTTCTATGACGCGACGGAATCGCAGAAGTTAAAAGCAGAAATTGCGAAGGTTTGACAAAGCCACTCGACGGAAATTTTTGCCGCGTGTTGGTCGCCAGATACGTTCATAAATTTTCCTTGTATCTATAAAGCCATATTGACGAGATGATATTGATATTGATGGCGTTGATTCTGTAGGCATCTCTGCCTTTCCTTATAAAGACACCTTCTAAACAGAACCTTGCGACTGTACAAATATTATGTATCTATGTATCTAGACGAATTTAAACCAGGAAAATGTATTGGAAATCGTGTTTGTGAAACTGTGTACGCAGATTCTAAGCTTCACATTTGTACGTGCTTCTACTATCATAGTTTCTTCGAAGAAAAATGTCGGTTCTACATCGTGAAAAATATTTCTAGATCTAAATATCCACTCCTTTTATTAATATCAATTTTTTGGTCCTGCATTGATTATAATATTTCATTGACAGTGACTTGTATTTAAAATGCAGTGTAATTCTTTTTTTTAACAAGAGTTGTTAATTAAATGTATGGGAGATACGAAAAATTCAATCACCGACGGCTTTCATTTTTGATTGGATTTTATTTGAATGATGGTTTGCTGTAACTATATGCGCGAGTATCTGTTGGAATGAGAGAAAGGAAAATAAGATAGATCCCGCACGAACGCAGACGGCAACGACAACAACGAAGAAGAAAACGGGAAGGAGGGGTTCACAAAACGGTTTCCGGCCTCTGCGACACGCGCCTACATCGCCCTATCTAAAAATACTCGAGACTTAAGCTTTTCCTGCGTTGCATCCCCTCAGCATACCTACCCCTGCTGATCTATAACTATCTGTCTGCTTACGGGGTTCAAGAGCACCAACTTTTTTACGATGGTATTTTTAGGTGGTACCGAGGCTTCATTGGATATTTATTCAGCCATTTAACTTTTTTTCCAGTCAGCGAAATGCTAACATCGCTGGTCTTTGATGATATCATTGACGAATTCGCTCGGGTTATTTGCCCTTCCTCCACGATCTTTAAACTTTATAGCGTTAGTGACGTTTAGTCGCGATCCATTCAACTTTTCAAACGATATAAGAAAGAAACGTGACAGAAGCTGGTTGGATTTATATTGTTGGACGTTAGTTTAATAGATGATAGCCTCTTAGCTCCTACCTATTCTGGCAAAACAATTTACTTACTATCGAATAATCGCTTATTTATTAACGAACGAAATTTTCTTGGACGAATTTCAAGTCGACAATCATTGACGAATATATTGCACTCGTATGTACGATCAACATAAAGATTTTATTAATTTTTATTAATTTTGCCAATTTAATTTAAAGTCTTAGTCCGCAGTATCTATGATCAGAGAATTATATTTGAATATGTTTTTTTTTTTTTTTTTTCAATCGATTCGATTGTTTTGTTAACGTGACAAATCGATCTTGATTTATATGTTTGTTTAGCTGAAGATTAAATGTAACCACCCTCTCCGCACGCGCTCTCATGATCTGCTTTTGCCCTGAGCCGCATTCCTTACCTGATAAGCCTCCACATAAGACTGGATACTTGGAGAGATGCCAGACATCGTGGTTCATGTTAATTCGATGTTCGCTCGCATCAAATAGACGAGTTAAATCGAAATATTCGTTTCATTTCCATTATTACTGGCGATAGAGCGGATCTTTCCTCTTATTACGTCGAATTTATGAACGACATTAATTGTATCTTTACATTAGACGTGCACTAATTTGCAAGAAACGAAGGACAGCGTTCTTCTTTAATTTTGCTGATTGCCTCTAATCGTTCGAATCCAATTACATTTCTTTTTTTTTTTTTTTTTTTTTTTTTTTTTTTTTTTTNTTTTTCATTTTATGCTTACACACTTATTGTAAAAGATGTGTATGAATTCCACGAAATTGGTGAAATTTCTATAATGACATTCAATTGCCTTTTGAGCCAATTCTTTACGAATTTCATGCATTTCAAAAGGACATTCTATTCTACTCTAGAGGAGGGAAAATGAGCGTACAGAAGTATAGTATCGAAAATCGATAGGTTCGCTTGTAACACACCTACGATGGCCTTTTTATGGTGCATTCGTGCGAATCAAAATAATTTAACTACCCTATGTCACAGATTCTATTGCGCTACGATTTTTATTTTTTTAATTTTTTTTTTTATTCTGATAAATTCCTTCACTCTCGATACAATACTATATAATAAACGCATATTGAGAACGACGGTCGATTCTTCGAACGCTACATTCAAACTATATTAAAACTCTAAAATACTTGTGTGGACGTCACGTGTAGAACAAACAGAAAGATGAAGAAAGATGTAATGGAACTCTATACAGTTGCTACTGATTGCTCTTGAATATTTTTTATTTTTAAATATAACGCAGTCTCATGCCAGTGTTTATCAATAATTAGTCATACGTATATATTAGACTAGCACACGTATTGAAGTTATTAATGAATATATTCGTTTGTTTCAGGAGAACATCGCGGGGGCGTTATAGCCGGAAACGCGCGTAGTAGTAGCGAAAGAGGACGCATTTCCGCTTACAGCGGAGCCTCTGATCACGCCGATAGTATGGACAATCCTTCCTCGCGGGAAGATATTTCTGAAATGTACGTTCTTCGTATTTGCACAAGATTGCCGAAAAGAACATTCTCTTTAAATTGCTTCGGATCCAATTTCATTCTCTCCATAGTAAATACGCAATTTCTAAGAATTCTTGCAACAAATCCTTGCGTTCCTTTCATTCATATATTTCATGACAGCAGTTTTTAAAACCCGTCGGATAAAACAAAAAAAAGTATCACACAAAATTTGTTTTTAAGCTAATTTTCGTCCTGTAGTTATTTTGTCAATTTTATAACGTTTTATTTATTGTTAGTTTTTCTAAGATGTGATTTTCCCAAGACGTAAATTTTAGACTTTGATTTTAGTATCATAAATTCATTGAATCGCGTTTTCATTTCATTCGCGCGCAATCGCTTTAGCTCATTTCTGTTATAGATATTAATTTACGCTTTATTAATTACGATTACTTAGGGTCCAGCAAAATATTTCCAGTAAGCCAAAGACGTCAAACATAAACAGGTCTGAAAGTTACAAGGAGCGGATACATCACAAGGTAAGAATTCCAACAATTTTTAGTCTGAAATGTTTCTAGTATAGTAACGTATAAAACGGACGAATTAGCATCCCGTGACACGCAAAATATCAGTTGAGTTTCGCGAAATTTATTATTAAATAAATTTCGATGAAACAAGATTTCGTTTCGAACGACGTGATTTAGTATGGGTGTTCGGTATGTGCCTCTGAGTATCATTGCGACTGTTTTCATTGCAGCGACAGCTACGAGAAAAGAGGAAGACCAGCGATCCAAACCTGTCCAAAACAAAGTGAGTACACAACATTTTATTTATGAGTACACATTATTTTATTTATTAACGTATGCGCACGATGATTGATAACGCATGTCTCAACTTGAATTTCCTGGACGAAAAGATTCTTAAATTATTAGAGCTAATTTTTCATAAATTCATCATTATAAATTTTATAAATTTTACTTCAACGAAATACTCACGAAACAATAAACTATTTTTCAAACTGTCTCAACTGCTCAACTGTATCAAACTGTTACTGCTGCTTTATTACGCAATTGTATAATTGCCAAAATAGAAACGTTACGAAGATCGGCACTATTTCCAAACGAATTTGGATTTCACATTGATGCCTACGTACCATGAATGAGGAGTCTTTACCGAGAGAAATATGTTGTTATGCATGATTCTTTCTATTTTGCTGAAACTATTTTAAAATTCATTCAGCATCGACATTAATCGATGAAATGACATGCATACGAAATTCCATCATTTTAGTTCAAAATTATTCAAATTTTTATACTTTTTCTTCTTTCTTATGCTTCTTTATTTTTAAACGCTAAAGTATAGTGAATTTGCTCAATTTCTTTCTGAAAACAGTTAATGACGATAAAATTGTATATGTAAAAGTTGTACCGTTGTTGGTATATTCCAATAGCCTTGAGACATCATCATTTGCCGTTCTGTATTTCACGTGTCTGCCTGGAACGAATAAATATAGAGTGTGTCTGAAAAGTTTTGAAGTTGCGTAAATAAGGAAGCGAACAAGAACGACGTACGTATATACATATCCAACAATTTATTCTAACATTTCATCGCTGATATACAGACTGATCGGACAACCTGTACCAAAAATTTTTAAAACGTATTATAAATTTTCAAGGACAGCGCGATAGAATGTGATAAAAATTTGTTTACCATTATATTTTACTATTTTTGAGTGTTTCACTTTTACGTAATATTAAAACTGATTCACTCACCAAAAATAATAACACTCCGAATCCACATCTCACAGATATCTCTCTTTATTTATTATAAAAAGCCATTTCGATTACCTTATCTTCACCAGTGTGATTTCCGAAATTATCTTCCACAAACAATTCCAAGATATGTCCGAATTTTCAAAATAATCTACCAGTCTACGTCACTTCAATTTCTCATCATTTTCATCTCTTCTTTCCTTTCGGTAGAGCCACAGTATCGGATGCAAAGTTTGACCGATTCGCAACGATACGTGGTTCGGAGGGTCAGCTGGAAAATCTATTCCCGGCTTTTTACTCGGGCCTGGAATTTTTCAGACACACCGTGTATAGATTTTTGGCAGGGTCCTCCTGTTCTTAGCCGGTGACTTTTCGTTTCTTGACGCTCTAGATCCGCGTCCACGTGCAAACGGCGCAGACTCGACTCGTTCCTCTTCCTTTGGCAAAGGTGTGTATGCCAGCCAGAAGGCCTTCAGTCTGACGTTAAACGTTCAATTCCGCGGATGGCTATTGCGTCGCTTCGACAGTACAAAACACCCACGCGTTCACCCGCTCCGTTTGTCCGAAACACATCGAACACCGCTCCTCGTTTCGCGATTTCCTTCTGCCTGCCGGCTCGACTTCCGCTCAATCGCCTCTGACGATCGCCCGCGTTCTGCGTGAAACGGAATCTCGTCAGCTCGTTGGGGTGCCTGTCGATCGACTTGTAAATCGATCGAACGATCGCATCTTTTGTGCGGGATAAATTTTTTTTCCTTTTCTTTTTTTTTTTTTTTATTTTGTACGTTCGGATTCACATCAGAGAAGTGATTGATTAGATGATAAAATTATTCGAGATCTTAATTATGATACTATGATCAGCGCAACGTTCTAATTGAAATTTTAGCCGACAGTAATTAAGCAGCAGCGGTTGAAAATCGGAGGGAACCAGAGTAGGTTTTCATTAATTCAAGAATGAACAGACGATGATTGTGAAACGTTGGCAGTATTTAAATACACGGCAATCAGAGTTGTTATAATGTTGCAGTGCTTTTTAACATTCGAATAAGATCGCGAGAATAAGTCGATTTTATTAGTTTTGTTATAGAGTGTTTAAACGTTGTAAATTATTTTACAACAAAGAGATTCTCTTAATTTTCACTGAAAAATGATTTTGGCAATGTCGTGGAAATTTCGAATCATTGTCCGGTGATTTCAATGCCTTTTCTTCGAGCAATGAATACTGAAATCTTTCACATACAGTTTTTAAACATACCTCGTAATATATGAACATTATGCAAGTCTAGAGTTTTAGCTATATTTTCATTTAGATTTTGTTTTAGCTATATTTTTGAAAGGTAAACGTTGAATTGAAATATATAGCTGGCTTTCAAATCGTGAAAAATTTAAAAAAAACATGTGTAGAGCAAGCATGATACAAAGCATTAGCTAGCACCGTGAGATAAAAATATTTAAATTAGTAAAATTAAAGGAAGTTGGAATTATTCCTAAACTACGCATCTGGATGTCACTCGCTTTAACCGCACACAACATTCTGTCATTTGTACGGTACACATCGCGTTATAAATTGCTTAATCGTAATTCCAACAATCCTTTATTGAAACGTTTAGTAACATGAGATGGAAATTGAGAATTTTCAAAGCATTTACGAACGAGAGGAATACATATTTTTTAAATAATCTATTAATTAGCAAAATCTTATTATAACGAGTGCTGCAATGCTAATAATAGAAAATCAACAAATCAACCATGCCGACTTTTCATAATCATCTATAAATCTTGGCATAATTTCTTTTAAATATCTAAAGATATTAATATTTTATCGGTCGTTTTGTCTTATTATAATGTTCATATTACAGTTTACAATTTCCAAGACCCATTGTCGCTAACAATAACATCATTGAAATCATTACGTCGTAATTAGCTGTGTTTTTCCTCTTTCTATAGCTCGTTCATTCAGAATCCAAACCTTTTCGTTCGTTGGGAAGATATTTGAACAAGTCAAATCACTTGTCGCGAATTGTTCATCGAGTATCAGTCTGTGAGCAAGAATAGATGCACACGAGCGATATGATTTCGCTGCATCAGTGACGCTGCGTCAATGAACGTGATAATGTATTTTGGAGTAGTTGTATTTTAATCACTCCGTGACATGGATCGAGTTGAACGCGTGCATTAAAAAGCAAAGAATCTCTCGTCCAACTTTTTGTTCTTTTTTTTTTTCTTATTAGATTTAAAGTTCTACCAAAACTTTTATATTTTCTGTTAACACGGAACTGGATTCATTCTTTCATTACCCACTTTTCAGAAGCAAATTTTTTTGATAAAAAGTTTAATATCCAAAAGAATGCATTTAAATTGGAGATAATATTTTGACTTGTTAATAGCACCACATTGTAATTTATTAATTTTATTAGTCACTATATTCACGAGTATTAAGATCAAATCACATCGTATCTCTCGCATGCAGTAATCTTCAAGGATTTAAGTCAAATGTCAATTTTCAATAAAGGACACGGAAAAATGGCTATTGCTTCGAATCCAATAAATCTGCGATTGATCTCGAAACGAATTACGCTCTCGAGTGTTTTACGATCACTGACATAATTATTTTTTACTCTTCACTGTTTTTCTTTCTTTTTCTTCATTATTATTATTATTTTTTTTTCTTCTGAAAAAGCTGCACGAGATTATACAACCTCGCAGCAACTGCAAAGTTCACTTTTACTCGATGAAGCATGAAACTACATCGCGGGTCTTTGAGACCGCGGTTCGATAAATAAATAACCCGCGCCGGTCTCTTCGTCATTGTCACGCGTTTATTTCTGGAGGGACGTGAACGATAGTAATTTTGTGATATCATTAATAAAAATCAAGCCGCCGGCGCGTATACGTATTTCTTTAGCAAAAATACACGGTGCAGGAAGGTTCGCGACTAATGCGTTGGTGATTTAATGATTCAAGCGTGAGAGACACAAGACGCGTTGTAAGTACGCGCCGGTGATATGAATGTTATAAATCCTCTTTCTTGAAAGATGAAAGTCTCTTTATTTCTCGTCCCGTAATTTTTCAAAGAGGGATCGCGCTTGCGGAGAATTCCATCGTGTTTCCCACTTTATTTTCGTTTGGTCCGACAGTGTCGTCCCTGCTTGAACGTTGTTCGGTGAAATATATTGGAATTTAAGGGGGTATTCTAGTGTGAAGTGCGTATTTTTTTAACTTCGTTAAGGAATCTTTTTGCAAAGAGACTGTTATACCTTTTGCAGTTAAATTGACAAAGTTTGTTTGTACGTATTTCAACGGCGTTTTAAAATTTTTTGGAACAAAAAAAGTTAAAATTAGTGGCATACTCTCAAACATAGCCGCTTGGTGTCCATGATTCCGACCATTCTGCTTGTCAGAAATAAAAAAAACGTGAATGTTCCTTAATTAGTATGAGTTTGGCTGTAGCAGGTACCAAAACAAAAGAAGAAAATCGGTAATTAAAAAAGTGACGACACTTTGAAGCTCGATTATCGATTTTTGTGAAACTTCGGAAACCTAAAAAAATATAAAAAATAAAATGCTTTGGTTGATTCTGGTAGGAGCTATAGTCACACATGTACTAAATGCGTACTTAAAATTTTGAGTCAATTGATCAAGTAGATTTTGAGATATCATGGACATCGTTCTGAAAAACATAGTTTCCAGAAAAATGCCTTTAAAAGTTTAGTATTGCGGTAACAATGACGCTAGTTGTCGCGTCCTTCAAACAACCATAATTTCGTTAATTTTAAGAGTTCACATGTAAGGTTACAGAGATTTATTTTTGAAACTATGACTACTACTTTAAGAATATGCAAAAAGAAAAAAATCGACTTTTTTCAAAAGTTCACACTAGAATACTCACTTAATTGGATTATCGCGAATGTAGAAATTACTGCAGATATGTTGCGGATGAGTAGTAATTTGATAGAAAAAAATGTTCGTTACTTTTGTTATCTTTATTCTGAGTTCTAAATAAAAAAAAATTTTTTTTCAATCTGCCATTGACATTTTGTATTAGAAACAATCGCTTGTATGACTGATAAAACACGTAGAGATGTTGTAGTACACGTTGAGATTTAATTGAATTATCGTGAACGTAGAAATTATTGCAGATATTTTGTCGATAGCTAATAGTTCGATAAAATTTAAATAGAAAAAGCAATTTTTAATCTGTCGTTGATATAATTTTTAAGGACAATTCGTAAATGTTTGAATCGTGGATTAAAAACAAGCGTCGTACGACTGTTCGATAGAACTTGCAGACGGACAGGGTTGGATCCTATTTCAGCGAAATACATTATAGTTAATTACTCTTTTATAGCTTTCTCTTCCGCTAACAACGGACACCTTTTATTTTTTATCGTAGCCTAGCTTTTTCTCATTTGGTCGACTTATTGAAACATTTGTTTCCTTTCGTTAAACATCACTCCCTTAATTATTATATGTTTCCGAGTAAGAGTCTGATAGGTTTGAAAAGTTCACGACGAATCGATACGTAGCTTGGTGATGTACAAAATCGATTTGGGAGCCAATTAATTCATTGAAAATTATTAATTTAGTATGAACGCGTTTCGCATAATGAAAGGATAGGTTTCTGGGAATGGCGGTGCAACATACGACTCGTGTCGCAATTAAAATCAATCGACAATGATTAGAAGATGTTCGTGACACTGACGAATTTTCTTATCCTCTAAGAATCATCTCTCTTATCTATTGATAATTATGCATTTGAATTGAAAGCAAATACCACGATGTCTAACGATGTTATTTCATTTAATGTAATTCTATAGCTTTTTTATATTTCCTAGTTTGAAAGAATAAAAGAAAAGAGAAGAAAAGCTTAATGCTTCTGAAGGGTTACAGATAAATTGCAACGCAATAGAGAATTTATTCCCTTCATGTCGCATACACATTTTTAGTATAGTCGTTAATACCTCGTGGCTATTAGTACGATTCACATGAATTAGCCGGCTAATGCATCTGGTTTTAAAAAGATCGATGCGTATAAATGGGCAGGAAAAAGAAAGTGATCCGTTTTGTATCGATCCGGTCGTAGTACGTGTGCACGGCTGTAAACGGGGGACAAAAGCGATATCAGGCTACGGATAGATGTCTTGCCCTTTATTTTTGAGACAATCGATACTTTCGAATCGATACGTCGGCTCAGTTTCTTTTCCAGCCTCCTTATCATTCGCCTGCGTCCGTTTTTTTTTTTTTCCCGTAATCGGACTCGTCGCTGCTAATTTATCATTTTTGAACGATTCAGTTGTGTACATTTTGAAACTAGGCCAATGACAATTAACTGGGATCTCTAAATTAACGGCAGCTATTCGAATTATCGATAATTATTAATCAATAAATTCGTTATATCGCAATAAAGGAATTATATTTCAATTCTTAGCTTAAAAAAAAAAAAAAAATATTAAAATTAGAAAAAGAGTTAGATTTAGAATTGTTAGAATTATAAGAATTAGAGTTAAAGTTATTGGAAATTATTATATTTATCTATTTAAATTATCAAAATTATTAGAATTAGAAGAAAAATTGTTCAAGAACGATTAGATTCTAATTCTTAGCTAAAGAGATCGCGCTGATTTGGAAAAATTTGTCGCGTCGATAAAAAAAAAAAGCTCGGTTTTCGTACGCTTACAAAAATTTCATTGAGCAAACGTTTGTTGAAGGAGGCGTTAGTGCATGACAAAGAACTACGTCGATTTTTTTTTTTTACTCTTCGAAAGAATAGAGGGTACCATTGATGAGAGTACGTACAACTGTGTGCACAAGGCAGTGTATCAGCCATAAGTCGTTTCTATATCTAGAGGGGTTGATTAAAGTGATGAAGGAGCGGCTTCGATAAGGCTTAGCTTGATCGACGTCGATTAAGTTCTCGTTTTTTACTCGGTACACCTAGTCCAGCTCACTATTCGATTATTCCAGATAAATAAAAAACACTGAAATCTGATGAAAATCGTTCACCGATTGCACCTGTCTCTTGCTCCACGCCAAGTGTCATTTCCATGCGGTTTTGTTTTACGTGGATGAAAATCGCGTAAATGAAATCTGTCAGTACGAGAGATAAGCTAGGAAGAGAAGCTGTCGTAAATTATAAAAATTTTTATATATATAGGCTCGCAAAAAAAAAAAAGAGAAAAAATTGTGAAATAAAATAAAATTATAATCAAAATAGATTTTACTCGTTATCATTGTCGATGTTTTGCTGGGAATCAGTAAACTTTTTTTTTTTTTAATAAGGTGTAAGATATAAATTAAAGAATGTATCTCTAGATACGCACTCATTGAAAATCTCATTCTTGCATATATAGATATGAACATGCACATGTCTTTAGACAAGCGTTCATTAGAAATCTCATAGATCTGGCGTTATATATCTGGAAATAGTCAAAGCACTGAAAGGATTTCTGTAAGATTCTGTCGCCCTTTGGTAGTCGTTTTGAATCTTAATGGAAGGAGGTGCAAGCAAAGGCATAATAAATGCGACAATCCAGCCAAAATGTCAATGTACTGCCAACCGACTTTTATCGTGGAAGAAAACTCGCAACCTTTAAGCTGATGAAATCTTTTAACATAACAGCTTCTATCAATCCAGTTACAAAACTCACTTGCCAACAAATTATTTTAACAAGCTTATTTTCACACGTCACTGCTTAGGGAATCTCATTTAATCTAATTGCTGCTTATAATTGACTTATAACACATTACAACAGACTCACATAAATAGACAAAAATTAAAATTGTGGAGTAAAAATAAAAAGTTCAATTTCAAAGAGTATGACAATTTTAACTAAATCTAACATTATTCTAAATTTATCATTACAAAGTTTAATCTCTCGTTTGAGATTCTGAGTCGTTATAATAAAAAAACAAAAATTCAGTGGAATTATTCGTGAACGTAACACGATATTCCTTCATTGGGGAAGTCCCGCACAAAAGTGTCCATAGTTAACATCACGTTTACAGCGAAGGCGGCACATGCCTGCCAGCTTTATCCCATCCAGGAAGCCCTTTAGGGCTAAGGAGATATAAAAGATGAGACAACGTAGTTGTCGACGTGTCCGTCCTCGACCTAATTCTCGCAACGAAAATTTAACTAGCCCAATATCCTCCACGGAATCGTCATCCCCTTTCGATCAGTCGAGCGACATTTTACCAAGGTGCTCGAACATCGAGGAACGGCTACCAGAACTTCCTAACGACGCTTCTAATCACAAGAACGTTAATGAACGTCGTACGAGATCCGAGAGGTATTCAATTCTTTCTTCAACGCTTTGTTCACCTTTTGGTAAATTTTTCAATCTGTGTGATTGACACTCTGATATTGATTTCCGCCGACAAGTGTACAACTTTTATATCATTATTTAGTGGAGGTCAGAAAGTGTAAATAATTAAAAAGAGATTGAAGATTAAGACATGTAGTGAAGTTTGATTTGATGAGCAGTTAGAATTAGAATTTAACAGAACTATATATAAGAAAAATTCTTATTATCTTATTACATCTAGTGTAATACTAAGGTATAATTGACTAAGTATACAAAATCGATGAAAACGTGATGTATTTCTGACTTTTCTTTATACTGCCATTAAGATTAACAATTATACAAAATAAAAAAAAAGAAAAAGATTAGACAAAGCAAAATATTAGAATTAAAAAAAAAAAAAAAGAATATAGCAGCCTTTGTCGTAAGCATCCTTAGTCTAATTTCCAAGGGAATCTTACGAAGCATAATTGGCGATGACATCAGCGAATTTGCGTATAGGTATTGAAAAGGTTTCAAATGGCTGTGCTAGCTGGTACAGTTTAAATGTAGAATGCTTCATTCGCTAACGATTGACTATAGGGCTGGTTTCAGTGACTGCGAACAAGCTGGGACATTCCCCGGGAATTCAGCGGGTAGTTCGTCGAACAGCAGCTTGTCGACGAGAAGTTTGGACAGTCCGAGTACCAGCCTGGAGCAGGTACACCCAGCCACTTCTGCGACCAACACATCGACCTCGTGGGACAGCGATGTTGATGTCGAACCAGATCCACCCGATTGGAGCCAAGGCGTTGCCGAGGATGTACTCGCGCGCCTCAGCAACGCGGAGAAAAAGCGACAAGAAGTTATCAATGGTTTGTCTTCATTCTAATTGCATTGTGACATTTATGAACGATCTTCCTCTCTTCCTCACGTTTTTCCTTAGAATTTATAAGTTGCTTTTGACGTGATATAGTTGGTATAGAAATAGGGAAAGTAGCACGAAACAATAGAATTAATTTTTATTGAATTATTTTGTACTTTTTAGTAGAAATGTATTCTAGAACAAAGAATAGCTCAACTTATTGTCAATTATTCGTAATTTCTATGTGTTTCTTTTTTCAGAACTCTTTCACACGGAGCGATCTCACGTGCGGGCGCTGAGAGTATTGTCACACGTCTTCCACAAGCCGCTCCTCGAATCTCAAGTACTTCCGTTAGACCAAATACAGTTACTATTTTCCAATTTAGACGAAATGGTAACGATTCATTCGCGCTTCAATCAAGCGATGAAACGCAAGAAGAAAGAGAACCCGTGCGTTGGCGATGTCGGCGATCTTCTTTTAGAGATGTTCGACGGCGAGAACGGAGAAACCTTCGAGAGAGCCGCATCCACCTACTGCGCGAAACAGCAAGTAGCTCTGGATGCTCTGCGAGATCGTCGTCGCAAAGATCCGAAATTAAATTCCTTCCTGAACGAGATCGAGGCCAATCCCCTTTGTCGAAGATTACAGCTCAAAGATCACATCCTGACCGGGATGCTTCGATTGACTAAATATCCTCTACTCTTTGAGAATTTGGCGAAATACACGCCGGACAGCAATGAAAAGGAGAGAGCCGCAGTTTTGCGAAGCCTCGACCGAAGTAAGGAGATTCTCAGTTGTGTTAACCAAGCGGTACGCGAGGCTGAGGATTATCAAAGGTTGGCAGAAATCCAACGTACAATTGATAGATCCGCGTTCGATAAATTCGATCATCCGACCGTACAGGAATTCAAGAATCTGGACATCACGAAACGTAAATTAATCTACGAGGGTCCATTACAATGGCGTAGAACCGAGCAAAACCGAGCGAAACCGGTTGATTTGCACGTAGTGCTGCTCGATGACACAATACTCCTGTTGCATCGACAGGACGAAAAGTACCTGCTGAAATTCATCAACCCAAATCAAGCGAACTCGGTGTTGAGCCCTATTGTGAAAGTATCCACCGTTCTCGTTAGGCATAACGCCGTGGATAAAAATTCTCTCTACTTGGTCAACACATCGCAAAATGGAGCGCAAATTTACGATTTGGTCGCAGCTTCGCCTGCAGAACGAAAGCAATGGTTTAAGCACATCTCCGAGGCAGCTGAAGCGTACAAGGCTCGTGATAAGCAAGGTAGAAGACCTACTCCACCTACTACACTGCCAGAAGAACCTGGACCTACGATCGAAGATCCTTCTTCAATGGAACACGACAATATTCCTAATAAAACTGATCAGGAACAGGAACACGAATCGGAGACAAAGGAATCCGTGCAAGATACTAGCACGGAGCAAGAAGAATCGCCTAATACTCCTGGACCTGAAATCTCAAGGACTGATCAAACGAAACAACAACAATTACACTCGTCTGAACAATCAACGACAGGTTTCGTGATTTGTGTGATGATTTAAAATGTCTGAAGTCTTTCAAATTATCTTATTTTTAAAATATTTTTTCTAATTAGTTACAGGAGAACCATTACGATTGGTCACTTGCACACAAGCATCGTTAATCGATCCGCTTGAAGTTCACGTAGAAGTACCACCTGTACATGTTGCGGAACCGGTGCTTACACCAATAGGTATATTATTTGTTAACATAACGATTTATATGTAGATATTTCACAAATAACGTGATTATTTTCTCTGAATTTTCAGAATGTCTTAGAAGAAAAGATGAGATAATTAAACAAGCTTTAATCGAAAAACAGTTATTAGTAGCAGATATATTAAATATTCCGAAAGAAGATTTCGAACATGTAGCAGACATGGCGTCCGAACCATCAAGCATGGAAAAAGAACCTGCTGAACTTATACTCGCTGCTATTAGTCAAGGTATTTTTATTAGCAAATAATAATTGTTTTATCACTATATGTAAATTATTTTACAGAATAAATTCTTTATCTATTAATTTTACAAATATCTTTAAAAATATGAATATTTCCCTCCTTTTTTTCTTTACAGCGAATCAATTGGTAGGAATGTTAAATTCTGCATTAAACGTGAGTGAAACGGAAACTGTTCTTGCATCGCGTGGAACCTCGACATTAGCAACACCACCAAGTTGCGAAGCGACTGGCTGTCCATCATCACGAATGCATTTTCATCCTCAGCAACCAGCGATATCCATTGCAAGTTTACAACCAGTGTGTCACTCTTTAACCTCCCAATTGTCACAATTACTGGTAATAATTTGCTTTTTAACAATAAATCTATACATTTAAAGTCGAAAAAACATAATGCTTTTTAAATAAAAATATATTTTCTTATTTTAGGAAATTATAAAAGAGAGGGAGGAGGAACGGGAAACACTAAGAAAAGAATTACGCAGAAGCAGAGAGCGTCTTCATGCTTTTGATGCAGATATGCAACGTCGTGAATTTTCAGAAACATGCACCGCATCAAGCCAAACGGAACCCAGTTAGTTCTTTACTTTTTTAATTTTTTAGAATATAAGTTGATAAAATTTGTTGATCTACATTGGCGACCGTATATTTACGTACGATTAGCAAAATTAATTTTTATTTGCTGTAATTAAGAAAACTGCAACGTACGCAAGTAGCTGTCCGTTACAAGATCAGTAACTTGAATTACAATTCTTACAAAGTACTTGATTTCCTGAAGTAAAAGGATTCTCTGTTAATTTCTTTTCTTTTTTGTGATTTTTAGGTGAAATTTTAAATACGGATAGCAGTATTGATGATCCCACTCGTGATGTAAGGAGCATAATTTAATATGCTACTGAATCCAATTTCTTACTTCTTATATTATTCTCACATTATAAATTTAATGTTACCTTATTCACAGGAATTTGTAGATGCACGTGGTGAATCCGAAACAAATGAAGAATCAGAACACATGGAACATGAAACAGAAACAATAGTAATGGGGGATAGTGTTGGTTGAAACGTGCATAACATTGTATTAAATAATGTCGACCAGGTGCATTTCACGAGCAAGATCGTTTCCGAATGCTCATACTGGAAGAAATCAAAATTATGTAAAAAATGACAAATGGCGAGTAGCTGTTTATGGAATACAATAATATTAGATACATATTTACAGATGGGTCAATGATTAATCATACCTTTGCCAAAGATTTTATGTAACTGGATCTACATGACGTAATAACATATGCCCATACGTCGTATTATATCGATGACTGGAAATTACATCTACAATTTTTTATTGCCAGTAGTATAACGATGCAATTTCTGAAATAATATGGTGAAGGAAATGTTTTCGAAAAAAGTAAAGAGAACTCGAAATAGATTGCTAAATTTACTCAAGTTTAATCTCTCTACAATATATACATAATTACGCAGATTAATAATTTAAGTAGGAGCTTTATATGATTATTGAAGAATTCTTTTACTGTGGATTATTTTAAAATCTACACTGTTATAGTATTCTGACGATACTTATTACTGTATAGAAGTTGTTACACCGTGTCTTACATGACGTCGATTTCTATAAGATATTGTTTTATATATATCAATTTGTATACTGAAAATCTTTCCTTAAGATGCTTTTTAGGAAACAAGTCAATTCTTTCGAAGTTACTTTAAAATACTTATTGTTAGTGCATTTTATACAGAAACATTTATGTAATTGTATTGTACGCCTTTAGAACAATTTAATCGTTCATCTCGAGAAACATACTTTTTGTGATCTGATACGGCATATTTGGAACCAGCTGTGTTATTATAATAATCTAATAGTTATGACATATAATTTGCATTTATCTAAAGATATATAACCAGAAGATACGTCGATATTTCAACATATACAGAATAACAATTCTCGACGCTATATTATTATTGAATAACACTTTCACGTACTTTCCTTATATTCTGTGACCAAATGTTCAGGATATTTAATCCAGAGGCGCAAATGACGATTTTAAATCGGTTTTCTAAATCGTATAAAGTAAAAAGCAAATGTGTTTGTATTCTAATATTTATTATTATCATGACTATAATTATTATTATTGAAATTATTGCTGCCTTTAAGTATTATTTTTACAATTTATAGTAATTTTAATAATAATAATTTAATAACTACAATCGATAGAAGAGAACTTAAAACAATGTGAAAGCCAATTCGAAAAGAAGTTACTACTAAGAAAAAGAAGAAAAATAGCTGAATCTCATAGAATGCTAAGGAACAACTCAATTCTATATTTTTATTAACGTAGTTTACATTAATAATATGTTGAAAGTACTGAAATTTCGATCAATAAATTTCTTAAAAACTTTATTCTTAAATTAAGAAATATTAAGTTAAAAGATATATTTAAGTTTTAAAAGATAGAAAAACTATTAAATTATTAAAATTTATATAACTATATTAATACAATGTATTAATATTGTGCAATGTATTTCATTATATCGTTTTTGTACAGTATATTAATACAGTGTATTAATTCATATTTTTCTTTCATTTCTTTTATCGATATTTTCTTGTTTAATTTCTTGTTTTTTTTCCGACTTTTTTAATCTTTTTCTTAAACGTATAACATGAAAAACATGAGCATTTAACTTGTCACAAAATCTAATATAATGAATTAGAAAATTATGTTTACAAAGATAATTAAAATCTTTTAAAACGTACATTACTAATAACAAAGTTGTAATAAAATTCAAACAAATATTTGAAACCAAATCATTGTAAATAATAAGTAATCCATAAAGTATAAAATTAATCTGTATTATTATCTATCTTGTTGCATTAAATTATGAGTTGTATAAAACTGCAAATCATCTTACTCCTCTTACAATAAAAGATTTGCACATTTTAGTAAAGATTTAGAAAAATTACGAAATTAAAGTATCTGTGTCCATGCCATTTACGTAAACAGTAATAATATTTTTTATTGTATAAAATTCTATAAAATGAAAAGTTAAAATTACCCAGATGAAAATTAATATAAATAATCAAATGCAATAAATTTTGTCATATAAATAATTAATGAAATTACGAATTTGTATGTATTTTGTTAACTTCTCCATATTATTTACTAATGGCATTTGCTTTGCAAAATAATATTTGCCTCTTGGTGCTATAGTTGCCTAAATGAACACAATCAAGTTCCTCTTTTGAATGTAATGGAATTTAGGAATAGAAATAAGAAAGCAAAAATTTGTATACTATTTGTAGAATCCTGAACATGACTGGTAACTTCAAAATTATCAATATTCAAAGATAAGAAAAAAAACGATAACTAATATAAAACATTTTTACAAACGAATTTATAGTAAATAAATATGTACAATCATGCATAGATGAAATGCTATAAAAAATATTTTACAGCTTTTTAATTAACATTAACATTGATTTGTTAATGAAATTTTCGAATTAGAAAACACAGTTGGAGTAACAAAATGTACTACTCTTTACATAACAAAGGACTGATCGTGCAAAAAAGACTTACCTGTTTACATAAAATCTTTGCTACTACTAAATACTAATAATTCCCTAAAATAAGATAGAGATAAAATGCGAATGATTATAAATACATTACCATGTATATGTATAAAGTATTTAATAACATTATTAGTTGATATTATTGATTATTATATTATTATTGCATTAAAATACTTATTAAATTGTAAATTATCTTGTAATTTTTTTACATTCTTTTGAAGCCTGCACGAACAACCCCTATTTTCAATTTTTCTATAATTACTAATAATAATATATATTATTGTGTAACTACATATTCTTCCAGAATATAAAGTAATGATAAAAGTATCAAGTACAGATCTGAATATATTTAATTTGTTATTATTGCTTTAATTTTTTTATACTTGAATATTTTATGAAAATTAATTTCAACAATTTATATTTCGTCTATGTTAATAAATAAATTCAACATTATTGAAATACAATTTCATTATTATTACCATAAAGTTTCTTTTTAAATTTATATTAATAATTCTTATAATTTACAAAATTCGATACATTTAAAACTTATTTTTATATAACAATAGTATTTAAAAATAAAAACACGTGAAAAATTAATTCTAGGACTAAAATTAAAAATTTTGAAGCTTCCGCGCGCATTTTGCTGTGTTACAGTATCACCAACATTAAAAAAAGTGTTTGATATAAAGATGCTTAGTCAATTCATGTATGTCCCTCGTCTGTGGTTTTAATAGAAACTCGTTTACTCACTATTGGAATCTAACCATATATATACATTAAAATATTATTGTAAATATAGGTTGCTAAATGTCCCTTCTACGCAAAGGACAGGTTTATTCTTTTATTTATTTCATATATATATAAATTTCGTCATTTGTATTTTCTCTAAATTTTAAGTTTTATTTATACATTTTAAATATCTTTCACTTTGATTTTACATAAATTAACTTGCTATTTATTTATTTCACTTACAGCAATGGGGTACTTTTGCATGTGTTTGGCACATTTTCGATGCAACTTGGCAAGATCCATTTAAAAGTGCACATTTGATAAAAAAGTATCTTATGGGATTACATAAACCTATATATCATCCTTTGAGTATGTCTCATTATGTACATACATATATATTCATTTGATATTGTTTAATATAATATTACAAATTGAAAGATTAACGCAAATATTTACATGTTAATATTTTTTATATAGATCAGTGTGGTGACCATGTAATAGTAATAAACAGCAAAGAAATTGCATTGCGCGGAGACCATTGGCAGAAACGAGTGTATTTTCATCATACTGGATACCATGGTGGTGCTACTTGGACTCTTGCATGGGAATTACATAGTAAAGATCCTACAATGGTAATTATTATTAATTAGATTTTGATAAAATACTTATATATTCAAGAACTTTAATGTTTTATTATATTTTTCACTTATAACATATAGATTATAAAGAAAGCAATTTATTCAGCAATGGATGGAACTCTACAAAGAAGATTTACTATGCAAAGGTTACACATTTTTCCTGATGATAATGTCCCCAAAGAAATGTTAGAAAATGTAAGCAATCAAATTAAACAATTAAGACCTGTTCCAAATAGATTATATGAAATTCCACAAGAAGAAAGAGATAAAATCCCAAGGCTTATACAATATCCTTCCGATTATCAGCTCAAATAAAGTTATATTTATAAATTTAAAATAAATTATTATATAAGTTTAAAAATTTTGATTGTTTTATTTTGTTAGATTGTTGTAAAAGTAGTGAAAAGGTATTGAAAAATAAATTGAGAAAATTTATATAACATTTACATTTATTTACAAATTATGAAATAGATTATTTACTGGTGATTGATAACACACCTTTAGGTTTTAATTGACTATCCAAAAATTTTTGTTTTTGTTCCTCCTTTTCTTTCATTAACTTAGCATGTCGTTCAACTGCATAATCAACTTGTTCAACAAGTTGAATAATTTTTCTCTGTAAATCAATCATTTAATTAATTATGATAGTAAAATTTCACAAAACAAGTTAAAAAAAATTTAAAACAGTACCATGTAATCTTGGTGTTTTTGTATGCGCTTCAATTGTCTTGATCCATATGCTACAGGTTTATTGTCTTTAAAGGAATAATCAGATAACGTAACTAATGGACCAGTACTATTTGGATTTTTTGCTAAATTTTTCCTGTAATTATTAAATCATATGACATTTTACAATTAATACATAAATTTATATCTTATGTAAAATTTATTCTTACGCCACTCTCCATTTCTGGTTCAAGTATGTTGGAAAAGATATATGAAATTTATTAACACAGACAGTCAAATCTAAAAAATAAACATATAATTAATATTTCAACAAATTCAAAGTTTCTCAAGAAATTTAATATTTTTAATTTTTTAAATTAATATTTTAATGAAAGTAGTTACTATAAAGCACTAAATTACACTAACTTGTACAATAACTTGTTCGCAAGATTATTTTCGTCGTAAACAGTGACATTTTATTTCAATAATTTTACTTAAAGAAAAATTTATAATCCATGAAAATAGTATTAAATACACATGTAAACCATAGAATATATATTGCTGAGAACTGTCATCTATTAGATAAAGAGAATACTAGTGCGCAACAAGAATAATTGGACAGATTAGTTCCCTCCTTTTGCCGTTATGTGGTGATAGTATTTCAATATCTATGAATTTTTATTTGAAAAAGACTAATTAACAAGATTACAGTTCATTATTCAAGTCTCTCAGTATATATCTACGAGAAAATCTTTATTTATTCAGATATCCTGTTATACTGCATTGACAATATTGCATGTGATATAAAAATAGTGAGATTTAAGAGCTTATAAGGTTGGCAATATGGTGCTAAAAATAGTGAGATTTAAGAGCTTATAAGGTTGGCAATATGGTGCTAATTCAAGTGAACTAAAATTATTATTCTTTTCACAAAGAATCCTGGCACATAGAAAGTCGAGTTGGAAAGAGGACTGTTTCCCAAAGCATCAGTCAACGTGTAAATGCAAAATGATGTCTTTGGATTCAGGAATTGAAACGAATAACAATTCACTCGATTATTCAATCGTCCAAAACCGAAATTTGATCACAGAAGAAATTAACAATGTTAGTTCCAATTCAGCTTCCACAATAACAACCAATAGTGAACAAAGTGAAACAAAAGAAGTCAAACCGGATATACTTCATAACAAATTTAATTCGGATTTGTCTGTTTTTTTATCAAACGATGATATTCCAAATTCTATTCCAACAAGTAGTTCCTCACCGTGCAATGATGTGTCTCCTGTAAGTATTGCTTCTTTTGTATAAATTTTTTTCGTTTTTTTTTTCATTAACTTGGTTTAATATCTTTTTTTTCTTTTTATGATTGCAATTATTATTAATAGATGAAAACTATTAATTTCTACTATAATAAAGCTATTACAATGAACAAGGAAATTAGAACAATAGATGATTAATTTAATAACTAATTTTCTTTATTTGAAAAATATTGTATAAATTTTGAGAAGTGATTATGACATAACATTAATAGTACATAATTGAAAATAAATTTTTGCAGGTTTCCTCAAAATCACCTGTGTTTCAACCTTACAAATATAAATCACCTGTGTTTCGACCTTATAAATATGAACCACCTGTGTGGAAATCTTCCAAATGTGAATCACTCTCACGTGAACCACCCAAGGTAGAATGTTATGAACTACTATCAACCAAACCATTATTAATGAATGGTAAGTTTTGTTTATAATAATAGTTATAATAAGACACAGCAAAAGAAATGTTGATAATTACATTGTACATATTTCAACAACATATTTATCTTTCTTTAATGATATTTTGTATGTTGTTTTTTTCAGAATATGTTAACAAAATGAAAGTTATCAATAAACCACGTAGAAATCAACATCTTATTTCTGTGTTTGACATTTATAGTCGTCTAATTGAACATAGAATGAGAATGGCAGCAGCTACAAACAACACTATTATGATGAGAGATCTTTTAAATTCTGGTGTTTCTCCTAACTGTTGTGATGTACAAGGAAGAACTCCTCTTCATCTTGCCTCTTGCAGGTAAATTTTGATCAGCATATCCAATTGTTAATAAATATTTTATAATATTAATATTACTATTACTATTACAGAGGTTATACGGAAATGGTTCATTTGTTATTACAACATGGTGCAGATCCTAATATTCGTGATTCTGTAGGCAACACGCCGTTACATTTAGCAGCTGTGACAAGTAAAATATCTGTAGTAACATTACTTTTAAATGCAGGTACAAATCCCTTGTGCTTAGATCAATATGGTTACAATCCATTACATTTAGCACAAACAAAATTAAAATTATTACAAAATTGTAAAGGAGAGGATATGGCAAAAATCAAAGAGGAAGTCCAGAACATAGTTAGTATGTTGTTGGCATATTTACAAAAACATAAAGATATTCATAATCGGATGGAAACCTTGAGTAACTTGTGTTCACGTTTATCTTTATCAAATGTGTCTGATCAAGTTCAAGATGATGTAAAAGATTTGTTGGCTAATTTAGATGCTCTATCTTTAACACAGTAATTACTTATTTGTTTTAACAAACTATTACTAAAACATTAAATTAAGTATGTTGGTTTATTGCTGTACTATATGCCAACGTGAAATTTTATTACTTTTTTTTCTTTATTTAATCAATTGGTTTAAGCGCTAAATAATTATATAATTTTAAACATATAATACAATTTTACAAATATTATAAATTATACAAATAGTGCAAAAACAAAAGAATAAGGTTTATTTCAAATTTCTGTAGCATTCTTTTTTTTTATGAGATGGTCAAAATTATGCTTTATATTGTAGTTTTGAAGCTGCAAATAGAGTATAAAAATAAAAGCTGTAATTTTACTGTTTATAGATATTGATAAAATAAAATTACTGTAAATTTATTTTTATAAATCTTGAAAATTTGTATATCTTCTATATCAGATATATATATATGACACATATATACTTATATACATTTTTATGTATATTAGTTAATTTTTTCAGTAATTTCTTTTTATACTAGTATTTTTTTTTAATTTTGTTAATTTTTTAAGTTTTTAAACAATATAAAATAATGAAGATACAAAAGTAGACTGCAAAATACAACATATACTTTTTACTTCCGTCCTGAATTTGAACTGTTTTAGATTATATAATATTTTTAAAATTTTGAGTGAATATATTAGCCAACGAATGAAGTATGTTTTTTAATGCGTTTTTAAAAATATTGTGCTCTTATTCATCTTCACAAATTAGAAAAAGAATCTTAAAGTGCATTCCTAACGCACTTTTTAAAATATTTTGTTTTATATATCGTTAGAACTTTAACTAATTTCTCAACAATGAACAGCTAAATATTGTAACTATTGTTTTATATGTTCTTTCATTTTCTTTGCAGCCTTTGTATCAACTATTAAAATTACATAAATGTATGAATCAGTAAATAATTATATATATCTTTTATCTTGATTTATTTTGATCTGTTTTGATCTAATTAAAACTGAATGAAGTATTCAGTGTTCAAAATTGAACATAATAAAAATTTAGATGTGTAATTTATTATTAATAATTGATCTAAAAATATTGAATGAAATTTTTGCTTGACTGATATACTACTTTTTATTCTTATATGATACTGAAAAGATAGTAAAAGTTGATGTAATTTTTCAAATATGATATAAAATGAGTGAATTGTATATGAGATAAATATTAATACCAGGATTAGTATGATTTTTCAAGTGTGTTTTTAAAAATTAGATTCTAGGTATGTGTGATATCAATTTTGCTATGATAGGGGTACAATTTATGATCACGATACTTCTCTAGGAATAGAATTGACAATCGTGAAGGATCATGTTTGTATTGTCTATATAAACTCGTAAGCAATTTATGTAACTACTTTATATGAATTGTAAATAAGAAATTTTTTATTAGCAATACTTATAGCAAATAAAAAAAAAAATATCTTATTTCATAGGAACTTATGATCATCTAACTTTCCCTGCGTTTAAGCCACTTCAGTCAAATATATTAGCAAATTTTTATTTTTCTTCCCGCATATATATTTCAGTTCCTTTCTTTCTATTTGCTTGTAACTTTTTTGTAGTTACATACATATAACAATATGTACTGCATTGAGAAATCATCGTTTGAGATTGAATGAAATTTATTTTGATTAATTGAATTAGAAGAAAATTTATAGTGATTTTCCTCAATATAAATATTGAAATAAATAATAAACTACAATTTTATTTTTTATATTTGTAAATATGTTAACGTTTTTATAAATAATAAATATTTTATGATCAATTTCTATGCTGTCCCTGTAAACTGCAGACTTTATCATAAGATCTTTCTATACAACTTCTATAACTATTCGTAGAATTATGAAGATAATTTAGTGTAATTTATATTTATATTGGTATACTCTCTTAATATCTTATGCTGTGATAAGTACAAGTATATAATTTCTAGGTCATAGAAATGACATTCATCAAATCAATTTTAAATAAACTACGATGATTTTGTGTAAAGAAATTTATTATCACCTCTGTATTCGCTATCATATTAAATAACTTTCATTATTTTCGAAAATATTAACGATCGTTCCGCTGAAAAATAGCGGAATAAGAAAAATTAGTATTATACATACATATTAATCTTATTGATGATAAATCAAATTTTTTTTATTTTCAGCAATTTAGTGTTTTCCTAAGAGTATACCAAAATTTAGCATTTCTTTCTTTTTTTTTTATACAACGGTATACAATTATTTGCTCTATTTTTAATAATACAATATATAATAGAGATAAATTAACAGAAATGAAAAAAATTATTAAAAAATTATGTTCAACAGAATTACATTTGTTAAAAATTTGAGGATAAATATTAAACAGAAATTTTATTTAGTATTTTATATCTTAATTTGAAAATCCTTACTAGTCATATTTCTACAAAAGATCTGTGAAGTAATTATTTAATTATAGTTATTGTTAAATTTTTAATTGTCGATCCTTAGAAATTTTGTTTATTAGTATATTTGAAAAAAATTGGTTTTAATTCATTCTCCCTCTCTAAATACAGTTCTTTTATATATGTTAATCAAGATCAAAAATCATTTAAAAAGTGCTATATGACTAGAAAGGATCAAATAGAACTTTTTATAGTAAGCATAAACATATTCATAATTACAAAAGATAATTTTCTATTACAAGTGTGCCATTGAAATCTTATGGATATTTAACTTGGAATATCTTTTGTACATAATTAATTTGCAAAATTATAAATTTGATTTCTTCTTTATGCGTGAAATGAAAGTGATTGTCTGAAGATAACAAACAAAACTTGATATTATTTCCTGACCTCTTTTTTTGTTTTGTGCCTTTCTGTAAATAAAATTATCGTGTTCCTTTGACTTTTGGAAAAACGTTAATAATTTACAAACTCTTCTGTATTCTTTTGTACGGCATGTAAAACAATGAATGTAATTGCTTTTTTTACTTCGTGGAAAGTTTAACCACTTGAAATATATACAAGTGTACATGACGATTCTTGACATTTTGGTACGAACAGGTACGAACAGAGAATTTGGCACAAAACTAAAGATAAATTCTTAAACTAAATAATATAAACGAGGAAAAGGAAATCATCCATTATATATACTTCTTAATTATCTTTTCGCATCTCTTGGCACAAATTTACAACATTGTAATTACATATAAAACAATACAATTTATACAAATTATTATTATTAATTATCTCTATAAAAGTGCCTTTAATAGCTATGAGAACATCGATGAAACTTCTTTATGATAAATAAAAGCTCTTTGTTTCGATATTAAAGCGCAACTATATAACAATATGCAAGATCATTTCTGCAATTTTATACAAACATCGTTTCGAAGTTGTTACGCGGTTGTTAATCAAACATTTCTCTGGTGTTTTCTGGTTTCTGTTTTTTCTTTTCTTTTTTTCATCCTTAATGTTCCGCATTTTATCCGTTAATTATTATGATATGTTCTTACGTCGGATAAATCGTGGCTAATAGAATCTCGAAAAAATATCTCGTGAGCATAAGACGGTATCTGTGCGTTGTATCGAAAGATTGACATGTTCTTCCTTTAACCTAAAAATGCATCTAAATGTACAAGATTTGAGCACTATCGCGACTAAATCAATACTACAGCGTTGGCATTTAGACTGCGTGACAATTACAGTCCGGTCGATAAAATGTGTACAAGCTTAAAAAAATTTGATCGAGAAGATCAAATTAATTCTTTTGTGCTTGCAATGGAAGCTATTATATGCGTAACGCTATTATAATTGTTTAAGAAATACAATCTATGTACTTATATTACTGAAAAAATTGCCAGACAATTTTGAACGGAAGAAGCGTATAAAATTCTCAGTGAATTTTGATGATAGTTTCTAATAAATAACAAGGAGAAACATACATCTAATCGTCGAGTTACTCACTGGTACTTATTACTATATTTTTATAACATTGGTTTCGATTCATATCTAAATTTCATAATCAATACGTATTTGTGTAAGTCGAGGATTAGCTGTCTATCATTCGATCAATGTGCTACTAAGCTCAACAATAGTACTTGCTAACTAGGATAAAGCCCCATGAAACATTTTATAGTTGCACCCATTATATCATATAGGAAATAGTTCAAAAACTTACGATTTAGGCTAGCTAATAAAATTTAATGATCACTAGTTAACCAGCACTATTGAAGGGTGTCACGGGATGATTCGAAGTTTTATGCACTCTTTTATTTTTAAGATACTTGTAATATCCGTAGATTGAAAGTATAAAAAATGAATTAAATTACAGAATTTTTACAGTTATACAAACGAAAATAGTCATTAATTTTTAGACTTTTCTTGAAAAATGAACATGTTATATAAAAGAATTTTAATTTTCGTTAAATGCAAATTTATGAGATGCAATTAGGAATGTAGTTAAAAATGCATCGAGAATAATTTTTATTACAGTTAACATGATCATATAATAATGTAATAGTACTGAATAACTGCTTCGAGAGAATAAAATGAAAGAAAGAAGAAGACTTAACGCATGTTTATTGTGATGTATAAAACATACTCCATAAAGCTTCAAACAATAGTATCGGATCATCCCGTACAAACAATAAACCTCTACGAAATAACAAATTGAGCTTATATAAACTATGGCTGCATTGATCTCATTAATTTATACGTACTCGTATACATTTGATGGAATGATTTAACTTCACAGTCTAGAATATACATCTATCGCGATTCTCTGAGCTAAATTGTATTTACGTATCGCGAATTCGAACATATTAATACAGTATTGTCACCAGGACCATGCTACCATAATATAATATCTTATTGAACTTAAGATTGTACAATTTGATTTCCATTGCTAACTCCGTACGAGGTGTAATACTAATTTGTATCAAGGAGACATTACCGACGCTAAAGATGGAAATATCTCGGCTTGTAAGGGTCCATAATCTACTTTTTCTCCATCCACTGTAATGTAACCGTTGGTTCCTTCTGGTTCTATTCGGAACGCCTTTACCGGTATCATGTCGACGCCAGAACGTGTTACATGGGTGCCATTACTTAAACCCAACAGGAACTAACAAACACAGTAAACAATTCTTAAAATATCATTATCATTGTTTTAAACTTGATATTAATTGCATCATAATAATTTATTCTTAAAAATTTGTATATTTTTTTATTTATAACAGAGACAGTGATTCAAAACCTTATATATTAATCTACTTGTTTTTAAATAATAAAATTATATACTTAGCTCTTTGTGATCAAAATCTGTTGGTTGATAATAAATTGATAAGTTTATAAAATAGCTTAAATATGTGGTTGACAGATAAATCTAATCTCGTTTACTTATTACTTATCTATCAATCGTATATTTTTAAAGACGTATGGGTTTTTAGACCAAGTATAATTTTATGATGATGCACTGTATAATTTATACAGATGGATAGATTAGGCTCACAAAGAGTTAAATTATTTTACTAATAAACAAATAGGTGTTTAATCTTTAAGAGAATTTCATCTGTTTGATAATGAATTGAGATGTCAGAAGTATTGTTTCTAATTGAACTATTTACCTGGAGCAAATTGGCTCGAGTAATTCCGGCTTTCACTATCATGAGCCAAATAATACCGTCCGCCAATTTGGCACGAGGTGCAAAGAAATAATCTTGGCCCAAATGAGATTGATATGCCGCATGCACCATAATGAACTCTCCTGAAATTCCAAGCACGCACAAATAAATTTATTGAACAATTCACCAATTTACATATCAATTAATATAATATTTTGAAAAATTGCAATAATATTTTATTATAATGTCATTTAAAATTAACATTTCTCCACAACTTTTAAATGGAAATCTAGAATACTATTGTACAAATGGTATAATAATGTCAGTACATTTGTTTGTAAATTTTCATCCATTTGTATCGCATTCTTATAGCCTTACTCACAAACTGGCTACGTATTCATGTACAAATACGGATTATAATCAGTGATACTACTTGCACGATGTCTGTCTTTGCTATTTTTTATAACGGGAAGCAAATGTACCAATGTTACCAAGTTTAGCGTCGCAGTGGATAAAGCTTCGAATTAATATGTAAGGTAGCGCAGGATGCATGCAGGCCATTAAGGGATAAACTGACATACATATATCTTGTACATAAATTATAACTTATCATCTGTAATTTATATATACATCGGATAATGAACTTCAAATGCTTTTCTTTCTTATAGAAAGGAATTATTATTATTTATTTTACCTTCAATTTGCGTCCAAGAATTTGGTACTTCAGAAGTTAAGGCGGGCAGCCTCGACGATGGACCATACATAACTTCACTATTGTTTTCTGGATCTTAATTACACATAGATTTTAATTGTAATTATATATGCATCACTATTTTATTATACGCACTATAAACTTAGCGGTACCACACAGAAGCTCATAAATGAATTCAAATAGTTGTAGATAATCGATTGAACTAATTAAGAAACTAAATCAATTTTTTAGCAGCTTTTACTCTATAAGAGTCATACATAAAATATTTACAAGCAAGCATTTTAAAATAAATAAGACAGAGATATGCGTATAACAGTACACAATATGGGGAACATTTCAACGGGATTATTAGTATACTAATTATTAAAAGCTTACCAACATCTCCGTTGTTAGGATCCTCAATGCTATGATAGCTAGAAATTGAACCCGTGCTAAAGTAAGTTGATTTCGCGGATGTCGCAGAGTAGAAACTGTCTAGCCTTTGTCTTCTCTCAGCTTCCGTTTCCAACGTGATATTTTCACTTATTATTTCGTTATCGTCGTAGCTATCGAACGATCCGTCCAAAATAGCAGGATCCCCATCGAGTGCATCGTGAAAGCTCTTTGATTCACTGATTCTGCTGTACCTAAAATATATGAGAGAATTATTTTTATCGGATTTATTATAGAAGAACGAATTTGCAAGACAGATGGTACTTTGAACAAATTATATCGTCGTTATCGTTCACTTTAAATCCATACAAAGTATTCCAAACATGGACAAAAATATCTTTCGGCTGACCTTGTGCATATTTAATTAAGCATTCGACACGATTCTTTTTTTTTTTTATAACGATAACACATTTTACGTCGATTTTACAGTTAATGTAGAGTTGACGTACTGAATCTCGTTTCGCTACAATGCATATGTATTATGCACTATATGCGCAAGATGGTACGTGAACTTGTGGCATATGCATATGCAAGTACATTTCGGTTGTTATAAACTTACGTAAATCTGACACGTGTATTTGTGTTTCTCGGAACAGTTTATAACATATCTATCCATTTTTTGTGAACAAGTGTAGTGTTGTTACTATAGATGGAACAGATAATTAAAGCATTATTATAATACTATCCTACTACTATGTAGTATTACATATATATATACTATAGTACAACGTATATTCTACTATATAATACACAGTATTATATGCTATGTATTGGTATCAATACCAGAGTGTCAGATTACTTTCAAAAAATAAATATAATTGAAGTTTTAGTACAAGTACTATTATAATACCATCTTGCTACAATAATGTTATAAGCGTTCTCCTTATATTAGCAAACAAAAATTTTCACTTTGTTCTCTCCCGCTTGAAAATGACCAAATTCCATTTACAATTAATTGCTTCGAACACGCACTGTTGCCACTTTGCACATGTAAAAGATAATGCGCGATAAGACGTACCGATCTAGATCGTCACCGCAACTCCTTGAATGCGATATCTGTGTTTCCTTCGCGTACTCATTGTAGGTCTTTCCATTACCTAAACTATCCACGGACGGCAGTTTATCGCAAGGTAAATAAGACACTTTCCCTTTGTACGTTCTCAATCCTATCAGCCGGGCAATAGTCCATACGGTGAATCTCTGACCGCCTATCGCACGGAGACGTTCACTCTCAATGTCAATGTCGGCGAGCAAGCCCCAGCCGACCGATAAAAATGAAAATAGAATCTGACTCCTCGTCTCAACCCGTACCAAATCCATCTGCGCTTTCTTGAACTTCACCACGGACAGCGCGCTCACGAGAAGAGGATTGTAATCGTACGGTTCCCTGAAATGATATTCATTAGTATTAGTATAATGTAGTATAATATAATATTAGTATAACTTTATACTATAGTATAGTTAGTATAAGTTTATACTATAGTATAATTAGTATAACTTTATACTATAGTATAATTACTATAATATTAGTATAATTTTCTTCTGTAATGTGATTGCAATTTTTTTAAATTTTCGTCGTTCTTCTCATTTCTTCACGTTTGCGTCTCTTCGAATATCTATCGAAAGCCAAAATACATCAAACATAGTAAAATTTATATATAAAATCATATTTACATTTTTATTGATTGTTATTTGCGTTTATGTTATACATGAAATTGTATACTGAAATTAAATATTGAAAGACTGTATCCATTAAAATGCAACATCCATTTGTATAGATCTGAGGGGATCATCTTGTATTATATAAGTTTTCATAAATTTCGAGAACGTGTACGAAAACGAAATGCGGAGATTGCGACTGTGTGCGTTCTGTTTGTTGAATGATCATGAGATAAGAATGCTCGATCAGTTCGTCTAGCTGCATAAAGAAAATTGAATCATTTTGTCCCCCCATCTCTGTACCATAATTTTGTAACAATGAAATTTTCTTTCGCAATTTTTCTTTCCGCCCGATGCAAATTAAATGACTACTTTCATTCAGTCGTTATCGTTATCGCATTTCATCTAACTGTGCCTTCACTTCTTATTGTAAAATCGATACTAAATTACTCGATACTCAAAACAGAGTGCACCACCGTTGCAATTCTAAAAAGTTTTATTTAAATTTTTTTTTTTTTTTTGTTCATTTCTTGTACCGAAATAAATTTTAACTGGTATATATATTTCCAGGTATGTATTTTATAAAAATTTTATAAAACGAATAATGATCCAGATAGAACATCGCGTTTTATTATTAAAAACAAGCATCGTAAAAACATAAAACCAAAAACGTGCTTCCATTGTGTATGTATATCGAACGAAATCAAACAAGGCTACTTACAACGTGTTATCTCTCGTTACGGCTAAAGAATAAAGTTTGAACAAAAATTAAGGACGCGCGTACCCGGTATATAATGATTGACTTGTTGTGCTCGACCTCGCCAATAAGCTTGTATGAAACGACAAATATACTGGTACCAAGATATTTCGTGATAAAAATCTCTTTCATTATTCTTTCTTGCGTGCATTATTTGAAAGATGAACAATTTTCTTTTTTTTTTTTTTTTTTATTGCCAGTATCTCTTATCTGGCTTGATGCCATCAAGTAATTAGCAGGTAAAAAGATTGAATTGCTGTGAAATGTCAAAGTACTTTAACATTGATCGCGTTTGCTTGAAAAACTGTTTAGTTTATAAGCGGTATATGTAAATGCTTCGTTGAGTTACATAAGATAAATAACACCAGTCGATGCTATCTAGTTTTCAAATACCCTCTAATTGCAATGGTGAGCTAACGTTGTTGATAATTATTATTATCTTGTAATATATATATATATATATATCTTGTCCTATTTTTCCGAAATATTATTGCACTTATCGGCTCTTTAATTTCAGAAACATCTTTACGAAGGGACAAATTATTTATTTTAGAATGGAAGAATTTTTGTCGGAGTATCTCGGGTTATTTACAAGATTATTATCGTAAACTTAGTCGTAAGTTTAATTTGCGGTGGTAAGATTATAAGTGAAAGGATAAAACCCAGGTTGAGGAAAACTTAGACATTGGCATTAGGAGAAAACCCCCATACAAAGAGGGCATAAAGTATGAATTAGATGATCGAGAGTTAGAGAAAGTTGTTGAGAATCGTCGCTGAAAGCTCGTTGCATAGTTAAAGTCCTGAATTGCCAATTGATAGACTTACAATTAGTCGTGTAACCTGTTTAGTTGTATGAATCACTCGTAATCGCTGTTAATTGTACAATTTTCCTACATTATACAGATCTTTTTCTTTTTTTTAAAGTAAAAATAACGATTATTTTTCAATTATAACGCAATATCCCTTTTGTTCTGCAAAAACAAATCTAGCAAGTGATTTACACAACTTCGACGACAGTAATGATACTATGGAAAAAGTATATTCTTAAGGCACATACATGCATCACCTGTTTATGCAAACTTTTTTAACGGAATTTTTTTACAGCCATTTATGATATAATAGGCGAGTACTCAAAAAGCGGAAAAATCCTCGCCACTCTTCGAATAAGTATAAAATATGAAACGTATCTGTGAACGAAGGTGGAAATTTTCTGTTGGTCTGACGTTGATTAATTGAAAATAGTTCTACCTTGTGAATACTTATCTTGATACGACCAACAATACTCCGAAAAACAAATATGTACACAGGTGTTACAGTGAAATATACTTTTAATTATGTACTTAACATAAATTTATATAAATAAATTTATATAAATAAATTTACTTTCAAGACATCTAGAAAGTTAAAAAATTTGTTGCCAATTGTTTCACTGTTTGTCCAAAAAAAAAAAAAAAAAGAAAAAAACATGTGCATAAAAGTGATAGTTTTACGCTTCGTTTTTCGAATACGATATAGAGTAGGTAAAAGTTTTTCATGATGTATGAAATAAAAATGATAGGAACAAGTAAGTCGAGGATAACAGAAGCAAATTGAATTTCGCAAAAAAAAAAGTACAGGGACACGTGTAGCCTTTGGCGTTTTAATGGTTAAATGAAAATTAGGTCGATTTATCGTTAGTTTACCGTGCTTGACCGAGTTTTATCGTTTGACCGTTAAAAAAACACGGAACGTCGCAACTGCGTAACAACGTCAAACCAACCGAACTTGTTATTTGTAAATTACAAATCCGTCGATTGGAAAATTCAACAACCGGTGAGTTAATGATCGTGCCATAAATCCAAACCAATGTAGATCTCGAACATCTCGCTGTATATACAAAAAATGATAAATAAATCGCTATAGATTCGCGTGCCGAATGTTCATACATCAAAATTCATTTTATCGTAATTTGAATCGCCGAGTCGATCGATTCTGTAATTCCATTTAAAAGCCAAAGAATATTGAAACAAATGGCGCAGAGTGCGCGCTTGTTCGGAGATGGCTATCACGAAATTCATACCAATTCACAGAATAAATTGGTAACAGTGATGGCTGTTAAACGACGTTATGCCGCGCATATTTGTATTATTAACCCTTTGCACTGCTACAATATTCGATACAACGAACCAATATGGTTTAGATTGATGCACTCGCCTGCTAATACTTTCTTTAAACGGCGGTGCTCTGCTTTCTCTGTGCACGAGCTTTAATATTCTACAACAGTTGATTACTGAAACTGTTCAATCTCCACTTCAAAACGGCTTTAATAATTCAACCCCAGCGATGATCTGGTTCTATGTATCAAACAACGAATATTTCCCACTTCTAAACTTTGGGAAAACCCATTTCATTCTCGTAATATTAAATTCTCGTAGCCGTGCTGAAAATTTTTATTAATGATACGAAATTCGATGTGCATGCTCCTCACGTGTAAATGTTCGAAAAACATTTTCTGCGTTGCATGAAATAAGATTAACGCTGTAACGAGGCTCGACTATCGTGATTGCATTGGTCAAGTATGAAACAAAGATTTTTAAACGGTCGTAATTCATCGCGTCAATAAGTCCGAATATTCAATCGGATCACTTTTAACTAGTTATTATACCATTAAGACGACTGTATACTAAAAAGAAACTTACTCCACGTTTTCAGATTGATCTCAAATTTTACGAACATAATATCCTATTACTTGTTCCTCGTTACTGTTGTCAATGAAAATATCAAAATGTTCGATACGAGGCACGCACGTGAAAGTATAATACATGCTCGAATACTTTCGTGAGCCATCGTAGTTAAGTCCAATTAAATAGCACGTAAGTGCCCGTAACAAACACAACGTTGTTCAAGTGGTTCTCGCAGCCGCCGGTATAGATAAAAGAAAGCAATCAACAGAAAATCTTCGGCCGAAGATCTTCAGCAAAAGCGCCGTTAAAACTACAAACGCGTCGCCTGTTGGAATTGCAGAAACGCCTCTCCACCATGGATGCAAATAAACCGAACGAGCAACGGTTGCAGGCGGAAATAACGACTTCCTCGGGAACGACCCGGCCAGACACATAAAATAAATCACGGACCCGGACGGTCCTAAAAGGGACTTACTGTTTAGCGTACGCGATGGATTTCGCCAGGCCGTTGCCGGAACCGCATGGTATCACGCCAAGGGGTAATTCCTTTAGAGCTTTCTCCCAATCGGGCCTCTGAAAAAGCCCGTTTACTACCTCGAACACGATACCGTCGCCCCCGACCATCAATAGCCCGCTCCATTGATAGATGTCCCTCGTACGCACGAACTCGCGCGCGTAATTGGGACACTTGGTGATGTGAACCTCGTAAGGCCTCTCAGCTTCCGATAGAATCGGATGGATCCTCTTCTGGAACGTTTCCCGGCCCCTTCCCGGCCCGGACTTTGGATTCAGCAACACCAGAATCTTTCGCTGCTCACCTGGACACGCTGCAACCAATTCAAAGGTGCTTTTACTTTTAAAAGTTCTACGTTATCGCTTTGGTTTCACAACTTTTTCTCTATTTAAACATACTTTCTTTTAATTGACAATATTAGAAACCAGTAGAAGATAGTTTTTTCTTTTTTTTTTTACTTTTTTTTACTTTCAGTTCCTGCAAGATTTAATAAAAGCACCAAAGTGTATAAGGATAGATTATAAGACTATAAGATTATACGATAGAGCACGGGATAAATTAGTTTCATAAGATCTAGACATTAAGAATTAGTTACAGAGTTAGAAAATAAGAAGGTGCTTTTACTCTTAAAAGTTCTACGTTATCGCTTTGGTTTCACAACTTTTTCTCTATTTAAACATACTTTCTTTTAATTGACAATATTAGAAATCAGTAGAAGATAGTTTTTTCTTTTTTTTTTTTTACCTTTTCTTATTTTTACTTTCTGCAAGATTTAGTAAGAACACCAAAATGTTTAAGGATAGATTATGAGACTATAAGATTATACGATAGAGCACGGGATAAATTAGTTTCATAAGATGTAGACAATAAGAACTAGTTATAGAGTTAGAAAATAAGAAAGAGAGATGTAAAGAGATACACATTGTAAACCGGAAGTCATTTTAAGCCGCCTAGGCAAGGATTATAATAAATAAAATAAATAATAATAAATTATAATAAATATTTTCTTTTAATTGATGGTATATCAAATTTGAAAATTTTTCTGCCAATACGATTTTAACTTCTTGCACTGGAATCACGTGCCACGCAGAATTGCAATAATTGCAATATATTCTCAGTTTTAAGTATATATTTAAGTATAACCCAGGCAAAACAAATAATAAATTTATTATTTCTCGATAATTTTTATCCAGTGATATCGTACCGACGAGTTCAAAAGAAAAGCGACGAATTATTGTGTACGGTTCGGTCGCTCGTTATGGTCCGCAATCAGTTGCCGGCGCAAGTGGTTAAAGCAGCCACATACTATCTAATTACCTAAGTTTCCATTGAAGCATTTATTGAAACATCCTAATGATATTTTTGTAGTGATAAAAGCAGAACGTTTTAAATACTTTGTGTATTAATGAAATATCTTTCGTAATAGAGTTACGTTGACGAAGTCTTCGTTTTTAAAGTTCGTGTTGTCCCACGCGTTTTTTAACCGGTTTTGCTGGAAATGCTCAGTGTTAACTTATTTACGTGGCCGCGTGTTAAGGCACAGTCACTTTTACTTGTGTTACGTGCGCAATTTATATGTGATTTCTCACGAAGCTGTATGAGCATATTGTGCACGTTATTGCGATTCCTGTTTGTGCTGCAACGCTGACCATTTCCTCGATAATCATTTCAGTTTCGAAGTCACGCGAATAATTTCCTATCTATATTTCTAACTTCATCTTTTTTTCTTTTTTATTTTTGTAATTACAGTCTTACGTAAAACAGAACGTGCTTTCTTTCTAAACATTTTTTCAACTCGCTCTCAAATGTAAAATATCTTTTTTCTTTTTTTCAATTTTGCAACAAAATTTCAGAGTCATAATGTAATAATACATTATTATGATCTATATAAGTTTAAAACCTAATACAAATTTCAGATGTGAATTTAATCTTGAAACCTAGAATATCTTTGAAGATTTTATAGCAAATCCCTTGATCCGCATAATAATGGGGAAGTTCATAGTAAAAAGAAGTTAATCGAGGATAAAGAAAATTTCTAAGCAAGAAACCTTCGGACGATTACGTGATGTGTAACGCAATGAGCGTATTTAATCTTTGGAAGACGCCATTGCAGACACCCGCAGCAACCTCCTTTGCGGAGATTTCTCTGCAGTTTCCATCGCGTTCGATCTCGAGTAATTCCTAGTAAATGTATTATAATATATTCAAACACTTTTAATTTTAATACGGAGCATCGTGTTTGTTCATGTTTTCTTCGTGTGCAATAATTATATATAATTACTGGGTAATTCGTTTGCAATGTCTGCGTTTTACAATTTAAATCGTACCAGACTGAACATTTTTATAGTTGCTACGTGACAATTAGACTACGGATATTTATTCACTGAGGTTTATTTTATCCATTAAATGAATATTTTAAGTATATGGATTTTGGACATTACCCTCACAAATGCAGTAAAATTCGCAGTATGGACGACAATTAATGCAGAAGTGATAGAAAGGTAAAACGAGAGAATAAGAGTGAGAGTCAGTTTCATTGTGCGAAAACGAGAAGAAATAACGAAGATTAAACTACCAAAATGCGACTTCCAAATAGACAAAAACTTGCTTGCTAATTAAATTATAACTAAAATGAAGAGAAAACTTAACGATTGAATAGAATAATCACGGACACTTTGCTACATTTTAATCTCGGCAAAGTATGTATTATGTATTATGTATAATATAGCTATAAAATTTAACGACGCTAGAAGCAGACACATTCGTCCAAGCTCGTAAAACACGGAAGTCGATCTTCAAGGAGTCTAGATCTCCGGGGAAGAAAATAGATCAGCGTAACGACGACGAAGAAAAAGGCATAACGACTTTTGAACATTACGATTTTTCTATCTGAGCAATTTGAGCAATCTCTGCTTGTATTTACGTAAACTTGAAAGTTATGCATGATTAAACGTAACCAGTGAAAGTACAAATAAAATGACACCGGCGACGAAAGGTTGGAGAGAAAGCTTACGAGGTCGATTAATCGCGCATCATCTTATGTCGTCTTCCATTTACATAATTCGAGGAAAATTCAGCGCGGCGGATGAAGAAGGTATAATGGTTTAATGGGCCGTGTGTGACCTTATTGCTTAATCTCATTTTACTCTACCAGAAAAATGTGACATTAGCTTTTAAAATATATTTAGGGCTGATCTGAGACTTTCAATAGAAAGATAAGAATTTATTTATAAGTCCCGGAATAAAAATATATCTCCTACATAGATGGTAATTTCCGAGATCGACGATGGAGGAGGTATACAAATTCCGCATGAATTATTCATGTACCGTTAGTCACCTTAGTCGTGACGTATGCCTACATCCACCATAAACAAAAGTATCAGAATAAAGTATTAAAATAAATTGTTATGAAAATAAATCAAAATAAATTAAGAATAAAGTATGAAAATAAAGAATTAAAATTATTAGTGTCAGAATAAAGTAATAAAAATATATATATTAAAAAAAATATTAATATTAATATCGACCAAGAATGCGAATCAACCTCATCATCTTCAATTTTCATCACAGAGTCAACGACGATCGAAGCTACAACAGCTAGATTCGTGCAGTTGGACAAATATTCGATAACTGTAAGCAGCAGCTTAACAAGACGGTAATCAACAATTTTATATAGGTCATTTTGAATTAATTTGGCTGCCGGCCACATGGTTTCGTTGGTTGAGAAAAACGTCGAAACATTTTTGGCGACGTGAAGACGCGACACACGCGCGCGACCCAATTGTTCTTCCGTCTCGCATCTTACGTACGCACGATTTGGCACATCCGATTCACGTCGATATCGCTTGATAGCCTTGTAAATGAAGTGACTTATTCATACGAACGGATGTAAAGGATGATCGCGGAAATAACACGGGTACCATTGAAATGCACACAACTGTGAGCACACGCGTGTGTCAAGAGGAACAATTTGAGAACAGAATCGACAGGTCAGTATGAAATTTTTAGCGTTTCCCGATCGCCAACCATTCAGACCAGTCAGGTCTAAGTTACGGCTAATATGTTATTTCTGGCTACGAATGCTATTCATGTTAGAAATAGATAGGAAAAGGAGTTGTCCGTCAGATTTTACATTTTGCTATCTTTACTCTCTATGTATGTATGTATCTAACAAGGTGTCTAAAGTAGACACACAAATAACAAGTGATATACATAAAAATATTTGATCGTTTTCAAAAAGTCTTTCATTACATAGTATTGCTAAAATTTAAAATAAATTTAAGGATGTACACGTATGTAGAAGTTGCAAGCATATTAATTCATCGCCAAAAAAATTAATTAAATTAGTAAATCACAGCACTTAACAAGACCACTTTTAGCACTAGTTACACATTTAAAAAATTATTCATGCCGTGTTCATTAATTTTTTATTAAGTATAAGTATCTTGTAAATTTTACATACATTTCTGAATTGGTTTCAATTAATATAATAGTAACGTAATAATATTTTACTAATATAATATAATAAAATTTTACTAACGCAATGAAATATTTTGCTAATATAATGAAGTCATGAACTTTGATAAAAAGTTCGTACGTATACTTTCGCGAAATATAATAAGTATCATCAGGTTTTTAAATACGTTTGACTCGCGTTTTAATTAAAGTTATTACTTTTGAAGTACCTCCAGAGTATTGAAGCTTGACGTTCGCGCGGAATCAACGTCTCTTTAATGTTTTGTAAAAAAAAAAAAACCTAAGATCGCACATGGATAAATATTCAAGCTTCTGCTTACTTGTGGTTGCAATGACGAGTGGATATTTTAAGAGAAAAGCATGTCTCTATTATACGTTTAGAAATTTTAGGATTCTGCGAATGTTTGGACGTGCCAAAATATGTAACTAGCACCTGTGTGCAAGTATGTGATATATTTATACGTTTGCGGGGGTGTTTGGAAATGAACATTGCATGACGAGTGAAAGTTTCGGAAGAGATTGTAGGAAACATTATTAAGCGGAGCGTGTGTTTAGTGGATATTCAGGAAACGAATTTCAAAGTGAGTGAAAATTGTATTCATTGTAAAACGAATGTAAGGTATTATTAAATATTCGATACCAAATAACAAATAATATTAAGCAACAAATCGAATTCCGTACAAGTTTCACCAACACATTCCATATCGTGTTATACGAACAAGAGCTTCGTTAATAAATTAAAACAAACGTGGATTGTACGTGGGGGAAATGACAATGGTCTCAGTCTTAATGTAATATAATGTAAGTAGTCACATAAACAAAGTATCATTTTTATTC